CTTCTTTCCATCTTCATACTTTCCCAACCGAGCCAAAAACTCCTCGTATTCTCTACTCATCTTCACCGGCCACTTTGAGGTTGGCCCCCTCTTTGGTCATAACAAATCATTTCTTCTCATTCATCTCTAAGAATCGCTCCTCATGCAACTTTGAATTGAAATCTTCGACCGTTTCGAAGGTGAATGGCTGAGCTAGTGCCAGATTCTGGAGTGCCCGACCAGCCTGAGATACAAATGTTACAAATTCATGCTGATCTCCTGGGATTACCTCGAGATGTCCATCTCGATTCCACATAAATAATTTCTGATGAGCCGTCGAAGGCACGACTCCTACTCCATGAATCCACTCTCTTCCAAGTAATGCGTTGAAATTTGTATGTGATTGGACCACAATGAACACAGTAGGCCTCGAGTAAGTGCCTACTTTCACATCCAAGGCAATCATGCCTTCCGAACTTGATGTTTTTCCACTGAAATCGGAAATCATAATATTATGTTTGACTAAGTCTTTCAGTTCAATGCCAAATTTCTTTAGCATATTAATTGGCAGTATGTTTACCGCTGCTCCACCATCGACAAGGACTTTATTTATCATCTGTCCTTGTATCTCGATATTCAATAATAAGGGTTTCAGGTGAAACCTCATTTCTTCAGATGGAGGATCAATAAAAGCAGCATCTCTATGAGGGACTTCACATGATGTTTGTGTAACCCATGTTACTTTTGGCTTTATATTTTCTGAGTAAAAGTCATCTTCTCGATTGACATCACTCTGTTCTTGGTACTCTTGATATTCACTAACATATTCTGCTGGTAGTATTGATATTACTCCGATTTGATGCTCGTCCCAAGTACCCTCATTCTTATCATCGAAATATTCTCTTGCATATTGACTATCCATCGGTACAATATTCTCTTCGAAATTTCTATAATTATTCCAATAAGGGATCCTCCCTCCTCTTCTCCAGGGCCTTCCTCGGAACCTCCTTTGGAATCTTGGGAATCCAGTGTTCGATCCTTCATCGTATGACAATCTCTCGAAGACATCATGGCTTTGAAGTCTGCCTTTTCCTCCTCGAGAATGATACATTTCTCTTCTGATCCATTGCCTTTGATTTTCACTAACACCAGAACCAACGGATTTCTGTTGACTTTCTTCGATTGTTGGTCGGACTGTTTGATCTACTTTGTCATTTTTCCTTTTATTTTGGCTCTCGATCTTCTTTATTTGTTCTAACTTGAAAGCTTTAGCAACCGATTTATCGAACACCGCACTGCATCGTGGGCATAACGACACATCTTCGTCTTTTTCTTTCTTCCTATTCAAAAACTCAACTAGGGAATCCCCTGATCGAGGGTAGATCTCTTTTTCGAACTCCTTCTCGAATTCACTCAGATCGAATTTCATATCTTCTTCAGACACGTCCATTCTAACATGTTTAGGATCAACGTCTTCAGTAACATCGATCATGCCTATAAAGGCAGAATTCATCATTCAGACATCTTCAGTCATGCCCGTTTGGGATTCAATATACCCCACTTGTACTTCGAATGGATTTGTGTCCACTTTCATTGACATCTCTTCAAATTTTTGTCTTCCTTGGTCAATCGCATCCTGGATCGTATTCCTGAAATGTATGCAATTGTTAGTCCAATGTCCAAAAACATTATGAAATTTACAATATTTTTGACCATTCCTTTGTTCTGCCGAAGGCAGTTTATGATCTTCGCTCAACTTAATTTGTTTGTCTTTTAACAAAACATCGAAGATTTTATCGACTTTCGTCACATCGAAAGTATATGTTCGATTTGCCATTTTATCTTTCACTTCATTCTTTTGTAGCAGTTTACGGATATATGGAGCTCCTACTTTGAGTTCTGCTATATTTACTTTCTCATCGACAGTCTCTTCCACCTCATTCTCTGTCGTGGGCTCTGTTTCATACACGTCATTTATATATGCTATTCTTTCTTTTTTCAAGGGTTTCTCAAATTTCTTATATCTTTGTTTTTCATACTCAATTTGTTCTACTCTTCTCACTTTATCAGCTAACTGAGCCATATCATTCAATGGTAAATTGACCAATTTTTTCCTAATCGAGAATTCTAAACCTGCAGAGACCATTCTGACTAATTCATATTCAGGAATTTGAGTAAAGCATCTTGATTTCATTTGTCTAAATCGATTCAAATAATCATCTATACTTTCATGATTGTATCGTTTTATATTCATCAAATCGATTAGACTTACTTGAGTCTCTCCTCTAAAGAATTGTTCATGAAAATTTCTCTCTAACTGCAACCAATTATATATCGAATTGGGCGGTAACGAAGTGAACCAAGTAAAAGCATTCTTAGTCAAAGAACTAGGAAAATATTTCATCTTTAATTCTTCACTCATCGCTAAATCCCCGCATTCGATCTGATATCGAGCCACATGCTCGATAGTCGATTCACCAACTTCTCCAGCAAATTTAGTGAATTTGGGTACTTTATATCCTCGAGGCAGTTCTGTCTCGAGAATCGCATTCGGAAAGGGAGACACAAAATATGTCTGATTGGGTGGTCTAAATTCCATCCCTTGTAAATTCATCCTTTGTCCTAACATGTTATTCTGATTGTGTATATTTTGAAATCCTTCGTTCAAATTCCCATAAAGGTCATTCCTCACATGTTGGTACTCATTTCCCCTATGCTGATGTTGATCATTGTTTCTATTCCTCCTCAATAAATACGGGGGGTTATTAGTAGCATGATTTTCTATCCTCGTTTGTCGAGGTATAGCCAATGCATCCCCGATTCGTGACATTTGGTCCGCTAATATCTCAAAACTAGCAGTAGTGTTTTGAACTAATGGATTTAGAACTGTAGTCAACTGTTGTGATAACATATTTACCATCTCAAAATTACTCTCATCCATTTGTTGTCTAAGTATTCCTAAGGAATTACTAGATATGCCAGTACTAGTATTTTCGATGGTATCAAAATTAGATCGATGATAATCCCTATCGAACGCATATCTCCCATGATCTACGTTTCCTCTATGATCTGGAGGTATTTGCTGCGTTCCTACATTCTGCACACTCCCTGAGTTCTGGGGAATTACTAAATTTTGAGATGTTCCTAGGTTAGGAGATACTCCAAAATTCTGTGGCATACCTAGGGTTTGGAATGTTCCTAAGTTATATCTCGAATTTCGTTGCATCGAAGAAGTACCCACCCCATTCATGTTAAGCGGAAACCCAGGTGGTCTTGCACTCATATATGGCCCAACATTTGTTGTTATAGGGTTTCCCATAGTTTGCATACTATTTAATGCCACCGTACTAGATCCTACTTGGGTGTTTGCTAAAGTGCCTGAATTTTGTTCATTATTCACGGGTATCGACATACTTACAATTGTCAATACTGCAGGTGCATTCCCATTATGACTTTGCCCCCCAGTATTTGATGAGTGTGACTCATTTAATCCCTCAGTGTTACTTGATGAACTCTGACTCATGACTCTCCCACTCCTTAATCTCATACACTCTCGAACTAACCAATTTTGTGTTTCTCGACACAAGAGTCCCCTACCTGGCGCGCCAATTTGTTTCTGGTGGAATTTCGATCGATTTCGATTCTAAACAGTGTTATGGTCCTAATCGAAATCCTCCCACGTAAGTTCTTTTTACTTAGGCTACCAGTCTGACTTTCAATTGAAAACGTGTATGAGGATCGAAAATCACAAGATATCAAGAAAGCTGTGTTTGGTATTTTGTATTTAAAGTACTGAAAGCAGTAAAGTATCGAATCGAGAAACAGAACATTAAATTGCAAGAAAATATAAAGTGCGAAAACCCCAAATTTGCATTAATTGTAAATGACGAGGAATCGAAAATAGTGCAAATATAAATGGCAGGAAATCGAAGTGTGCAGGAAATGTAAATGACAATAAATCGAAATTACAAGAAAAGTAAATGACAGGAAATTGAAAATACAGAAACTTAAACTTTCATTGAATTGAAATGACAAGGAATCGAAAATACGTAAACATAAAACTGCTGAATTTAAATTGCATCAAAGTAAATTACCAAGGAAAATACGTAAAGCGGTAAATGTACTCGGTGAGCAAGGAAATCCAGATTGCCGAAGCTTCATGGTGTTCGTCTTTTCTCCGTAGACTTTTCACTACCGATTACGTTCTCTGCCAATTTCCTCCCCTCGTTCCTTCCTTCTTTTCTCTATTTATAGGGCCTCCTTCAAGCCTTCCAAGAACAGTTAATCAGACTACTACCACGTTCTTTCGTGCATGACGGTTTCTTTTTCTACAGTTTCCCACGTTCTCACGATCCTCGACTCCTTCCATGGTCCCATAACTCGCTTTCTATACGTGCGTTTGACTTATTCTTCTCTTTGTGGTTTGTCCAAAGTTTCGATGTCCATGTTCCCTTAGTATTCGATGATATCGAACACTTTGCATTGCTTTGGGTTTAACCTTAACATCATATGATTCTAGTTTCTTAGTTTTTATTCGACAACAAGCATTTGGTTATCATTTACCCAATTTTCGATCGTGCCTCTCGATGTTATGTACTACGTACTTCTAATTGGACATCAAATGATTTCTTTTGTCTATCTTACCGATTTATCAATCGATCATATTTCTCGATTCCACAATAACACTATGTTTAAAAGAATAATATATAAAAATAAAAGAAGAAAAATTGTTTTTTTTTAATCAACTGGCTTCTAAAAAAATATACTTTTTAAAGATACATAAATAAATTTAGTCAAACATGTAAGAGTGGTTAAAATGATTATTTCATTCAAAAGTTATTTTTTTTTTTCATGATAAAGCCTAATTTAACTTTATTATGAATAGATAAATAAATAAACCCAAGTAAAACCCATTTGTTGCAGGATTTGGCTTCTCCGATTCGCGGCAAGCGAGGACACTAAACTAGTGTAGGAAAAAAATTGGTTTTGTTTGACAAAGCTTTGATCTTTGCTCACCGCCCATGACTTCGAAAGTTCCCTCCTCAGATTCAATTGGTATTCCACTCTTTGCTATTTTGTAACTAAGAATCATTGTAGCCATCACTGTGTCGCATTCGACATAGGTTTTCCTCAAATTTCAATTTTATTTTTGTGACTTTTACTTTCGTTTTAACCCCATTCTTCGCCTAAAGTTTTCATGCTGTTCCCTTTTCTAGAAGGTGAGGTTAAATAGTGGTTAGTTAATCAAACGAGTCTCATACTCATGGAGGACTTTGTTATTTGTTACTTAATTTTTAAAAGTAATACCTTGAAAATTGCTCTGTCAATCTGTTGCCTGAGGTTTGTGCTTGTGCTTTACATGCTTATATTGAACAAGTGAGTTGTCTGTACAGATGCATTGAAGTCTAAAATGTCTGTTCAAAAGGATCCACATAAGTTCTTGATGTCCATCACTGAAGGAGAGAAACAGCCATTTGACTTTTTACGTGTTCTATATGGTAAGTTTTGCTATCCCAGCTGAAGATTGTGTAGATACATGGATAAAAAATTGCAATACTCCAGTGTTTGAATAATGTCCTAGTCTATATTGTTATTGCATTATGCATATGTTGTCTGTCTATGGTACATTTTAAGCAGATAATGAGACCCACTCATGTTGTTATTATAAGTAGATAGTTGAAAATTTCAAACATTGAAATTTTAATTTCTGTTCCAAATACTCGTTTTCCACCTCCTGTACATACCATTGTGAATTGTAACCACGACAACTTATGTGAACAGTGCTTCTGTCCTAGTTGAATGTTCCAATGTTTGGCTCCATTTTTACAACAGAAATAGTTGACGATGTTTCTATTTCTATGGACAGTTATGTTACATGATGTAGGGTCTGACGTTGGAACTCAAACTGATCAAAAGTTGCATCTAATCATGCATCTCTATTTGTCTTGTGCTATTAGTATTTTGTTCTATGACCTATTTTTAATCTATTTGCAGATGGTTGCATCGCTGGAGGTGTTGCTGGTGTCATGGTAGAAACAGCTTTATATCCCATTGATACCATCAAAACTCGACTACAGGTGAATTATCCGTATATATTGTAAACCTTTTATTCTAATTTTTTCTGTGTAAACATCTGTTGGGTGATGGTTGAAGGGAAGGCAGGAACTAGGAGGGAAACAGAAATAATTAAATCCATGGTTTTTTATACAAGAGGAAGCATGTATTTTCAGTCTGAAAATGCAATTTCCCAAATACTATATTCTTTTCCCCATTTCAGTGTTGTTTCTAAATGTTAGTTGATGTCAAAGTTTGAATTCTGGAAATGTCATAATTGTCACTTAATATGTGATATTCAAATTATATTTTTGCATGAGATTTTGACTTTGTCCACAATTCATTCTACCTTGTTTGGTGTGAACGTTTTTTGCTAACGGAGCATTGCGATGAGATTTCTTAATTTGTGACATTTTAATCCTCATCGGGAAAATTGATGGAATTGTTGAAATTATGGTGTTTTCAGCATAGAAGGAGGAAGAAAGGAAAAGAGAATGAGACACTGAATTGATATTAATGGAGATGTATTACAGTGTGATGACATTTATATTTTCATAAAACCAAGAGTATTAATCCTTGTTTATAAATTTTATAATATCATAATCCTAACTTATTAGTGAAACAAATCATGATATGATAAGGAAATATGGTAAAAAATCTTAAGAGATGATGACGAACTAAAGAAACTAACTTTCGAGGATAATCTAAGATATGATAATATACTTCATATATTCTACCAAGAATACTAGTCCTGTAATATTTTTCTATTTTCTCTTCACCATTTCTTCTTAGCATGAGTTTGTTGTATGAGCCACTAAGCAGAAATTGACTTTGATCAATGCATGAAATTCTTCCTTTTGTACCAAGTAACTTGGCCATGTTATCTTTCTCCAGCTGCAATGTCAAAATTGTTGAACGAACAGACTTTTAGTGATTTTGATTTTATAACTCATTCCATCCTATATCAGGTTGCTCGTGATGGAGGAAAGATTGTTTTGAAGGGTCTCTACTCTGGATTGTCTGGAAATCTTGTTGGTGTCCTACCGTGAGTGAACATTTTTTTTTTCATATATACACATCACCCTTGTGTTCTCTGCTTTTCACTTAATAATTTTCAGTGATGAACTTGTTTGAATTCCAGCTAGGTAGATGTTATAGCTTGTGTGCCATAAACATGAGCATGGAAAAAATTATATTTCTAGTTTTACCTTTTAGGAATTGACTGGAGGAATCTGTTTTTGTCCTATAATCATTTATTAAAATTTTCTCTAACTGCTTCTTCAGAATAAAACCATTTTTTATTTTCTGGAATGTAGTTTATATATTTGTGCTGAGGAAAAAGATGGGTTGTTAGGTTCATATCAGTTGTATTCTGGTTTTAAGCTGAGTCAGAACTATCCCAGCTCCTTTGGAACCTGGACTTACTACTATTATGATTTATGACACAAGTTAACAATGTTGTTGTAACTTCTAATCACAGTATAAGCAAAGCCTGAGAAAACATTCTTACTTTTTACTATCAGTGGCAATAGTTGGAGATGGTCTATCATGGACATTTCTTACTTTCACTCTATTGTATCTCAATGAGGAAAATAATCATACTTTTAATCTAACAGGATATTTTTCCAGGATAAATCCAACATTCTTTTATTTTGGTAAAAACATTGGTTCTTAATTGAATAATTTATGCAGTGTGTATGCCTGATGGATCATTCTTCCTCTCTTGCAGAGCTTCTGCAATTTTTATTGGTGTGTATGAACCCACAAAGCAGCAATTGCTAAAGTCATTGCCTGAGAATCTCAGTGCGGTGGCTCATTTTGTAAGTTGGCTCTCTTTTTTGAAAGAGACAATCTCCTCAAATTATGTATGTGTTGACTTTATTTGCCATGTCCCACCAACTTCCACCTTACATATGTATGTGATGATTCTTTTCACCCAGAGACATTTTCAGAATTCCTTGGTTAATTTTGTTTTACTTGTGTACCAATTTGCTGGTTTCATAGCATTGCTTAGTAAGTTAAATCCTAGGATACAAAAACCAGGAGTGACAGCAAGGCAAGTACATAACAAAAAACATGAGAACCCAGTTCTTTCATATGTGATATTGATGTGCAAGAGTACCACCAAAGCATATTTCCAAACATTTTTTATTATTTTAAATGCATATTGTAGGCACATTTCAACCTTTGTAAACAAAATGGGGGAAGACATTGCAAAGTAAAATGTGATGATGCCCCAAAGTCAGTCTTTTCCAATTTAAAATCTAATAAACTTATCATGATATCCAATACCTAGTAATTTTAAAAGCTAACCAAATTTAGAAGATATTTCACCAAAACAGTTTATTAACCAATCCAATGAGATGGCAGATTTACGGTGGTCTGCGATGCTTGCATGTTATATAGAACAATTTCATAAAACCTCAGTCTGCATGAGGTCCAGTTTAGCCTCAAAAACTAAATGCAGGTAAAATGCATAAAGTTTTTCTCATTGATTAAAATATGTGCCTTTGATTCTTTAGAAGCTCACCCAAGTTTCATCTAACTTCTTCAAAAGCCGAGGTGTATAATTTAATTTTAATTTACTAGAAGTTTTCAATTCATTTTACCTCCCTATTTCTTCTTGTAACATCTCAAATTAATTTATGTAAAATTTTTAATATTTTAGGTTTAAAAAAAAAAACTAATTTATGGAAATAAATAAATGAAAATATAATATATATATATATATATTATGTATTATTAAACTATAAAAATAATAATAATAATAATAATAATAATAATAATAATAATAATCTTATCTCTTTAAGAGATAAGGATTAAAATTATAAATAATAATAAAATTTTATCTTATCTCTTGCATTAAATGCAAGTAAAAAAATAATTATTTATTTATGATTATAAATAAGGGTTATGGGAGGGAGAAAGGGAGAAGAAGAAAAAGAAAGAGAGAAGAGAGAGGGAAAGAAAGAGAGAAGAGAGAGGGAAAGAAAGAGAGAAGAGAGAGGGAAAGAAAGAAAGAAGAGACGGAGAGGAAGAAGAGAGAGGGAGAGAAAGAAAAAGAGAGAAAGAGAAAGAGAGGGAGGGAAAGAGAGAGAAAGATAAGTCACATCTGTAAAATTTTGGTACATCATCTGCAGTTCTTAAGGTAGGGGAGAAAAATATTATCATTAAATCTATTTTATTTTTATTATAGTTGTGGAGTGAGGTGTCTCTAACCTCATTCTATTTATTTAGTTACTTTTTATGTTTATTTATTTTTCTCCAGTCTTGTACTGGTCCTATTTTAATTATCTTCAGTTAAGTACTGATCTTATTTTAATTATCTCCAGTTATGTAATGGTCCTGTTTGTTTATTTTATTTTATCTCTATTTATGTACCAATTCTATTTATTAATTTATATTTATATTATTTAATTATTTTTAAATAATAATATCTATTTATGAAGATTTAATGATATTGTAGATGAAGATTTGATGATATTGTAGATGAAGGTTGAACCTTGGGGATTTAAATGAGTAAATATCATTGAGAGAGGGATTAAAATTGAGCTCATTTATCCCGACTAGTCACTACAAATATAATTTAAATCTTCATAAAATAGAATGTAGTGAGTAAGTTGAAACATATATATATATATATATATATATATATATATATAAGATTATATTGTTGTAAATGATAAATGTTCTCACTTTTTATTGTGATTTTTTGTACATGTTTTATTTAAATACCAACTCAAGTAGATGGAGACGTCAAATATTAAAATCCCTTTTCGCAAGCATCATCGCCTTCTTTCCAAGAACTACTTGGAACACGAACGTTATAGACAACTCGTATACTTGAGAGAGATTATCAATATTAACATTTGCATCTGATATGAGAAATCTCATTATGTTAGATGGACCAGTAGTAATTACCTTTTGTATGCCTCCTACCATTTTCCAAAACTCCTTAATCATTTTGTTTCCATGTAGATATTTGTATAATTGTAGTAAGAATAGAAGGAATCAAAAATAAATAAAATTTCTTCTTTATAAGAAGAAGGAATTTTATTTATTTTTTATTCCTTCTATTCTTACTACAATTATACAAATATCTACATTGTCGGTGGAAACAAAATTATTAAGGGGTTTTGGTAAATGGTAAGAGGCATACGAAAGGTAACTACTACTCGGTCCATCTAACATAATGAGATTTTCCATATCAGATGCAAATGTTAATATTGATAATCCTCTCCCTTTGAAAGTAACCGAGTTGTCTATAACGTTCGTGTTCCAAGTAGTTTCTGGAAAGAAGACAGTGATGCTTGCAGAGAAGAGATTTTGAATATTTGGCGTCTCCATCTACTTAAGTTGGTATTTAAATAAAATATGCACAAAAGATCACAATAAGAAGTGAGAACATTTATCATTTACAACAATACAATCTTATATTATATATATATATATATATTTCAACTTCCTCAACACATTCTATTTTATGAATAATTAAATTTGTAGTGACTAGTCAAGATAAATGAGCTCAATTTTAATCACTCTATATTTACTCATCTAAATCCCTAAGGTCCAACTTTCATCTACAATATCATCAAATCTTCATAAATAGATATTATTATTTAAAAATAATATAAATTAATAAATAGAATTGGTGCATAAGTAGAGATAAAATAAACAAACAGGATCGAACATAACTGGAGATAATTAAAATAGGACCAATACATAACTGGAGATAATTAAAATAAGATCAGTGCAAGACTAGAGAAGAATAAATAAACATAAAGAAGTAATTAAATAAATAGAATGAGGTTAGAGACACCTCACTCCACAACTATAATCAAAATAAAATAGATTTAATGATAATATTCTCCTCCCCTATCTTAAGAACTGCAGATGATCTACCAAAATTGTACAGAGATGACTTATCTTTCTCTCCTTATCTCCCTCTCTCTTCTTCCTCTCCCTTTCTTCTTTTTTTCCCTCTCCCTCCCGTAACCCTTATTTATAATCATAAATAAATAATTAATTTTTTTTACTTGTATTTAATGTTTTTAATGTAAGAATAAGATAAGATAAAATTTTATTATTATTTGTAATTTTAATCCTTATCTCTGAAAGAGATAAAATAATAATTTTTTTTTATAGTTTAATAATACAAATATATATATATATATATATATATATATTATTTTCATTTATTTATTTCCATAAATTAGTCTTCTTTTTAAAAAAAAAAAAACCTAAAATATTAAAAATTTTACACAAATTAATTTGAGATGTTACATTTCTCTTATAAATGCTTATTGGGAAATTTAAAGACTTTGTGCCTAGGCTTATGCTGGGCTTGAAAGGAGATTTTCTAGTTTGAGGGTAACCTTTTATATGTTTGTGCTTTAAATTGCATGTCAATTTTGATTATATCTTGGGCATAAATTTGCACTATTCTTAGAATATCCATATAAGCAGAAACAGATAAATAAAAAGTTATAAAACTTACTAATGACTAGTTAACAGAAACTTTTGGTGAGTTATCATGTTGATCATCCTAGCAAGAAGCTTGTCTTCAATGATTGGCACACAAGCCATTTAGCCAGATACCCTGACCTTGAAGTTGGGGGTGAAATTTCTTTTCAATTTTGCTATTTTGATGATATTCTAAAGGTGAGTGCAGGCTGCAGGTGCTATTGGAGGCATTGCTTCTTCTCTTGTTCGGGTTCCAACTGAGGTAATTAGCTTCACTTTTTATATATTGCTAGCGTTTTCTGCTTTCTTGAACTTTGAATATTCATGTCTTTCTAGGTTGTTAAGCAAAGGATGCAGATTGGGCAATTTAGATCCGCACCAGATGCTGTTCGTCTCATTGTCTCGAATGAGGGTTTTAAAGGTCTTTATGCGGTATGTATGATTTAATTTCATATCTTAGTTATTAGTTTCCAGGTAGCATATGATTTCTGCTTTATAATATTGTTCCAGGTGGTGCCTTTTATTTAGAGAACTTTAGAAAGCAATTTTATGTTGTTTTATATAAGAGAAGAGATATGGTATTTGTTTGCAGGATTATGATGAGAACCATAATGCCTTTTTACATTACTTTAGCTTTCTCATATTACTTACTTTTTTGAATATTATGTACATGCGGATTTTTTTTTTTTTTTCCTTCCTTGACCTCTATTTTTGTTTTTATGAGTTTGTAGGGATATGGATCTTTCTTATTGCGAGATTTACCATTTGATGCTATAGAACTATGCATTTATGAGCAGCTCCGGATTGGGTATAAATTAGCGGTAAGCTTAATATTTGAAGTGTCTATTGATTTATATGGATTTTTATAGAACTTGTCATTAGTTTTAAATCATCTATGAAAAAATGAAGCATTCTGTTTCATGTAAAATTATATATCTCATTTGTCTATGAGTTGAAGAAAAGCAATGCATAAAACTAGCATGGTTATGCTCATTAGAACTTTTCTGATGAATATTAAATTATTTATCGAATTTCTGGCATCAATTTGTTAGATATTGTTGTAATTAGCTAAGGAATAAGGACTTTAGGCCCACTAGTTTGGTTTCTAATTTATAGCATATATTATTATTATTATCACTATTATTACAATAATACCATTTTGGGAAATCAAAGGCTCTACAAAATACCATTTTGGGAAACCAAAGGTATTTCATTCCAGGTAAACAAATTTTGAGTGTGGGTCTTCTTGCAAGTTAGGTGCTAAGAGATGCAACAAAGTTGGGTAAACAGAATCCAGTCTTTTATACCAAATTTTAAGAAAGCTTATGATCAAGGGAGTTGAGGTACCTGGACAAAAGGCTTAGAGAGAGTGCAGCTCATCTTCTTTCTCATTTTATGTTTGTTACAAATTTGATTTTATTACATTAAATAGGGAGATATGATATGATTTGAAAGGAAAATATCTTACCAAATATTTCCATATTTAGAATTTTTTTTTTTCCTTATTATTGTATCTCTTCTTCATTATAAATATGATATACTCATGTGTGCACAAAACACAATTATAAGCAATCCTTTCAATATTGTTTACCATAATGGTTAATCTATAGGTTGTTGAGCAACGCTAACAACATCCTCATTCGAACACACTCTATTATAGGGTGAATTTTATATGACTCCTAAAGAACTTGGGGCTCACTCCTTTTAGTTGCATGTGTTAAATATGTCTCTTTCATATTTCTAAGTTTCCTATCTTGATTGGGATAAATCTTTTCACACGGATTTTTGGTTTTTTGTCTTCTGTTTGAAGTGAAACTATTTTATTTTGGGAATGTTCAGTAACGAGTGAAATTCTGTTGGGAATTAGATATAGAAGAGAATATTAGTTAGATAAAGATAGGGGTAATTAAGAGGAAAAAATACATTCTATTGGGTTATCATTTGTAGATTGAACTTTTGCTCATCGTGACAAGATAAATCCTTGGAGGAGAGATATCACTTCTATTTTCTTTTTCTCCTTTCATTCAATAAAATTGTTCTTTTCTCTCCCATTTTTATTATTGGTTCCTGACAAATTTCTTGCTTCCTGAGGATGGCCACGGATGGCCGCCCGTGCCATCATTGACTGCTATGAGGAATAGTATTGTTGTGTCCTTAAACTTACTTCATTGTTTCTGAATTTGTGTTTCTTTGCAGGCAAAAAGAGACCCTAATGATCCTGAGAATGCCATGCTTGGGGCTGTGGCTGGTACTACATATCTATTAAAACCTCTGTTAAAAAATTCAATTATGCTTTGATATTTATGTGCATGCTTCAAGTACATGTTACTTTTAATTCCTGGAATTCATGGCAAACTTGTATGGCTGAATTCATATGGAATTTCCATTCTTTTCACCGGTATCATAATCAGTAATATTGCCTCCAATTTTTTATATTGGCTCTTGGTCCTTATTTTTCTAACTATTTTACTCACTTTGCCATATATTTTCTGTGAAAGCTAAACTATTTCATAATTGGCTGGGCCTGCAAGTTGGTAAAGGTGCCATTAAAGGGAAGATAGTAAGACAGTGTGACAAATTTGTAACATGCTAAACCAATTATGTAATCTAGTAGCTAGGCCGTAAGGAAGCATTGTTACTGCCAAAATTAGCTTCGAATCAGCCTTTTTTTTCTTGTTTTATTTACTTAACTTAATTTGTTTGAAAATGGTGAACTTGATACCTGATAGGTGCCATAACTGGAGCAGTTACAACTCCTCTTGATGTAGTCAAGACCAGATTGATGGTTCAGGTACAAAGAATTTTTTCTTCTCATTATTCGAAGGAAATCATTGGGAGCGGTACCAAACGGAGCTCCTTTTTTGTTAATGGTTTGCTATGTGCATTTCCCTCTTCAAACATGTTTGATTTAAAATCTCTCACTAACGTCAGGGATCGCAAAACCATTACAAAGGCATTAGTGATTGTGTGAGGACAATAGTTAAAGAAGAAGGAACTCATGCTCTTTTTAAAGTATACCCGTTGTTTGCCTTCTTACTTTTCTTTAACCAAAGCTTACTGAATGCTTAATACGATTAACTTTTACATTTGCACTGTTCTACAGGGTATTGGGCCTAGAGTTTTGTGGATAGGAGTTGGAGGTTCAATATTTTTTTGTGTTCTTGAGAAGACAAAGCAAATTCTTGCTCGGAATCGGCACTCCAAAATTGAGATTCAGAAGTGAGTTTAGTAGGCATTATGTTGCAATGTACATTTAATTTAATTTCATGATTTCATTGAGCCAAATTTTGTTGAACTTCTTCCTCTGCTTGCTTCATTTCTAAATTGGCACCGGGCCTGAAAGAGTCCAGTTAAAGACAAGCCCTTTTGGGCCTGGAAATTCAAGCCTAAATTAAAATTAGGGCTTTGTCATAAAGCCTGAATAAAATCTGCCCTGACTCTAAATAGGCTGACAAAGCAGAGATTGTAACAAATGTAAATTTATTTATTTTTTGCAGTGCTGAAAATGATTCTCTTCCGTTTTATTCAAATACCAAACAATAAAGAGCAGGGATATTAAAAGGAAGAGGAAAAAAAAAAAAAGGAAGCTGATAGTATATTTAGCCCCAAAGACTCATTTCTCATTTTTTAATGAAAAAGCGTGTTTTGACAAGAATTATATATTTTAAGACATACATGTACAATCTGCATGGAGGATGTGTATCTTTTGAAATATATCATCAATGGTCTGATTTTTGAAAGTTGATTATTTTTATGGATGTATCTTTGTAAACTTTGGGGCAATGTTATAGTGCACTCTTTTGCGATTATCCAAATACATCTTAACATAAATTATCAAAAAATATTTCAGTTTATTGATTCCGAGGGCAAAATCTTTTAAGTTTGATTAAAGAACAGTACAAAGAGTGATTATGATATTATATGTAAGTTTCATAAATTGTTTTAACTGAACTACTTAACAGAACCTTTCATTTCCGCAGATTATAAAATAGAACTGTCGAACTAATACATATGAAGCATTTATGATTTCCATCTGCTCAAATAGCGCATTTATAATTTCTCCAAACATCACGTCTATTTTCTGAGTTATATAGTTGGAGCTCAACTTCCTGCACCATAGAAATTGTTTGGATCATTTTGGTGCCCAAGAAATTTCTAAAGATAAAAAAACAAAACAAAACAAGTGATTTCTCACCTTCATATTTCTCACCTTCATATTTCTCTTCCTGTACTGGACATATTCATTCCATAAACATCAAAGAAAAAGTACATCTTTATGAAGATTTTAGAATGTACTCAAAATATGTAATTTAGAATTAATTTTTAACTATTCTAAACGTACGAAATAGCTTTAATAAAATATTTTCAATAATGTATTTTTTTTCTGGTATGACGTGGTAGAATTTTAAATTTTTTAGTCTTACAATCTCCGGCAATATATCTATCAGTTTTTATAACTTTTTTTTTGACATTTTTTTTAATTATTAGGTATAAAATTAATAATTAAAGATAGAAGTGTTAGAAAGAGGTAAGATCATTAGAGTTAATGATATGCCTTTATTATTATTCGCCATTTTGATTTTTCTCTCCTCAAATGTTGAAATAAACTTGCTGAAGTTGTGTTCAGAAGACAAGAATCATGCATCTTTATCCTTTTGCTAACAAAATTTCGGAATAGATTTTAAACTCTTTCAAATGTTACTGTAATAAAATAAAATATAAATATTTCAGATTAAATAATTTAAAACAATTAATTAATAATTTTAGATTATATATTTTTATTTTAGATAAATGTTTTCAAACTGTGTAATTAAAAATAAATAATACATTATATAAAATTACCCCTTAATAAGGATTTATGATCTAGGTTCAGTTTTCCCTAAGATTCCTGTAGTTTCTCTTACCATTTAATTGTGCTAAAGATCTCAGTGGATTCCACTTAATATGCATCCATTAGATTTTGTTTTTTGATAAAAAAAATATTAAACATTTCGAGAAATTTCTTTTCATTAACAACATTAATCATTAACTTACTGTTAATATATTGGTATGCGATTCTCCAGGTATCCACACCTGTACAATTGAATATCTTGAGCAACGTTCTTTTAACTTCCATTTTCTTCCTTTCAAGAACTGAAATGTACCAAGAATTGAAGCATTGAATAAACATGAAGTAGCATTATCCATTTTCAGATATATTCATATGGAAATTTCTTCAAACAGCATCATTCGGTAATATGAATTCACGTTAGCCATCTGAAGAAATCTTTACATGGAAAAAGGTTCGATTTCTCTACCCACCTTAATATATAACAATAATTTAATACAAAAACATTTCAATAACCTCAAACCTCAATTGTTCTTTTTGACCCCGCTAACGGTCTGCTTGTTGAAAATTTGACTTTTGCTCTCCTCTGAAATAATAGAAGTAAAAATCCTAAAATGACAATCAAAATAAAGAAACCTTCGAAGTGAGCTCCCCAAAGAAACCGAACAAAGTCTTGTGTGCTTTTACTGTAACAGTCACAATCATATATATTCTGTAGTACACTCCCTTTGACACTGACTACAGGATCAAGGACAAAATCCAATGTCACAGGTCCATCATCCAACCAAATAGTTGTATTCTTTGATTTGAAGCCAGGCATGGTTGCCACTACTGCAATTTAGATTGAGAAATTGATCATAAAACTAAGAAACTGAAACTTGTGTAATAAACAGAAAAAAGAGAGGATATTGTCATCCATATTCCATCCCTGGAAATTTTCACTGATGTACAGTACAATCTGAATTCCCGTTGTCTTCAATTTAGAGCCCAAAGTTTCGCATGAATTCAATTTATTGGAATAACAGGGAACTAAATGTTCTAGGTCTTTTATTTAATGTCACAATTTAACTTGTCTTCAAACAACTTAAGAACCCACCTAGATTTCACCAAATCATGAGAATTTCAGTTTTTTTTTATTTAATTATTTCAGAACGTCTTTAGGATAGGCTTCAATCTATTCTGGAAAAATAATTTGAATTATATTATAATATTACCTTCATATTTATCTCTTGGGGAAAGAAAGCGATGATAGTCACCAAAAGTTTTTCCAGCTATAACCTGTTAGTCCAGAAAATTAATAGATACAATTTAAAACATGAAGCGTAAAATCAAACATGCATTTGAGAAATATCAAGAATTGTACCAAACATGCAAAACAACCCATAGACTATCAATTGAAACACGGAGTTTAAACTTTAAAATATCATTTTTATCTAATAAATTATTCAATAAAATAAATATACAATACAACTACAGATCAGCGTAAAAGTTTGGCATCATATTCAATTGAATAAAAATGTGCAGTTACATACTTCCTAACATGGAAAAGACATGCAGAGAAGAGGGGGGTAGAGACAGATTTATTTGAAAGGAAAAATGAAAAAAAGAACATGTACTTTCACATACTGTGTAATTTATTCCACTGACTGTTATAGAGCCTGGTAATGGCCTTCCATCGCCTGAAGAATATATCCTTCCATGCACTCCTGTCTAGAGAGTAGAAAACAAATAGCCAATCAATCCAATTAGAAGCAAAGGGACCAACACTTTAAATTATGAGAATCAGCTAACCGATTTATGCATATTTCAAAATATAATGTAAAAGGTCATCTTTTAATCCAAAATATGCAACTGCCATAAAATATTATTGCACATCTTATTTCAAGCATTTTAAAACTGAATCTTCCAGGTTTCCTTCAATGTTTAAAAAAATTAAAGGGAAGAACAGTATGTGATGGAAATCAAAGGAAATGACTGTCTGCTAAAGGATAATGTGCACAGCAATTGATAAAGCAGTTCAGTGAGCTGAAGCCCCTTTTAAACTTTTATTTTCCTTATGCGCATTGCCCTTTGAACATAAAAAAAGCTTCACAGCCTTAGTTGGTAAATTGGTATAAATAGTATAGAGGATACATGATACAGTAGATTAGTAGTTGCTTGGTTATGATATGCCTAGGTTTTCTTGGAAGTTTATGTCTCCTTTGCCAGGATTTGTCCACAAAGCCTAAATATGTTTTGAATCTATTTTCTATTAGAGTGAAATCTGAAGAAGGGTGAGAGTGATTTCTTTGACAACTAAAGCTTGCGTTCGACGTGGATTTTCCGGTGTGAACTGTAACTGTAATGATGGGAGATGTTCAGTTCCATTATAGAGAACTTGGGATTAAGAACTTATATATTTCTTTATTAATAAACTTTTTTATGTCAACCAGTCTCTATAAGCATTCTCCTTGTGCACAAAGGTGACCAAATGGGTGAAGTAATTTTTAACAGTCAAAAAGAAAATATGATTTTATCATTGGGAACTGTTGAAATAGAAGCCATTATGGTAAATTGTATGTAAAGTAATTAGCATGTGTGCTCATACTACACAATTGTACAACAGACTGTAAAGTGCCTCAGATGTTGTTGTCTCCTACATCCTCTATCTTGAATATTTACATGAACCATTGAAGGGCTTCTGGAAAATTCTGAAGCAAAAGACAGGAAATAGATTTCACTTTAGTTCTTTAGGTGTAAAGCATATAAACAGAAACAGCATACCTTCACGAGGCTTGCCACAAGATTAAGCAAGCTCATTTTGTTGTATCTCCAAAGGATAGGAAGCTGGACATTAACAAAGTAAACAGTTGTCCTCATTATGAAACTTTTGGTAAGTAAATGATAACCAATAATATATAGATGCCAAACAAGCCAAGTATCAGACAGACACTTGGAGTTAGGATACAAAAAATGGAAAACAAGCTCCTTACATGCAGAGTTAGGTAGCACTCTGTTGAGATAGAAATTACAAAAGAAAACACAGGGAAGTAAAAGAAATTTTGCCTCCCAAAGCCCCTCCACTTTTTCGTTCTTGCATAGCCTTGCTTCTCATCCGCTTTCTTCTTTTAATCATTTTCTATGACAGAGTTCACACTTCATTCCCCCCTACCATGTCATAATTCTGTTACTTCCAATAGTGAATATTCCTTTTAGCCACCATACTGTCAACGTGAACCTAGTGCCTTATGGTCATTACTTCTATATTCCTATCAGAATTTCATTCTCATTCTTATGTTGGTCAAAAGCAAATACAAATCAATGCAATATAAAGAAACTGAAATAAATTATGTGTGTAACTATAGTTCAAGTCCTACTCCTGTGTAAATGGATGAGGAGAAAACTCACAATCATTGAAACTAGGGAGTTGATTTTAATGATGGAGAAGGTAAGATCTGGGTAAAAATATTGAAAATGATGAGCTGTAGTCAGTTGTATTGTCAGATAGAAACATATTCCCTTATCCTACTTGTTTTAACACTGGAAACTTTAAATTGAATGCTTGATTTATGTCAGAATGCATCCCAAGTTTCTCTGGGGGTTTAAGATTTTCTTGCTTTTTTTGAGTTCCCTTGTAGAAATTATCTGGGAAAAATTACATTCACAGCCCAAGGTTTAATACAAACTGCATTTGATACCTCTACTTTTTACCTTATACAAAACTCCCTTGATTTATAACAACATATTGCCATATATTGTTCCCATTAACACAGACTTCCCCTGATTTCTTATGCATTTATATTTATCAAGGAAGGTCAAAGTAGTCAGAAAAGGAAAAGATATCAGGTGTAAATGTGTAATTCAATCAAACTCAGGCCGCGGTGTTATTTGCCTTAATTATTTTACCCTATTCCACATATACTTTTGTAATTTTAAAGACTGCTCGGAATTAGAAGTTTGAACTAACCTCAGTAGCATTAGGCCATTTATTATCACTAACTTCCAAGGTCAACTCAAAACAACCAGCATGTATATAGTTCCAATCTTGCATTCCCCCATATAGAGGGTACCTGACATGAGTACCATTTGTAAATTGTGCACGTTTTAGAAGGAAACAGATTTCAGTAACGAACTACAAAGCAATACATTCAAAAAACAATACCATGCTGCTCCGTTTGTAATTCCACCGAGAAATTCCTTGCTTGAAGACATATTATAATGAGAGTGACTATAGATACTTGCCATGAATCGAAATGCATCGTCATCAGGACACCCATAGTACTTAGTCCTGTAACATATTCATATCAACAGACAAATTCAACACAAGAGTCCAAATTGGAAGCATGTCATTAAACATTACTTCAGCTTTTTATTTAATGCATTTATTTCTTATCCTATGTTTTCTAGTGTGTCCACTAGACTTTTGTTACTGACTTTTTATCATCCAACATTCAGCCTCCATACAACATTGCAAGTCTTGAAGCTGGGGTAAACTTTTCCTTTCAGTAGAAAAGAAAAATGGTGTTCTACTGAAATAAAATTTATTATGATATAGCAAACGCAGAATGAGTTGCAAATAAACAATAAATGTAAATTAAATAATGAGGATAATAAAGTATTTTATGACCTTTTGTCTTCGGTACCATCCCATGGATAATTTGCAACAAGTGCACCCTGAGGTTCAAAAACAAGACACCATTAATACACAAAGTCAGCATATATGAATAATACTTACAAAGATGGGCTATAATCAATTCTTCAATATCAACTACTCAGGGTTATTTTACATAGGTTGGCCTTTTCAACCATAGAATGAAAATAAAAGAAAGTGAATATCGGTGAAGAAATGAACACAAATTTTCAATGACTTTTGGCAACTTTATCTTATTGCCATTAACCAAACCCATATAACTCAACTTTGGCACTATGTATGTCTAATGGAGGAAATTGAAAGATTGCAGAAAGAAACCAAGAATGTAATATCTTGATGTATAGCAGGGTCCATATAAATGCAAGAAAAACTAGAAATAAACAGTTCAGTCCAGAGTACACACACATCACTAAAATAAATGAATAAATAAGTCAAGCAAACAAGTTATTATGTGAATCCAAAGAATTAATACCCCATGCAAACTGGCAGATGCTGTGAATTGTATATCTCTCAACCAATTCATTATTGCTCTTGTTTCAGGCTGCCGGGAATCCTCATCATCGTTTATAAAAACAAACTGTTTTTTCAATAGAAACATTGTACGATAATGATCAAATGATCTTTAGCAAGACATAGCAGTAATTATAACAAATAATGAATGAGATGTACAAATTGTAACTTTATATTTAAATTAAATGCAAATAAAAGGTATAAATATGTAGACATCCACATCCAGAAAGTAATTGCTGAAGGTTCTAATAGTAAATTCTCAGTCAACATTGAAAACATCAATATTGATTATAATGTTAGAATTTTATTTCATAGTAACAGTGAACTTCAACCAATTTCATCAACATATTGTATACATTACAGTTACTATTAGTATTCAAAACCATATATACCTGGTCAGGAAAATCCCGATTCAAATCAATATTATTAGCATTACCACGCTTTCTTAAACTAAATCCATCAGGATTCATTGATGGAAGCAAATGAAGGTGCACATTCTCCACAATCAATTTTGCCTGTAACATGAGTATCACTGTCACTAACAAATGCAAGGCATGAATACTGAATTCCGATATATAGAAAAGTCCATATTTATTTACTAAATGAATTTGTAACATGAATAGTTCTTTAACATTCACTCTTCTGAATATACAGCAAGATGGAAAAGCCTTATTTGGTGATTTTCTTTCTATTTTTTTTCATTATTAAAATTTCAATGCCAGCAAAAATTGAAAAAATTGTTAGCAAGCAGCAGAATATTTTTCTATTGGCCCCCACTAAAGTTTGTCTGTACAACAATAAATACTAAATGTGCAAGGTAAAGTTTGCACCTACTTATATATTATAATTCATCGTATCTCTAACTCACCATATCTCTAGTCAATATGAGATTTCTAACAGTTTTAGCAATATGCAATCATAATTTTGGCCAGAATGTCATAGTTTGCAACACTGTGACTGCAATATGGCTGCATTTGTCAACAACTTAGAGCAATATCAAGGATGTCACCTGCAACCACATCTGTGGCCGCATTGTCCAAAATCTACAGTAATATCAAGGATATAACCTGCGACCACAATTGTGGCCACCTTTGTCCCCAAATTTACCACAATATCAAGGATGTGATGAGTCTACAACCTCAATTTAAAACCTTTTTTTACAACAGTTTATAATCTTCTAGAATTTGCACCAGTATCAGTAATGTTATTTGTGCTGTCATAATCATAATTGATAATTAGAAGTTATAATTTTACAAGACAAACTTTCTTTTAGGATGCTATTACTATTTAACAAGACATTACAATTCTATTATCATTGCCATTTAGTTAGACAATACCATTCCTGATGTGGTGTTAATATCTGTAATGTCCCCAAAAATTTATCTACCGTAAAGTTCCTAATGGCTATTTAATGATAATGGCCCCAAGTGGGCAGATAAGCTTTCCCTAAACAATATTCCTAACTATTTCTTATAACAGCAATATATCTGTGGGGAAAGGCAGTGACAAACATGGGGAAAGATATCAGGATATATCTGTGCAAATAAAGGAAAGAAAAATACCAAAGGATCTTTCAAATAGTTATCACACAACCAATTGGCCAAAAGTATAAGAAGCTCACGTCCCACAGGTTCATCACCGTGCACATTTCCAATATACTGCATCAGCAAAATTTTCGTCAGAGTTGCTGAATACAAGACTACAGAATATTCCACAGATTTAATTAACAAAGCAGAAGTATAAATATAGTAGAGCACAAAAATCATAGCAAAAAAATTCCATATATGAGTAAAAAAATAACATAAAGAATAATTTATTGGGAGAAAATGCAACAACAGCTTGTTAAACCTTACATGCAAAAATGTAAAAATCCAAGAAAAGAAAATTGAGTAGTCATTCCTAAGATTATTTTGCATCTTATTACATGTTATCTGTTAGAGTCCGAGACAAATCACAGGATGAAACAGAAGTGTGGGCTCAGCAATTCTCCCTTAGGCCTACAAGTTGAAGAGTTTATTACAGGAGAAATAGAAGAAAGGTAGAAATATCTAATGAGCTGACAGAGGGAGAGAAAGAAAAGGATAGTTAGTTACAGATTGCTTTGTTTTTATATAACATCAGGAGGAGAGTAAGGGGTATTGAATAGTATCGTTTGGGTTGTTATGAGTGGATCTCTGTAGGAGCTGTGCCCAGGGTAGTGGTGATTATTTCTTATTGATTTTCGTTTTCTTTATAATATTCATATAAGCTTTCCTTCTTCATTCTCCTGATGTGTTTTTCTTCTCTGCATAATCCTTGCTGATTCGGTTCCATAACATTATCCGAGATAATTATTTTAGAAGGGCACTGAACATGGAGTGGGATTCTTCTGACAAATGTCTTTTACACACTTAGAAGTCAATGATTTCTTTAAGTCTTCAAATCCTTGAATTATCTAATCATTTACCCCAAAAAAGCTTCTGCCAGTTCAGTACATTGATGCACGCAGAATGCATTAGTGGTCGTAATCAAGAACAATAAAATTTTGGAATATCAAGAGTTAGGAGAACTAAAGAACAAGAATTCTTAAGTAATAACCATTGAATAAAGAGGTATTCCAAACATAATGCCATATTTTTCTATTTTTAATGAAGTAATCAACTTTAGTAAAGTGTAAAATGGGAAGGGAATCAAAAGGGTTAAAATGAGTGGAAAACTTATTTCAATTTACTATTAATGTGTCATCGTATTCTTACTTTAAAAGTTCGTAATGTCTGTAATATTTGCCAGTCAAAAGCAGCAAAATTGAAATAGAATAAAAGCATAAGCTAGTTGCCCCACTGGTATTGGGTGGCAAACACTCGCCTTAAATGCAGGTTCCGTCTCTTCTTCTCCTGGTTTGTCAGAAATCTCTATCACCAACTATATGGAATGAAGGAAAACAGAAAAGTGATGACAATAGCTTATATAAAACTTATTTAGATTCAAGTTCAGTCATAAATGAATTCCAAAAAGAAAAAGAAATTACCAGTGGAAATCCATTTACACTATTCCCAATACTGATAGCCCATTCCAATAATCCCTCAAAGAGAGAAACAAACTGCAAGTCAGTTGGGCAATTGCAAGAAGAACAGACTTTTTAAGAAGTCCATTTATTGGCAACGGAGGTAGGTATTAATGAACATTAAGCTCTAATGTCCTTGGTTGAGGCATAATTTTGAGATAGACAAGAACTGTACTAGTACGAGAAATCACCTGTATATCCTGGAAATGTTGCTGCATCTTTGTCCAAATTCTTTGATGGCCAATTCAAGGTCATCATTAGACATATATCCTTGTGCGAAATCAACACTGGTAAAGAAAACAATAAATAAATAAACATTGAAAACGAAAACACATTAAATACAGAACAAAACATAGTAATAACTAGTACATCATTGCTATCCAGAAAAAGATCAATAATGATTACCTTGTCTGAGTCTTAGATTCATTCTCCAACAAATGCCTTGCACGGCTTCCATTACTAAAGTCATTGAATTCTACAAATACCGACAAAAACATGCAGTTATAAACTTCAAATTCAAAATTCAACCTTTCAAACGAAAGAGCAAACGTTATTAAGCTAGTTATGACAACGTGCATACTCTGAGTGCATCCCAAAGTGGAAACATTTCACTTCAAACTTCTAACGCAGGCAATTGAAATGAAAACAAACAGAAGATAAATCCAGAAGCAAGTCAAGATAATTTCCCCAGTCTCATCCATTCAGAACCTCGATAAGTTCAGCAAATATTTATAAAGAGTAAAAACTATCATAAAATAAAAAAGCCCCGCACATTAAGAATAGTTGTCATCACTTAATTCCTAATGTATCCAAATTAACTCAGATAACTAAAATTAACAAAAAAAAAATACAAAGGCAATTAGCATGGTTTGAGATGCAAAGAAGACCTGAAGAAAGAAGGGTTTCTTGGAAGGAACCCTTGGCCAGAGAAGAGGAAATTGTAGAAGCAAAAAGGAGAAGAAAGAAAAGCAGCTTCATCTTCATCACCATGGACGTGGACAATGATGTCGGGTTCAGGCATCAGACTAAGGTTGTTTATTGTTTCGTTGCGATTTATCTGGGTCACTCACGTGACGTGAAAAATCGAAATTTTCAATTTCAAGCAATGTTGTTGCCTTTTACCCTCTTTTGGGCTTTAAATGGGCTGGCTTTTTCAATCATCACTTCACCCTTTTGAAGGCCCAATAGGCTGTTTTTATATATTCTTTAAAAAAAAAAAACTTTTCATGTCATAAAAAGTTATTTTCACCTTTTGGACACTTTATAATAAAAATTATTCGTTCAATTAAACTTTATGCCGAGATAACTTATTTTACTTCTACAAAACCTACTTTTTTTTTCTTATAATATGGTGTATAGACTCCAACGTTTCAAGACAACATAACACTATCTTATTTAAAAAATTGATGTGCATTTTCAAGGTTACTATGCGGTATTTATAGAGAAATAGGCAACGTTATTCAAGATACTTTTATTTATCGACCACAGGTTATAGATGAAATTTGATCTATGTAGCCATAATTTTCATTTATAGTTTTCCACTTAATTTTCCATTCGTCTACTTTAATGTTTATATGATTCCATGTAGTTGCAATGATTTTGATTTACCCATTGAATGTCACGCACCAACTAGGGTTTCTAACTTTGATAAACCATGTTGGTAAATGATTGTTTTCCACGTAATGCTTCAAATGACGCATAGGATAATAACAAGTTGGGATAAAACTACAGCTTCAACTTGTTAGATTTTTTCTTTACCAAATTGCTTTTAAAGTGGATAAGATTGTATTTTTCTTTTTTTCTAACACAAAATACAAATCAACATCCCATTACAATTCTCAACTTTGTTTGATTGGGATATTTTATGGACCATTCTGGATTGCACTTGCTCTACAAAAGATGCCTATTTTTCCTTTGTAATCACACCCATTTATACTCTCATTAATTATCTTTTATTTTCAGATCTAATAACCATCATCATTCATCCCTGCTCACATAATAATAATCACAAATGAAAACAAGAACAACAAAACCAAATAAAATAATGGTTTTTTGGCAGAAGTTTAAATTGCTGAGTAATTTTAGTCCTAAAAAGGAAATTATTAATAAATAGAAGTAGCAGATTATGGAGAAATCACCCACCTAAAAGAAACTCCTTAAATTGGGAAACAGTTTTGGGTTCACATCATTCCAGCCCAATTTTCCTAATTCAATTGAGTAACAATATAGTAATTATTGGATTCAAATTACAAAATATTTTAAAATTTGTTAATATACTTTAACAATGATTATTTTTAATGAGACTTTTAACAATGATCATGTAGAGTTACTAAGTTGAAAAACTTGGATTGATTTGTGGAATTTGGTAAAGAATGAAAACCTAATGAGAGGTCACATCCGAAAGAGTGATTAAATTCCTCTTTTTGCTAAGGAACCGCCCAAAACCTTTATAATACCATATCAGTTGCCGACACAGTGACGAATGAAGCGCGTGAGGCCAAACAGAAAGCACCTAACACAGCAATTATGACACGTGTACGGTTTATGTTGCACAAAGGCATTGCTAACGTAAATTATTTAGTGGTTAAATCGATTACGTTTGGGCGTTGAAATGGACAAGTGTACCAATTCTACGTGGCTAACGTGATTCCGTAACCGACCACCTTCTTCTCCTGTGCTACCTCACTTATCACCATTCTAGATTCTTCTTCTCCTCACTATTTCACCCTCTTAGACATTTCACCTTTTCTTTGTTTCTCTGATTGATTTAATTACAGCCATTAATACTGGTTTTTTAAAAATATAGCTGCAACCAATTTTATATATTGACAAGATGGATACTTTTGCCAAAAGTAACACTGCAATTAAAAAATAAAATAAAACCTACCATCAAAAGTAATATAATAATATTACTTTTATTTTTTTTAAACTATACTGGAAGAACTTTCATCATGCATGCGAATAAATTATACCTGGCAGCATGTGAGTTTGGCAATAATGTTTCCAGAAAAAACTAATGATTTTTATTTATTTTTTTGTTTCAAGAGAAACAAAGATCGATGGTTCTCTTACCATTCAGCAAATCAATAACAAAATTGGGACAACTTTATATGGTAAATTTTAAAATTCTTAGTTCTTTAAATCTCATAATCTAGATTTCAAATAAACATGTTTTGATCTCAAATGGTTTAAAAATTAAAATTAATAATAATTTATATATTTTTTTAATCTACACAAAATATTTTAAAACGGATAATAGACGAACAATATTATCCGAATATGAGAAAGACATTCTTGTTCGTAAATAAAATATAAAAAAAAATCTTTTTTCTTCTAGTAATTTTCTGTTTTTCATGTAATGAATTCAAATTCTAAACTATGAACTAATTTTTAAGTGGATCAATACTCCTTGCCATACTCTTGGAACATTTTTGTTTTTCATTTAAAAAGGAAATTGCATTGCATGAATGAACATTGTTTTAATCAACAAAAAGGGTTTTGGTGAAAGGAGTGAAAAACACCCGCACGATTCCAGAAAAAAAGACTGAATCCAAAGCATGTGAAGACAAAGCACTTGTGAGAGCTGATCAAAATCAACCACCTAAACATATATACACATTAAATATTTATTGATATGTGTTTTATTTTCAGAAACAAAGTTTAAAATATGGAGAAACATCTATAAAAACACACCTTTTAATAAATATTTAAATGTTCGTTAATTCATCGGTTCAAATTTAGAACATGACATGGTATGATGATGATGATGTACATGATGATGGTGGTGGTGTTGGAAGCGAGAGTGGGGCCCACGTCCAAGTGGGATTGGAAATTTGAATGTCGGAAACAAGTCAAGCAGAGTGACGGAGACGATGAGAATTAGATTTGTGTATATCTTAAAATGTCTCCTGATTGGGCCTGGCAGAACTGAGTCGACACGGTGGACTCGGCTCCGACTCAACAAAATAAATATCCTAGGGGTGCGTGCCTCTCCCACCAGATATTTCTTAACTGACCCAAATGCTGCCCGCTACCTCCCAGCCACTAGTGTGCCACGTGTCTGATCATGGTAGCTCGATGAGTTTCCGGGCAGGGTAACGGGTAGGGCAGGGCATAGTGCAATGGAATCTGAATCAGACAATTTGGGTGTGATCGATTACCTTGTACTGCCTCGAACTTGTACTTTCAAACTTAACAGGTTCCTTGTAATTTTAACAAGTTAAATAATAAATTATCCGGATTTCGCTTAATTAATTTTTTTATTATTTTAAACATTTAGAACACTTTTTTGCAGAATATTCTATAAAAGTAAATTTTGAATAAGAATATAAAAATTCAATTTACTTGTTCCACACATAATTTCACATTTTCACTCCAATGTAAATAAACATAAGCAAGATGTGTAAAAGAATACAAACATACTTATAACGTTCATTAAAAAGTCACGGAAAGATATGGTGATTATAATCAACTTTAAAATTCATTATAATTTCAAACATTGACTAACTTCTAATACATCATTCATTTAAAATATATTATTCATTCTATAAAACTTTGATTATTGATTTTTTGGTTGATCTGTTGAATTTTAATTCACAGATTTTTTTTTTCAGTCTCAAAAGTTAGCAAATGTAGTATTTTTGTCAGACATTTTATGCTTCGAACTTTCATATTTTTTTATATGTAGACATTTGGAACTTTACGATATGGATTAAAAAAATATAAATAAAAAAATTAAGACTTGGCCTTTAAAAAAAGTAAAAGATATAGTGGAAACCTTGAATTTTTGAAAGAAACTAACAAGTTGTAAGATTGAAGTTTCAACAGTAAACATTTTTAAGATATTTTACTTTTTAGATTAAAATTGGATGAAAGATGGTTTAAGCAATTATATTTGAAAAATAAATAACAACGATAATAAGAAATTTGAGAACAACAAAAATTAATAGACTGATTTTAAATAATTTTAAAAACATAATATTTATAAAACGAAGAATGACAAATAATCCAAAAAAATTTAAGATATTAAGGCAACATGATATACCAATTAGGTGTTTAGCAATAGAATTTAACTACTAGGTTGTTATATTTCTATTACTCGTTTTCTAAAAGCATTCGGATTAATTATGTCACTAACTAGTAGTTTGCTGAATGTTTTCACGTCAAAAAGAAAAAGGTTTGATATATATATATATATATATATATATATATATATATATATAACATATTTATATTGTGTATATTTGTTTGTAAGATGATTACATGAATTTGTGAATATAATCAATGACATGGCATGTGTATACATAAGACAGATATAGCATGTCCAAGCTTTTGAAATATGGGCGTTGACATGTATCCTTTAATGATGCCTAAGAAAACCGGAACCGGAAAACTGCTTCCCCTAGTTTAGGTTGTTTTAATATTTAACACATAGCTAATAACATATTGAAACCACTTTACACAAAAGTAGAATCGCCCATGTCAAGTAGCACTAGGGTATCTTTCAACCAGCACTACATAACGTGTCTAATTTAAAAACTGAAAACAAAAATGCACTAGTGATTACAAAATGAATATTTACGCACTTTGAAGAAATTGAAACGAATGATCTTGTTTTGATGAACTAAAAAATGGTTTCTTTGTGTTGATGGAAAAAGAAGGGTGAGAGGAGGCAATAAATTTAGGTCAACCAAAAGCAGAGAGCCTATTAGCTTTTGCCTAATATGCGAAGAATATGAGCCATGTCTGCCACGTATGACCAGTCAACCCAATGCTCACTCCCAGATTATTAAATGGGATTTTGTCAAACGTGGTGGTAAACGTTGGTTGACTTTTGAAATACCACCACTCTTTTCTTTTCTTTTCTTTTTTAAAAAAAAAAACACACACACACACACACTTTCAAGTGGAACAAACCTTTGTTGCTTTTTTTTTTTATCATACCTGACATAAGGGATGAGAAAACGGTTACTTCCTCCGTGTGGGTCCGCCACGGCCAGTATGTCATAACATATTTTTAGTTTTTTACTTCATTTTCGCTTATTCCGTCGTGTCTGTCAATCTATCGGATTAATCCACAGAGGTGTGATGGAATCGTCTGCAACCTGTTTTATTAATATTTATTTTTATTATGATATAATACAAAAAATAAAAAAACAATATATAATAAAATAATTTATAAAACAAGAATTTTAATAAAAAAATTTATAAAAGGAGAATTTTAATGTTTATTTTTTACACAGAAAATTCATAAAATGTCAATATTTCATTATTAAGATAAATAATTTTTTTTTATTATATACATATATTTATTATTATATAAATTTTATTTTAATTTAATTATTTAAAAATATAATTTATTAAAATAATATCACAATATATATTATTAACTTAATATATATATATATATAATAATGATAATTTTATTATTAAATTTATTAAAAAATTTGATTTAAAAATAATAAAATAAAAAATATAACGGAAGTCTGCTAATCTACTATAATAGAGTAAACTAAAATCTATAATCTATCATGATTATAACGAGTTAATTCATCTTGTCCATTTGTTATGAATTAAAAATCGGATGAACAAAACTTTTTTATGATATTCATTTTAAACCTATTTTAATATATATATATATATATATATATATATATATATAACAAACAAACAATGATTAACTATTTCAAATGCTATAACTTTGAAAAAAACATAACCAAATGAAGAAGAGATTTGTGATGGGTGTTTGGTTTGTAATTTGTAGATTCTCTCGTCGAGAAGGGGAAAAAGATAGAAGAGAAAAAGAAAAAGAAAATTGAAACGAAACATTGGTGAGGCGTAAAAATCATAGAATTTGGCTAATTTGCTATATTTAGAAAGGTGGTGAATGAAAAGTTGTGAAGGAGACGAGGCATCGAGCAAAGGCAATTGACGTGTGAAGTGGAATAATTTGATGATTGCCACAAAAATCGAAGGGTGAGAATGGCCTAATAAGTAGGAACGCAACTCAAATAAATATCTACCACAGTGCACTCGACAGCGCAACGCACCAACCAACACAAACTCATCCACTATTTTATTCTCTTCTTCACCCTCTCTCCCTCCAATAATTCCAACTTTCCATTATTCAAATTCACCCAACTCATCACGCCCAGGTCACTTTCGTCATTTCTATCAACTTCCAACCTCTTCGTTCTCCATTTTAAATTACGAAGGTGCTGCCCAATGAATTCCATCACATGGAGAGAGTGTCCAGTTTAAATCAATACTGCACCAAAAGTAACACCCAATTTGCTATGCATCACTCCTGTTTCTTAAGACCTAATTTCATCCTAATCATTTCTCAAATGTCACTTTAAATAATTAAATATCAAAACTTAGCTAAGTTAATATGAATGTGTTGAATCTTGTCATAATCATCCAATCACAATCAATGGCTTAAATTATGCATTTAGGCCTAGATTTCACGTGATATTTTAGTTTCATAATTTCGTAACTAAATACACAATTGATCTGGTTCTTTTTAGTTTATTATGATTGAAATTTTACTGTAGTTTTACATGTGTTCACGTGTTTTATGAATGTTAATACCAAAAGGAAAAAAAAGATTTAATAAAGAAGAAAAAAATGTATAATTATAAATTATAATAACACGAAATGAGTGAGAACTGAAGGATGGTTAAAATTAAGGACACAATTTATAGATCCCACAGTTTTTTAATAAGTTTTTATTAAAGTTTCCATGATTAATAATATTATTAACAAGTCCCTATACTTAAAAATTAATGTAATTATATATCTCTCAATTAAAATCATTTATAAATCTGTTAATTTAAATATACAAACGAAATCATATTTGTAGTACGTCAAATATGATAATGTGATTTTAGTTTTTAAGTCTAATTATTTATTTACTCCCACTGTTGTTAAAATGTCTAATCAACTCTCATGGTTTAAAAAAAATATAAATGTACCATTGACAATTTTGATCCATGCATAATATAGTTTAAAATATATGCATATTTATAATTTAGAAAACGAAGGATTTTCAATGACCAAAAGATCATTATGTCATATTTTTTGAATTAAAAATTTTGATTAACTGTTAAAATTGTTGTATTTTTAAAGTGAGATAATTGGTTGAAAATTTTATTCATATATTTAGAAAATAAAATAAAATTAAATAACCAATTAGTAAAAAAAAACTTTTAAAATTTATTATTTTTAATAATATTTCATAATCAAGTTCTGCCTTAATTTTAAATTTGAATCGTCTAATAACGTGTAAATAAAATGACATGCAGAATAAGTAAATAATAAGATTTAGGAAAATATTTGTTGGTGGGAAAAATCGATATATGGATCGAAAAGCGGATGGAAGAAAATCGAGAATTGGAATCAAGAATCGAAAGAAGAAGATTCGATGGCTATTGCTGAAGAAAATCGAGAATCGAAAGAAGAGGGGTTCGATGGTTATTGCTGAAGAAAATCGAGAATGAGAATCAAGAATAGAAAGAAGAGGGTTCGATGGTTATTGCTAAAGGAAATCGAGAATTGGAATCGAGAATCGAAAGAAAACAGGAAATTCGATGATCATGGGGAAGTAAAAATCGATGAAAGATATTGAGTATGAAGTTAAATGTAAAGCCAGAAATAGTTTTAAATACTGAGATGGTTGAGGTCAAGATCAAAGGAATGGTTATTACGCACATGGAACGTGGGAAACAGTTTTCTAAACCGTAGGCTAAGGTAAAAATCGAGGGATGTGCACATGAAACGTGGTAGCAGTTTTTTAACTGCTCTTAGAAGGTTACATGCAAAATACTCTATAAATAGAACGAAGTTTGAAGGAAAACGGGAAATTAGCAGAGACAATAGAAACACAAGTGAAAAGTCTACCGGAGAAACGACGGATCATAAAATTTCTGGCGCTCTGGATTTCCATTTTCGTTGATTGTCTTTATCGTTTTCTTTACTTTTCCTGGTAATTTACATTCATTCAGTCATTTACATTTATGCAATTTAAGATTTTGCGTAAAAGTTCATCGCTCTTTACATTTCTGCAATTTCAATTCACTGCTATTTAGACTTCTGCAATTTCGATTTCATGTTATTTACACTTATGCAATTTCGATTTCTTGCTATTTACACTTTTGCAATTTTGATTTTCTGTTATTTACATTTTTGCAATTTCAATTCATTGTCATTTACACTTAATACAATTTTAAGGTTTCGCATTTACATTTATCTGCAATTTAATATTCTGCTTTGCTTTTCGTCTCGATACCTTTTACTGCTTTCTTTACTTCGAGGTTTTTAATAAAAAATACAAAAAATAGTACTTTCGATTTCAATATGCATGCTTTATCACACTTTTCATGTTTTTAATATACGTGTATGCTTTATCTTCCATTCGGCTCGATACTGTGACGTTTTCGATTCTCATACATGTTTTGATTGAAAACTATTTGCTAGCTTAAGTAAAAAAAATCTACATGATTGAAATTTGGTTATAACCTAAGTCTCTGAGAAATCGAAATCGACCAAATTTTCACCAGAAACAATATTAAACGTGAAAAATGAATATTTGAATATTCATTAACTCTTTTATTCTACAATTACACAAATATGTTTGATATATACGTATTTTTAGTTTCTATATTTACAAGAAAACACATGTTTAATGAAAGACTTAAAAACAAGTTTTGGAAGTCAAATTAGACTAAATATTTATAGAACTGAAATATTAACACTTTTAAATATTTGAAGAGAGCAAAATCATGCTTTACTATAAAAAATATTACATGAAAATATTTTAGAAAAAAAATGGATTGCAGAACAAATTTAACACCTATCAACATTTTTTACTATTTAATTAAAAAATAAAAATAAAGAATAAATTATATAATAAAAATGTGGTTGTAAGAATGATTGATATATATATATATATATATGACATAATTTCATTTTAATAGATTAAACACAAATAAAAAAACTCAAGCAACACAATTTCATAAAAAAGAAAGTTATTTAACATAAAGAAATTTAGTTGTGATTAAATAGATAGAGTGTTAAAAGAAGTAAGTTACTTTTTATTTGGTTACATAATAATATATTTTATTTACTAATGATAAACATACATTTATTTTTTGTTGTCGGGATATGCTATTATACTTTATATTTATTTATACCATTAGTTTATATAGTAGATTAATTTAATTATTTACTGTACCTTTTTACATTTTGTTAACGTGAGAGTAATTATTTATTAAATTGCTAGTTTTATTATCATAAAAATATATAAAAACCAGAAGCATAACTAGTATACCTTATTTAATATTCTTTCAAGTCATATAAAATATATTGTCATCTCTGTGAAAAAATACAATTTTAATTTATTAAATAAAGTAATTTGTTTTGTAATTTTAGCACTGATATTTGTTTGTCATTTTTCCACTTAAGTTCAATACAGATAAACGGTACATAATTATATTAACCAACAGTTTTTTTTTTCTTAAAAATCGTAATAACTTTTTTAATGTGCTTTATCTACATGGACATATCAAATTTTATATTAAGGAGATAGAAATTAATTTACATATCAAATTTTATATTAGGAGATACAAATTAATTTAACCTAAAATAGTAAGTGAATTACAGAAAAGGGCATGGTGAATATATATGGTGTAATGATGATGGATGATGGATGTGGATACATAAACATGAATGTGCAGAGTAACATGACGTGACACGGGCTCTGAGGTGAGAGGAAAATATCATTGCCACGTATGCATTCAATCTAGGCTTCTCAGAGCTCCTAAAGATCTTCTCCTTCTTTCTCTCTCCCAGTTGTGTTAGTTTAGCCTTTCTCTCTCTCTCTCTCTCTCTCTCTCTCTAATATTTTCATTTCATAAAACACCAGAATTTCCCATTTTTTCACCTCCATCGTTTCACCTTATTAATCACGATTTTTTCTTCCTGAAATAATTGCTTTTGCACTCGAAAGGACTCAGGTACATTTTTTTTGCTGATTTTTTTTAATTTTATTTTTTTAGTTGATGTAATGATTTGCTAGGCTTCTGGTCTTGTTCATGGTGTTTGTGTTAATTTCTGGAGGGGATTTGATAGTCTGTCTATCTTACTTTTTTAAAGAAAATTTTGTATGGGGAATCTGAGTTGTTAGATATTTAAGGTTTTTTTTTTATTATTTTTTTTTTTATTTTTTTTTAATTTGTACCAGCTTTTGAATCTTAGCTGACCTATTTGGCCTGGAGGGAAATTCAATACTTCTCGCACAAAGTCTCATTCTTACTACTATTTTTGTTTTAATTTTTTAAAGATTTGATTTTGCTCGGTTTGGCAGGATTCTGTTCCAGATTTTCATTATTTAGGAATTTTTTTTGAATTTTTATAGTGGTTTTAGAGTGAAAAGAAACCAGGAAATTAATAGTAAATTTGAAAAGTACACAGGTTTATTGTGCTAAATATCTACTATTTTTCTCGAGATGCATTTGGCTGTCTTCTGATGTGCCTGCTTTCTGTCAAAAGTAAATCTTTTCCTGAAAATTTTTTGGTGGATGGCGAATTGTTAGTGATTGATTGGTTACTAAGGTAAAAAGTATCTGGCCATGGTGAACAGGGAATGGTGAATTACGATATTTTAATTCTTGATTGGTAGCATGTTTTGGCTGGAATTTGGATAATTGCTTTTAATTGTCAGAGGTAGAAGGACACAATACCTTGAAAGTAGATAGATGGCTTCTTCTTCTTCAGTGGCTGCTCCCAGTGAAAAATGGATTGATCGTCTTCAGTTCTCCTCATTGTTCTGGCCTCCCCCTCCAGATGGTCAACAAAGAAAGGTGTCACTTCAATCTTGAAACCCCTCCCAAGCCCTTTTTTCTGTAAACATTTAGGAGCTTTTGTGTGTTTCTGTCCTATGCACTTGATGTCTATGCTAATAGTAATGGGACAAAATGGAAAAATTCTATTAGAAAAAATAAAGTATTTATTATACTTGAAACACAAAAATCATTTATTGACTGCTTTTTTAAGTAATTGAAGAAAACATTTAGGAGCATATTTAATGCCCTTAACCTATTGGTGCATAGGATGGAGAAATATTTTGCCAATATGATTAAGGTTTGAAGACGATGGGGTTGAGCACACATATGCCTATGTTTTTTGAAAAAGTTAATATCTTTAAAACATAACTAACATATTGTGACGTGATACAATCAAAAGGATACATCTTTTCCAAACCAGTTCTGTTTTGTTTTGGAAATTGTTCCATTTATTTTTGTTGTAATTTCACAAATTTTGGTGATGGGCACGTTTAAGTTTTTATTGTCTACTTACTAGGATATTTAATCCAAGTAATTGTACATACACTGAGAGGTTTATCTTAACTTTTTTCTTCCCAAGTGGACATGTCAAATCTTCAGGTAAACATAATAGTAGCATATTCCACTGAAAAATGTGGGATATTTTCCTTGATGAGGAGATGCGATCTGGTAAAAACTTTGTTAAGTGAATAAGTTTGCCTAGGCTCTTCCCTTTCACATGATCATATTAGTTTACTATGATCCTGTGACCTATGAGTAACATTCATTAGCTGTTAGAGTGGTTTTATATGCACTGTTGACTGTTGAATATCCATAGAGTGTATGATTTATTACTGTTGAATATCGTTAGAGTGGATGATTTATTTTTTTGTCGAGAGAAGTTGGCATTTCCTATTAGAATTTAAAACAAAATTACAACATTTTCAAATATCTGATAAAAGAGATTTGAGTAGCATATCAACTCATTAATTTTAAATTGATTTATGTATGTACGAGTGCTGAAGCAGAGGTATGATTTTATCATAAATAAGTAGGATTAAAGAATAGTTTATTATTCGTATGTCGAATGACTGGAGACATTTTGGTGAAACGTTTATTGAAGTTTGATAACCTCAACAGGTGGCACTGTTGCAATGTCCTTGTGTAGAGAAGTTCTATAATTCCCATTAGATGGCAATAAGAAATTATCATATCTTTTTGTAAAATAATCTGGAAAAACAATAATTTGTGAAGCATTAGATTTATCCATAATTATGTTTTCTTACATACATAGCTATATCCAACATTAGATTGCATTTGGATATTTTTTTAAGGTACACATTGGATACTTTCATGTTGTAGAATATATATATATATATATATATATATATATATATATATATATATATATATATATATATATATATATATATATCATTAGATTGACTGAATTTGAATTTTGTAATGCCATTGGGTGTATTCACTCTAATGAAATTTTCCCAAGTCTTTTCCAAATTTGTTTTTGTCTCTATATTTACTGTAATTTTGTTGGAAAATTTGAGTGTAGGTATCATATAGTATAATTGTTTGAACGAATACATGTGCATACATAACTTGTTACTGTTTCTTGCCAATTCTAGATTCATTAGATCCTAACAGAAAATGGCACCGTGAAAAGAAAAGGAAATGTCCAATTATCAACCTCCCATAACTCAATTCATCCTAATGCAAACCTGAAAGAAATCTCCTGGCAGAGAACTTTGGGATGATAAAAACCCCGGTAATTATTTGATTGTGTGAGAAACTGGCTATGACAATGAAAAGGGAGCTGATTAACCACGTTTTAGAGGGTCTGAGTCATATACTTTTGGTGCATTTTGACTCTGCATATTTCTGCTTATTTGGTCACAAAAAGGTCTTCTTAACTCTTACGTGTTGTTTTCAAGTTTGATCGGCTATAGCCTCTAGGATGGAACTTTTCCACATCCACAATTCTTGTAATAACAAAATGGTTAGTGGCTGGTTACCTCTCCACAAGGTTAAAAGTTATGGTGTTTTCAACAGATTGATAATGTAATTGTTATGGATGTAATATAAAAATCATTTATGTGACTTTACTGAACAACTTAGGCTTTTTGGAATAGTCATGACATGATATTGGAGTCCTTACAACCAACTGGTCTAGAGTTTGATCCTTGAGGTTCCCATTCTCCTAATGTAAAAGTTGAATTTCAACACAGTGTTGTGGGCCCATGTAGTATCCAAGCTTTAAATGCAAAGGATACTTGTGTGAAGGGTGTGTTGGGAAATCAGTTTAAGTTGAGATAGTTGGTTCTGGACTAGAATGATGTAGAGGGGTGCATCTTTGTACTTTGGTCATAGCTGGAATCAGCATACATATGGGCCCATGACGAGACAAGCAGCTATCTATATTTGCCAGTTTAGCTGTTAGATATTTGTGATTCTCTGGTATTTTTGGGAACTGTTGGATATCCTGAGAATTTGAAGAACTTTCTTGTATGACATTTCAAAGGTTTTGGTGGGAGTAATGAGTAATAATGATTAATGGAGACAAGATTGAACAGTGGAATGCAAAATGCTTATGTTTGGACAACTGTGATTTTATTTTTATTTATCTTTTTTTTTTCCTGTTGCATCATTTATGGAATTAAATGATTTTTTTGGTTATCTCAACTAATCTCTATTTCTGAGGGGTCTCTTTACTGGACTTTAGATAGGCTGGAGAAATTTGTTCACTTGATGTGCAACTCTTGTGTGTTTGTGTGTGTTTATTTTTTTTCTTATGAATTTCTTTTTGGGGTCCATATCTTCTGTACTTGCACTTCTGATGCTATACATCATCTGTTGACAAAAGATTCCCTGAAATGGGATGATATAATAAATTGTTTTGTAATAGTTTCTCTATGCATTTAGTTTCACAGAGTTTCCTAAATAACCATACGAAGTGGGTTGCCTTTCAATATTACCTATTGATTAAAGTTAGTATTTTATTATGCATGTAATAAATTGGAACCTCTTCTGTCTTATTGCGCTAGTAAGACATATTGGAAGCTTTTTATTGTTCCATTTTGTTGGTTTTTGTCTTATTATTTCTGCTTTTCCTAGGATCAAATTGCTGCGTATGTTGAGTACTTCATTCAGTTTACATCAGAACAATTTGCCGATGATATTGCTGAGGTATGATAAATGCACCCATATTTACTACTGATATGGAACAGAAAAAATCTATTCAAATTATTCTCTTTTGTATTATTATTGTAATTATTATTATTATTTTTTACATGAGAAAGCCAATAGATTTTATCAAATGCCTCTCACTCTGTTCATATTATTTGACAGTTGATCCGTAACCGTTATCCATCCAAAGAAATTCTTCTCTTTGACGATGTTTTGGGTATTTATGCTCTATCCCATGTTAGTTTGACTTATGGTTAACTCAACATAAATGTTGTTACCATAATTTTATCTCTATCTTATGTGTAATAACTTTTACTTTTACATTACTTCCAGCCACATTTGTCCTTCATCATCCAGAGCACGGACATGCAGTTGTGCTTCCAATTATTTCATGTATTATTGATGGTACACTAGTCTATGATAAGGCTAGTCCTCCATTTGCTTCTTTCATATATTCAGTCTGCCCAAAAATTGAGGTATAGTATAATTCCTTGCCTGATATTTTGATTTTATTAATATATAATTCAATTTCATAGAGTATCACATTTGACTGAATGTCTCATAGAATCCATTTAATAAGAATCTTTAATATTATTATACAGGGAAACTTTGCCTATAGCTATACAAGGAAACTTTGTCTAATACATGATTAATTTACAGTTATTCAAATTTGTCAAGTAATGAAATAAAAACAACAAATAAATCAGTTTCTGTCAAGGAAACTTTCCTTCTTTCATCTTACAAATTGATTAATATAGACACTATTCGACTTAAGCTTCAACAAAGTGGTTCTCTATAATTTTCATTTTCTGTGTATAATTTTGCAGAATGAATACTCAGAACAATGGGCTCTGGCATGTGGTGAAATTTTGCGTATTTTGACTCATTACAATCGCCCTATTTACAAAACGGAAAGACAAAATGGTGAAACAGAAAGAAGCAGTAGTGGCAGTCATGCCACCACTAGTGAACCTATTAATGGGAAATCTGTGCATAATTCTTTGACACAGCAGGAGAAGAAACCCATAAGGCCATTGTCTCCCTGGATTACTGATATCTTGTTGGCTTCACCAGTAGGCATTAGAAGTGACTATTTCCGATGGTGAGTATTTCTTAGTAATTTATTCAGACTAAGTAACAAATAGTTTAGCTCTATCTATTTATTTGGCCAGATGTAGTTAATTGTGTATGTTTAGCTTTGCTTGCAAGTTCTACAGGTGTCATGGTTTAATTTGGTTCAGTTTGGTTCAGTTTAAGGTTTGGCCTCAATCTCAACCATATCTCATGGTTCACAATTTCAAGAACCAAAGACAATACAATTGTGGTCTGATTCACTTTCAAACCATGGTTTATTAGTGTTTCAAGTTTGGTTATTACCACTTGAAATAAAAGAAGAAGGAATAATTGAATATTTTTGTGTTTGTAATACAATGTCTAGTCCACTGTTATAATCCTTCTAATGGAAATAGGGAAATTAACTTAAGGAACATAGGAAAAATATTAAAGACATGAGATACTCATCTATTTTAATAATACCACAGATGTTTGCTACAAAGATATTTACTGCACCCACTTAAGTTGGTAAATGAATATTAATCATTCTGCACTTGCTAGTGAGTTCATGGAATTTTGATGGGGAGCCCTTTTGGTGAATACATTTGCCAATTGGAGCTCCCAACTTATCTTTGATGAAGTGCTGATCGATTTCTATGCACTTAGTTCTGTCCTACTGCATGGGATTGTGAGAAATGCTAATAGCTGAATTATTATGATTAAATAGTTTCATACTTGAACATATCAAGAATTATTATCAACATTTTTTGTTTTTCACTCCTCCATGCCACCAAATTTCCTCCCAAATACATGCAATACCTTGAGGTGGATCTTCAATCAATAACTGACCTGACAGAGTTTGCATCTGTATTCTCAATTCTATTTAATGCCTACAAGTGTCTCTTTTGGGGATCATGCATGAATTGGCATACCACTCATAACATGAGCAATGTGTAGACCAGTGTGAGATAAATATATGATCTTTACCACCAGTCTTTGGTATTGAGACTTCTCTACTGTTCGTATTAAGTAATCTAGTGGTCCCAGAAGCAATCAATCATAGCAAAGTCCAAGATATAGGCTGAATACCACTACCTTGCGCTTGCTATTGCAGAAGTATCTTGGCTTCAATCCTTTCTAACTGAATTTGGAATTACATATGTTGACCCTATCATTCACTAAGACAACGTGAGTGCTGTCTTTCTTGTCATAATCCAGTCCTTCATATTTGCACCAAACATACAGAGTTTGACCTGTTTTCTGTTTGAGAAAAAGGTTCTCAACAAATAAATTTAGGTTGTGCGAGTCCGACACTTGACCAAATTCTTGTGCTTCATCTTGTTGGGAAAAATTAGGTTGTGAGCCAAGGCAACATTGCCTTGAGTAACTTGAAATATTGTATGGGCAATGATAGGCACAACTAGTTCAAATAAAGGTTGGATCCTTAAGATATTAGTTGAAACTTTGAGCTAATTTGTTGTATTTGACTCGTGTTGGACCTATCAATCACCATTTATTTTTGAATCACCAAGTGTTTGAGCCAAGGAGAATTGCAATAAGGATTTCAATTGAAACCAATGGTGGGAGGAGCAAACCACCTTTCTTGATTGGGAGGAGTTTAAGTGTGTGTTAAATGGACGATTTCAACCTAGGCTGGTTCAGTTGGGTCCATTGTTGAGTATCAAACAAATTGGACTAGTGGTAAAGTATCGGCAGAAGTTTGAACTACAAATAAACCCATTGAAGAGAGAGGAACAAATAAGGCTGGAGAGCATTTTCCTGAATGGGTTAGAAGAAGAGATGATAATATGAGAAAGCTAATTCGAGAGTGATGACTCCTCCAAAGGTTTTCAGAACTAATTCTAGACACTAGTTGTTCCTTATTCTGATTTCTATGTCAGGAAAAATTGTTATGGTATCGATGGTGGGATCCGGCTTAGGTATGATATAAAAAGTTTGGGTAGTGGAAGTGAGATGACAACTAGACAATGGAGTAAGGGACCAATGACTTAAATAATTAGGGTTAAAGAAATAGGAAAAACGGAAAACCTATTTTTAGTGTAAGTAAACTGTAATCATACAATAACAATAGTTCTGCATGGATTGGATTGTTTTCCTAATAGGAATGGAAATTTGATCCTATCCACTGCAGAAGAAAATCTGATTTTCTTATTTGTTTGGTTATCATTTCTTTGGTTTCATTATTGTGGTTTGCATTGTATTTGATCAATTGATGAACATGAAGTTATGAGATTGTTTGAAGAGGTCAATGTAGAGGAACATGAAGTTTAGTGAAGTTACAGGGACTACATAAATAATTTGAATTGTAGTTAGAAAGGCATAATCTTAAAATTTGAGGTATAAGAGCATGACTAAACACGATAGGTCCCAAACCAATTATATGCTTCTATCGGCATTCAACCTTACCATTTTTATGGTGGTATGAGGAAAATTGAGTGTGTGGCCAAACTTTTTTGAGCTTGTAATTTACTTTTACGCCATAGTTTGAAAGAAGACCTTTAAAATATTGAGCTAAGTTTGTTTGGGTGTTTTTCATATTTCTCTTTTAGAAGTTAATTTTATGTAAAAAGTTGTTTGGATTTGCAAAATTTATTTTTAAGATAAAAGTTCTTTTAAGATAATTTGAGTTACAATGAACTCCATATTCATTTTTGAAGTTTTGAGAAACACTTTCTTTCCATGTACCATTAATGTCACTCGATTGGATTACTCAACACATAGCAACAACCTTCTTTGAGTAGGATGAAGTAGGTGCCTATTGAGCTACAAGCTTGTTGGCAGCTTTTCCTGATTGTTAATTGACATATATAGGTTAGCTGAATATCATCTTGCAAACCAGTGAAAAGGAAAGAATTTGACTCATGTTCATTATGGCTTACCTGTATAGAAATATAGCATAGCTAATACATGATTTGATTCTCCCATAGTGTAATGGATTGAATTATTTTGTTATGCTTTGGGCACTGAGCATCTTTTAGCTCGAAGTTGATGATTTTGCTCTATGTTAACAGGTGCAGTGGTGTTATGGGTAAATATGCTGCAGGAGAACTCAAACCTCCATCAACTGGTACAACAAATTTTGATACTTTAATACAGAATGCTGTTCTTTGTTTTTTGTAGCACTTAAAATCTACTACGAATACTTTTTAACCAAAGATTGAGATTATGATAACACTATATGCGAGCTAACTGTGTACATAGAATTTGGAATTGCCTTTTCTCTTCATCCTTCACCTTCATTCTCCATCACTACCATTTTTGTTGGTTAATCCAAATATAATATGCAGAAATCATTTGCCAATTAAGTTTAAATAGGTAGTTTTATTCTCTCTTTGAATAAGTTAAGCATTCTTTTTTTCTTTTTAAGACTTAAAGATGATTTTTATGTTGCTGTTAGGGTTTAAAAAGAAGTTGTGAAGATATTTAGAATATTAATAATGTAGTTCATTTTGTAATTTGAGCATTAGCTCTTTGTGAAAGGAGAAATCCTTTGTGAAGGGGAAACCCTTGGAGGAGAGAGTGCTGTCTCATTTCTTGTTTCTTTTCATTTTATTCAATAAAAATCTTTATTTTTCTTTCTCTTTTTAATTCTTGGTTCCTAACAAATTGGTCCGACCTCCCGGAACTTTGAGACAAAGGAAGCACAAATTTGGGCCATGGGGAAGCTGCCAACATTTGTGGGGGAAGATCCAATTGGTTGGATTGTTAGGGCTGAAAAATTATGAGGTGCAAGAAATTGATTCGTTCCATAAGTTGCAATATGCATTCATGAGCATGAAGGGTGGCGCAATGCCTTCGATCTATTATTGGTGCCAAGATAATCCAGAATCATATTGGGAATCATTTTCAACTACTTTGATAAAAAGATTCAAAGATACCTATGGAGCCACATCTTTGAAAGATAGACTGCCATGAAGCAAGAAGAACAAACCGAAATGGAAACTTGCAGTAAAGAAATGGAGACTTCCACAGTGTTCTTGAAAGAGAGGGCCAATATTATAGAGTTGAAATACATGTTGCACAAGATATTGAGTGAAGAGAGTGATCGACATTTGACTGAGCAAGACAAAATAGCATGGAGGGAAATGGTCAAAATGCATTGAAGCAGAGGCTAAATCTTATCAATTATTATGTACTTGGGTTTGTGACTTTATAAAGGTCCATTTGGGATGATTTTGAGTTTTAAGTTTTGAAAATTTCAAAAGGCCAAACCCGGTTTTTGTTGTGTTTTCGGATTTAGTTTTCTTGGTTTTTTGTTTTTCAAAATTTGTTGCAAATTGAAAATGAGTCAACTACTGCAACTTACTTTGTCCCACTAAAATTTCTCCCAATATAAAAAAATATTGAAACATAAAAAAATGATATAATAATTAAAAAATAAATTTTTTGACAAATTAATATAAAATTTGTCAAATTAAATATTAACCATAAAAACTATAAAAAATGGTAAATATAAGTCACAAACATTTTGACAGCAACAATGGTAAAAGAATGCTAAGATATCTGGAAGTGTATTAAATTTCTATTAAGAAAAAATTACACATGAATAAATAGTAAAAATATTAAAGAAGATGAAATAGTTTTTAAAAATTAATTTGTAGTTTAGTATGACTTCTAGCTTTAAAAGTTATATATATATATATGTATATATATATATATATATATATATATATTAATTTTTAATTTTGCAAAAGAAGTTAGTTTAAGAAGTTTATATGTTGCTAAAATTAGTTTAAAGGTATGTTTTTATGGTGATGAGAGCAGTGGTAGTGCTAATAAATACAATGGAGTCATGGTAGTACTGATAGTGGTGATGATGTGTTGATATTTGTGGTAGGGATAGTAGTGAAAGTATCGATCATGGTAGTAATGGTGGAGCAGGTGGTGGTGAAGTTGCGATAGTCATCACCAAAGATAATATGGTTTTTAAAATTAGACTAAACTTACAAATTCTTTTTTCTTGATTTTGAAGTGAATGTAAGTTTTTTGAAATTGAGTATAAAATATTTCAACTATAATTTTTCCAAACATGTTTTGTTTTCAATATATCTCAATTTAAGTCCTTAGTGTATGTGTTTTTTGGAATTTACACTTTATTTAACTGTTGAGATTATAGAATGGCCAACTGAAGCTCAAATGCATAGTGTTAATGCCAAAGCTATTCCATCCTGAGAGCCAATATAATAGTAGAACACCAATGAGGAGATACAATAATAGAATACAATGTAGAGACCATAAAGCTTAGTTCTTACATATCAAAGTTAACTTTTTATGTTCTTATTTTTGTGTGTGATCTCATATTTGTGCATTTTTTTTCTTTTTTTTTTACGCACCTATTGATTGCTCTAGATTATTAACACAAGTCTTCTGGTGTGACTGAACATCCTCAATGCAGTGGTAGGAGACTAGGAATTGATTTTGTTCTTTATAATTGAACAACTATATAAAAATTGGTCAATGAGTTTTACTAAATAAGGTTATCACTTATTATATGGTCACTGGTGTTTATGTTCTGAATATGAAAATGAGATGACTTTTTCGTTTTATCTTTTAGCTTCTTCTCGTGGCTCTGGCAAGCATCCTCAACTTGTGCCTTCAACTCCAAGATGGGCTGTTGCCAATGGTGCTGGTGTGATATTAAGTGTTTGTGATGATGAAGTTGCACGCAATGAGACTGCTACTTTAACAGCAGCTGCTGTGCCTGCACTTTTGCTTCCTCCGCCAACTACTGCTCTGGATGAGCATCTTGTTGCTGGATTACCAGCTCTGGAACCATATGCTCGTTTATTTCATAGGTTATTTTGAACTTTATTATCTTTCTTGTTTTTTGTTTGTTCATAGAGTTCATTTGCCCTAAAAAATATATATACACGCAATCTTTGCAGATATTATGCAATCGCTACTCCAAGTGCTACACAAAGACTTCTTCTTGGACTCCTAGAAGCACCCCCATCGTGGGCTCCAGATGCTCTTGATGCTGCTGTGCAGCTTGTGGAGCTTCTTCGAGCAGCTGAAGATTATGCATCTGGGATAAGGGTGAGTGTAATATTGATAGACAGAATATCTGCAATACTGTCACTAATGTAAACCTGCATTTTCATTATTATGGTTTTCTTATAAAATTTCTTTTTTGCAACTCAATTGAAAACCCAATTTATATTCAAGATTTAACATGGTGCTGGGACTGACTGTGCATTGGTTCATTTACATTATTGATAGTATGTTTATTCACTAGATTTTCTTTCACGTTTTATATTTCTTAATGGTAGACGAATCTGCTAGTTTTCTTGAATTTGTCACTTGTATGATTTTGTTTCTTGCTATGTTCAACTAGTGTATGTTAGAAGCTATTTTATTATTTCACTGAATATTCAAGGTGTGCATAAGTTGCTAGACTTTTAGGTTAAACTACTATACCCAAAACTTGTTATTCTACCTTGTATTCCTTGGACCACCAGTTGTTTCCATGTTATAAGTGAGAAGTATCCAGTGGTTTTATCTTATTGTTGATTAATCTTCACCAGGAAACTTGTTTTAGTGGAGTCTTCCCACCGTAAGCGGGTTAAATCAAATACTAGTAGGTGCAAGTTTGTTATTTAATGGACAGATACTTAAGTAATTCATCTGCTTTAATTCATTTTAAATTGAGATAGCCTTGTTTTAAAATTAGGGGAAATTGAACTTACTTCTTCTTCCATCTTGTATGATTGGCAACTCATTTTTTAACATATTATGGCATATTTCTTCCTACCCTGTCTAGAATATACTTGCCAAAACATAAGCCCATAATCCAGCTGCACTTGTTCATGTCCTGCTATATCAAATGCATCCTTAGCTCCCATGGCCGTAACAAAAAGCACTAGACTTTGCACCTTTAAGGAATTATACCACTTCTATAATCTCTTCAGAAGATTCGAAGGAATTCTATTTTTCTACTTTAGAACAAGTGCAACATACAGTATCAATTCTATATTGTGCATTCTAGTGGGATTACTTGGTACAGAATGACACCCTATTGTGGATTTTGTTATTTTCATCTTAAGAAACTCGGATTTAAAACCATTTGACTGATGTGTTTTTCTTTTCTTTTATATGGTAATGAAGCTTCCTAGAAATTGGATGCATTTGCATTTCTTGCGTGCAATAGGGACTGCAATGTCCATGAGAGCTGGTATAGCTGCTGATGCTGCAGCTGCTCTGCTTTTTCGTATACTTTCACAGCCTGCACTACTTTTTCCTCCGCTTAGACAAGTTGATGGAGTTGAAGTTCAACATGAACCTTTGGGTGGTTATATTTCTTCCTATAAAAAGCAGGTTGTGTTCATCTTTATCAGTTAAAATTTTTTATGTTATTCTTATTTTGTACAGTTATGCATATAGTTTCTTTCTGTACACTTATGATCTAAAACATTTGTTGTTGATCAGATAGAAGTTCCTGCGGCTGAAGCTTCTATTGAAGCTACTGCCCAAGGGATTGCATCAATGCTTTGTGCCCATGGTCCAGAGGTTGAATGGAGAATTTGCACAATTTGGGAAGCTGCTTATGGCCTGATTCCTACAAGTTCCTCAGCTGTTGATCTTCCAGAAATTATAGTTGCAACCCCACTGCAACCTCCCATACTGTCATGGAATTTGTACATACCCCTACTTAAGGTCCTGGAATATCTTCCTCGTGGAAGCCCATCAGAGGCATGTCTTATGAAAATATTTGCTGCTTCAGTGGAAGCTATTCTTCAAAGGACATTTCCACCTGAGTCCACTAGAGAACAAATCAGAAAATCAAAATACCTGTCTATCATCGGCTCTGCCTCTAAAAACCTTGCTGTGGCAGAACTTCGAACTATGGTTCACTCACTCTTCTTAGAATCATGTGCATCTGTAGAGCTTGCTTCACGCCTACTTTTTGTGGTCTTAACTGTCTGCGTTAGTCATGAAGCTCAATTCAGTGGAAGCAAGAGGCCAAGAGGTGAAGATAATTATCCAGCTGAGGAAATCATGGAGGATTTACAAACATCTGAAAACCAGAAAGAATCAAAAAATAGGAAAACGAAGAAGCAAGGTCCTGTAGCAGCATTTGATTCCTATGTTCTGGCTGCTGTTTGTGCTCTTGCCTGTGAGCTTCAGTTGTTCCCTTTGATTTCACGGGGGAATAATCAATTAGCTTCCAATAATGTGCAAGATATAGCCAAGCCTGTTAGACTAAATGGATCCTCCCATGTTAGACAAAATGGATCTTCCCATGTTAGACAAAATGGATCTTCCCATGAGTTGCGAAATGGCTTAGATTCTGCAGTACGTCATACTCACAGAATTTTAGCAATTTTAGAGGCACTATTCTCATTGAAGCCATCTTCTGTTGGCACTCCTTGGAGTTACAGCTCAAATGAGATTGTCGCAGCAGCTATGGTTGCTGCACATGTTTCTGAACTATTTAGGAGGTCAAAGGCTTGCATGCATGCTTTGTCTGTTTTAATTCGATGTAAGTGGGACAACGAAATTCACTCCCGGGCATCCTCATTGTATAATCTCATAGACATTCACAGCAAAGCTGTTGCATCTATAGTGAACAAGGCAGAGCCTTTAGAAGCAACCTTAATTCATACACCTATTTGGAGGGACTCCCTTGTTTGTTGTGGTAGTAAAAGGCAGAATCAGTGTGACAGTAGTAACAGCTTTGACCCTGGGCAGACATCTATTGTACGTTCAGCAGATTCGTTCCCATCAAAACCTAATGATACTTCTGATAAAAACCTTTGTTCAAATGAAGCATCAGGGTGTACCTTGGGTAAAGGTGTCACTGGTTTCCCATTGGATGCTTCTGATCTAGCGAACTTCCTCACAATGGACAGGCATATAGGATTGAATTGCAATGCACAAATTTTTCTGAGATCTATGCTGGCAGAGAAACAAGAGTTATGTTTCTCTGTAGTTTCACTTCTATGGCACAAGCTAATAGCATCTCCTGAGACTCAACCTTGTGCAGAAAGCACTTCTGCCCAACAGGGATGGAGACAGGTACATTATACTGCAGCAAATCTTTCATTTTTCTTTTTCGAACATTCTTTTTTCCTCCAATGATTGAATTAATGTTTTTAACCTATAGTGGAATTGGAGAAGAAATTTTCCTTGATGGAACAGCCTAGTTCTTGTTAATCATAGAAGTTAGGTTCTGAAAAGCTGGAACTTTAGATGAGGATAAATAGATGTATCCTGCGTATACACAAGAAACATGGGAAAGACAGCCAAAAATTCCGCAACAGAAATATTTGAAGAAAATTGTGATCTGAAATTTTACAAAGCAGATAAAGCAACATACCTTAAGATAAGCATGGGAAATTATTTATTTGAAAATAACTAAATAGTTGTTCTCATCAAAGTTAGATTATTTGAACTAGTAAAAAACACAACATTAAAATCGATGAAGCCTCTTGCCAGGATAATCAATCACTAAGACAATATATATTGGGTGTAACTCATGTATTTCAAATGAAACTATGATAGTATGTGCCAACTGGTGAGAGGTATTGAATAATTTACGTTCTAGTATTTTTTGTTTAAATACTACATTTGGTAAAGATTGACAGAGTTGCCCTGTTGAAACACATAATAAGATATAGTTATAAATGTCTGCAATGTTATAAATATTCCTATTTGTACTGAAAAAGGTTCATTACTGACTATTTTGGATTTATGTTATGTAGGTTGTTGATGCCTTATGCAATGTTGTCACAGCCTCACCAACAAAAGCTGCTACCGCAGTTGTTCTTCAGGTCCAAAACTTCGACTTATCATGAAGGCTTTCATAAATTACTTTGGTCGCAAACTTGGATTCATATTCTGTTCATGCAGGAACAATTACTATGTTTTACCCAAAAAATATTTTAAAAAGACATCCAAATTTTTGGAATTACCATTTCTAATAACTGAGAATTGGCTTTTACATTTACTGACTAGAGAGTTCTATAGCTGATTTTGAAACCTCATCTATCCAATGTTTATTTGTTGTATATTTCTTTTATAAATCCTTTTTATTTCCTGCATTTTACTTGTTTAGTCACTTTCCTGGGCTTGTTTACTTGTCAGGCGGAGAGGGAATTGCAGCCCTGGATTGCTAAGGACGATGATTTGGGCCAGAAGATGTGGAGAATCAATCAGAGGATTGTAAAATTGATTGTGGAACTTATGAGGAATCATGAGAGTGCAGAATCATTGGTAATTGTGGCAAGTTCATCAGATTTACTACTGCGAGCCACAGATGGTATGCTGGTTGATGGAGAAGCTTGCACTTTACCACAGCTGGAGGTAGTATGTTTACATTAGCTTCTCTCTACATTTTTTAGCTCCTGCATTTACTGAATTAACTTGATTCTTACTCTTAAAACCAGAAAACAGACTCATTTCTCACTTACATAATAAGTTTTTCTAATTCAAAATTTACTTGCATTATAGAATTTGCTATCATTTAATCATGCTATTCGACATTGTATTTACCCACTTGAGATAAATGAAAAGAGAGAAAATATATTTTAGAAAGCTTGAATCTTTCTCTCTAAGGTTTAGTTATTTATATATGAAAAAAAGAGTCTCAATCGGAGATACAATTAAACAGAGAAAAGACTGAAAACAAGTAAAAGTACCTCTAGGTGCAGCTAGGTACAACTCAAAGCAATTTTTTAATAAAGCCTATTATAAGTCTATTGAACATACCCTGACATAATGTTTTCCTCATAATATTTGCCATGGTTCTTTAGTATGCACACGTCTATTACATCAAACTAACAAACTAATGTCACTCCTTCAAGATATCATTCAATGAAATTATAGAATTTAGAGCATTATATACCAGACTATTTATTGGAAGGCATTATATGATAAAAAAAGTTTTGTGAACTTTTTATACACTCAACTATTGGGTGTATAGTCAACTATGAAACCACTGCATCCTTTTTGTAGCCTTTTAATTCAAAAATCTAATGTTGTGTTGTGTTTACTGATTTGCTTATCCTAGTGCACATTCTATCTTCTTGTTACAGTGTATTTTTTTTTTATCTTGAAAGTAGTTAGGATAAACAAGACAAGATAATTGTATTCTCCCTCTCCTTCTCTCACCACCCTCACTCTTGTTTTCATAATTACCACCGTTGACATAAGCACGACAGTCACCCCACCATCATGTTGCTACAATCATATTGCACCATTCTCATCATAACCATTGCTGTCATAGTAAACGCACTTCCACCATTGTTGGTGCCATTTCCACCAACGCCACCACAAACTAACTGGGTTGGGTGATGTATAATATAATTAGTATTTATTTTATTTAATCATTCTATTAACTTAATATATATTTTTAATATTAAAATATTAATATAGCCTAATTTTATAAAAATTATTCTAAAAAATCTAAACTAAAATGTTTTGAAATCATAAATTTTAATAAAAAAAAATTTTTAAAAAATGTGACCCAATTGATTCAACCTTCTCCAAACCGATTAAAGGTGAACTGTGTTGAATTGGATCTTTAAAAAAATAAAAATCCAACCCAATCTAACTCAAGATTTTATCTTAGGTTGGATTCAATTTAACAAAAAAATAAAAAATAAAAAACCCACACTACCCAACTCACATACACCTCTTACCACAATCCCTATCAATGCCAGCATTGTTGCGGTAGCTATTCAATTTAGACGAGTGAACATAATTACAAAATATCTAGTTATTAATGCATAACACACAAACATTATTATTACCATAAACTAGAAAATTGGAACCGAACAGCATGCTTGAGAAAACTGGTGATTTAGTCGAGTCACTGTTTTCAGAAAAACCAAAAACTCAGGAGAGCATAAGATTAGTGAAAAACAGTCAAATCAGTCTAAAATCAATGAAAATTTAGATAAATAAAAGCCTTCATTTATGGGTCCATGTATGTTTTATTATTATCTTTCTGCTATTGGTTTTTTATATTGTTTAATGGTCCTTTATACTTTTATTTACCTAACTATTCAACTTTAGCCAGTTAATTTTGACTTGGTGTCTTCAATGTCATTAATAGACCTTCTTTTTAAAGCATTGATTATGTCTTAACACTCCCCTCTAAATAGATTTAAGCTACAATCACTTGCAGCTTGCTACAAATGTAATCTATCGTCTTACAACAAAATTCATAGTATCAGGATTTACTCCTTGTGCTTTACGTAACTTGTAGAAACAAGTCAGTGGTGAAGTTTCTGACAAAGGACAATCTTCTTTATAGGGTTCAATCAGCTCATGAGAAACAGGACTAAACACTAAATGAATGCCAGCCTGGCTGTCACTGAATTGTTTTTGGATACTACTTCTGAAATTGATTCTAACAAGTAAAACTCACACGTTTACTACTCTTATCCGTGGCACAATACCCTGATTCTACACTTGACTATACCACAACATTTTGCTTCTTACTCTTCCAAGAAACTTGGTTTCCCTGAAAATACAGTGCATCTATGTCCTTTCTGTTCTATACAACCAGCGTAGGCTTCATCTATTATACCCTCTACTACCCCATTGATCATGATCACTGTAAAATATACCTCATTCAGGAGTTTATTTTAGGTTTCCAAAATATGTGAAAGTTAGTGGACTCAGGAGACATGATTAACCACACATGCTGAGAAAATCAAAACGGGACTTTGAGTTTACTAATCTTGTGAACCAGCTTTCTAATAATGCTAACAATCATGAATTTTAGAGCAGCTATCAGTGGCACTACGAAGGGAGGATTTGGTGTTTCACATATTTTGTATTTTCTACTTAAGCTTTACTGATACTTATGTTTCAATAATTACAATGGCCAGTTATTGGAAGCAACAGCTAGAGCGGTTGAGCCAGTGCTCAAGTTTGGAGAATCTGGATTGGCTGTGGCAGATGGCCTTTCAAACCTTTTAAAGGTGAACAAACTTTCCTTGATGGAACTTGTTATTCAGCAAAGTTATGGTAAATGCAATATTCAGGATAAACATTGCAAATATAATTTTAGATTAAAAGACAAGTTGCTTATTTGTGAAAAGGGCAATCAAGTTTAAAACTAAACTCGTATACTTTTCTTTAGTCATAATTGTTGACTAATTTGTTTGAGCTGTGAACACATCGCATGCAGTGTCGTCTCTCAGCTACAATCAGATGTCTTTCTCATCCGAGTGCACATGTCCGGGCTCTGAGTATATCAGTTCTTCGCGACATTTTGCATACTGGTTCAATCAGATGTAGTCCTAAACCTCGGAGAATAAATGGCACCAACAACCCCTCTTATCAATACTTCAATTTGGATGCCATTGACTGGCAAGCTGACATAGAAAAATGCTTGACTTGGGAAGCTCACAGCCGACTTTCAACCGGCTTGTCTATTAACTTTCTTGATACCGCTGCCAAAGAGTTAGGCTGTACTATTTCCATGTGAAATGAAATCAAACACTACAACCATCCATCTAGTCTGTGACATTTTTTTACTAGACTCATAGAAAAAACATACGTTATTGATGCTTATGGAACTAACGTGTTTACAAATAAGCAACATCATTATGCTAGCCCTGTTAAAAGAGTCACAGTCATAATTCTAGTATGTTTATAGAAAGTTCATTTTGTATCATGCATGTATTGTAGCTAAACTAAGTTTTCAACCCCAACTTGGTTGTGACTCTGGTCTCAATAGAACAGACTTGTACAGTAACGATAGACGAGGCTGTAACCAGGTTCTTTTCTTCATCATTGTCTCATTTTGTGATATGTTTATGTTGTTTTAGCTTGTTATGAAAGTCAGTTTCAATTGTTTGCATCGGTGTATGTTCTAGCCGCCATTCTCCTCTTTTAATTTTGTTGGCATTTTATCTTCTATCTTTTTAATAGTAGAACTTAGTCTGTTTATTTGCAAGGAAACAGAGTGTGAAAAAAGAAAATAAAATAAAAAGAAAGAAACTGTGAAGAAAAGAAAATCATTATTTTCTATAATAACAAATAAATTAATGAAAATTAAATAATTGTATAATTATTAAATTATTTAAAAAGTATATTTTAAAAATAGATGAAAGAGTTATGATTTTGAAAAGTATTATTTTTTGTTTATATTTTTTAATGTTTTTTCTTAATATATGAATATAAATTAATATCTGGGGCTTAATGGAAAGTGATTTTTTTTTTATAAACTTTTCCTATAAAAATGTTTTCTTTTTATTTATTTTTTCATTTGTTATTTTCAATTCTATATTTTTTTCCTTTTAAACTAACAAATTTTTAAAAGATGGTGCAACATTTGTGTATTTTTTTTATTATTTTCAAACTGAATACATTTTATTAAGTGGGGTAAACTTGATAATGAGCCTGATTAGGATGAAATTATTAAGTGGCTTTCTATTTGTATTTTATTGTACTTTGGATCAGAATTTACATAGTATATAATTAAATATCAATAATAATTTAAAATTTATATTTAAAAATAATTATTTGTCAATCAAAGTAAAGGATAGTTTAGGTCATTTTTATAATTTTTTTAACTACGTTTCAGAAGGTATTATTGTTTTATTTAGCACTAAGCTGGTCTTAAAACTCAACATTGTTTCAGAAGGTATTACTATGTAACTTTTTTTTTTTGTGTGTGGTTTTTCTAATCTGCTGAAGTTGAACATATGGTAATTTATAAAATCAATTTACCTACATTTGCTTAATCAATATAAATCTACAAGAAGATATTACTGATTTTGTTAGACATATTAATAAATAATAAACAATGTTGTTACTTTAATTATACATATTAAAGGTTAATTGTTTATTTCATCAATTTAGCAAGACATTTAATTGGAAAATTTAGGTCTGTATAAAGAAAAATAGCTTAAAAAAATTAAAAATTAAAGTAGTTTGTCATTTTTTAACTTAGAAAAATCTTCTGAAAAATAAAATTATTTGATAATTTCATTCAAAAACTTTGAGTTTGTTTGAAAGTAGCTATTTATTATAAAAAGTTCATTTATAAACATAATAAAACATTGATAAAATTAATTTATTTTACATAAAATCGTTTTCACAACAATAATAAAATATATTACAACCTATGAAGCACCGAGCACGGACAACTGCGACAGACTTCTAAAATATAGGACACCGGGACACCTTATATTTATATATATTAGACATGAATAAAAATTTAAATATGATTCAAATGAGAAATATATAAATTAAAACTGGGTTGAAATTCTCTCTACCCTTTTCTCTTTTACAAACCCTATATTCCTCTCTCTTTGGAAATGGGTTGAAATTTCATCTTCTGGCTCGTCATTTGTTCCCCTACCAACATTGCCCTTCTCGCCTCCACTCTTTCCCTGCCAACATTGTTCTTCTCGCCTCTACTCTTTCCTTGCCAACATTGCTAACAATGGCTCTTCAACTACTTCGTTATTTTGGAGTTCATTGGGCAGAAAGCGTTGTGTGGTCTGTGCTCTCGGATTAACTGCACAATAGAGGAAAATTGGAAGGAAAAAAGGAAAATTTTTTTGGATGAAAGGAAAGCTTTGAAGCAGAAATGGAAAGGTGGAGAGGAAGGAAGGAAGAAAGGAAGGATACATGAAGAGGAAGGAAGGAAGGAATAAAAGTAGGAGAAAAAAATAAATAGAAAAAATTCAAATTTTTTTATATAAAAGTTGTACCCGAGTTGGAGCCGTGTCTGACAATGTGTTGGATTTAGGTCACGCCGTATCCATATGAATCGAAGCCTTGCGACGCGTTTTTGGTGTAGGGGACACTGCAAAAAAGAGTCGAACACACATCCACGAAGTGTCGTGGCGGTGTCGGTGTCCCAAATGTCCGCAACACTCCGACACGGATGAGGGGAGCCGTGCTTCACATATTACAACTATATAAAAAAATAATTTTACAAATGTAAAAAAAAGAATAGTAAATTATTTCAGTGTTGATTTAAGAATTATATATATATATATATAATTTAGAAGAAATTAAGTATTTTTTATAAAAAAATAAATTTATATTTAAAGTGAGATGTTTATGATAACAATAGCATGTTAAAGTTTGAAATAAATTTATTTTTTACAAAAAAATAACAATAAGAATTTATCAATTCATTACATAATTGATTTTGGTTTAATCTTCTGTTACCAAGCAAGAAGAGCAAAATAACATGACAAACTAAATTTTTGGTATTAGCCAATTTAGAAGTTAGAAAAAAAAAATCTGAATTGGTGTAGGAAAAATTGATTATATAAGATTTTCTTTTAATTTAAAAAGAAAAAAAAAGCCCAAAACAAGGTCAGAAATGGGCCGTTGAAGTTGACCAAGCCCACACGACAAAACCCTAGAACAGGCTCAGCACATTTATATAAGGTCAGCTCCATCCCAAACCCTAAAGTTTCAGATCCTCATTCAACCAGCACCAACAGCAGCGGCGGCGACCGTCACTTTCCAACGACACTTCCCGGCGAAAATGGTACGTTCGCCTCTCATAGCACCTCTAACTGCACACGCTGATTAAAAAAAGGTTCAATTTTGAGGAACCCTTAAATGGTAACTGAATTTGTGCCTACAAATGTTGCAGGCTCTGGTGGCGAACGAGGATTTCCAGCACATTCTGCGTGTGCTGAACACTAACGTGGATGGAAAGCAGAAGATAATGTTCGCCCTTACCTCCATCAAGGGTATTGGTAGGCGATTCGCCAACATGGTTTGCAAGAAAGCGGATGTTGACATGAACAAGAGGTGCCCTTTTTGTTTGGTCAGTTTAATTGCACGCTGGTTTACGAGTGTTTTTATTTTGATTTTGTTGAAACGGGTGTTTTTACTTTTTTGGCACTGTCAGGGCTGGTGAGTTGAGTGCTGCGGAGTTGGATAATCTGATGACCGTGGTGGCCAACCCTAGGCAATTTAAGATCCCAGACTGGTTTCTGAACAGGAAGAAGGATTACAAGGATGGCAAGTACTCCCAGGTTGTGTCTAATGCTCTTGATATGAAGCTCAGGGATGACCTGGAGAGACTCAAGAAAATCAGGTCACTAATTTTATTTGCCTATTCATAGTTATGAGTTATTCAATTTTCTTTCTGCTATTAGGACTAATGTTTAATTCCAATTGAAACCAAGTTTTGCTTTTGTTGTCAAGCCAAATGATATAGGTTGGTGTGTTGTTAACGTATATGCAGTCCCTTATCGTTTTGTGAAACATGGCATGTTTGCAGAATTGTGGATATGTAATGGCTGTTGGATTGGATTTGGTTATATGTCGTTGCTTAGTGGCTTGTTTGATTTGTGTTAGACAATATATCTGCTTGCCTGTGTTGTTTTATACATGATCTCATAACAATTAAAGTGAATGGTTCTTATTAACTAATGGCGATATTGATCTTAAAATCTAGTCAAGCCTAATAATGTCTTGAAAAGAAGCTAATTATAGTTTGGTGGATTTCTTGACCTGTAACTAGAACTAGAATTTGTTTTTCTGTTAGCAATTAGTTGCAAGATGTCAGTGAGACTATTGAATTTCCAATTATTTTGGAAACCTTTCTCTTGATGTTGACAAGCAAATAATTTTTAAAAACATAAGCTAATTGAATCATGAACTATATACCATTTCTCTTTTTGGTTAGATTGATATTATTGTAATCGATTTTATTCATGTAGATATAAGAATGCACGTGTAATAAAATTGTCTAACCTAACCCTGCCATAAATTTTCTGAAGGATTTTTGTCTGGTGAATGTGTGTATTGTCTTGTTAAATATTAGTGGCTACAGAACTGTATTAACTCTTAGGATTCACATCCTCTCTATTATGCAGAAACCATCGTGGATTGAGGCACTACTGGGGCCTTCGTGTCCGAGGTCAGCACACCAAGACTACTGGCCGCAGGGGGAAGACAGTTGGTGTCTCTAAGAAGCGTTAAGCTATTATGTTTTGGCTTGGAGATTAGATTTTGTTGTGGAGGCAAATTTGAAAGAACACTAGACATGTTTTACATACCGACTTTTGTATCAGTTGTTAAATGCCTTGACAATTTCAATTTTGTTTGTTATTTGCGTTAAGCTCTCCTTTAGTTGAATTATGCTGGTTTTTTATTTGTAGAGAACCTCGAATAGTATTGATGAAATTACTTATTCACTTTTATCCTCCAAACAACATAATTGCCATATTACCTTTTCACTATTAAGTCATGTAGTGATAGTATTTGAACTATTTTTTACGAGAAATTTACAACTTGGTAACATGTTGAATATGCGTAAGATTATTACAATAGTCTTGTTTTGTTATTATGCTTATTGACTATGCGAATTTTATGGCGACATTCCTTGTATTAATCTTTCCGTAGTACAAGTTGATCTTGTGTATTATTAAAGTACTTCATCTCGCCTCGTTTTGTTTGTTAAAATCTGTGATAAACAAAATCTTATATCTCTGGTAAAACTCTTCATTTCTTGCAAAAATAGGAAAACATATTACATAAAATTTACTTTTACTAATGATCAGTTGTCGTGGGGCATTTTGAGACAAATGATCATATCCGAAAGTTATACAGAAATCAAGAATGGCTTAATGTCAGATGGTTCTAGTTTGATTTTGTGAAAACAAAATTCGGTCAAGCTTTACTTACCACATAATAGTCAAATTGTTGTGTGAAGAGAATTTAGAACACTAATTTGACTAAAAAATTCTTATCCACAGTATTACCCGCATCAATTTTTTTATCTAGCTTCAAAGTTTAAATCATACAGTATTAATGCTTCTACTAATCTCATTCATATAAACTTACATGTGAGAGTATCAATATTCCAAATAACAACCTAATCCTGCACTTTCAAATTGACAATTTTCCTCGCATTCATCTGAGGAAAAAAATGAGGACCTTTCCTCATATAACACAAAATTCACGTTTTTGTTATTTAAGAAAATGTATATTTATCGTTACTATTAAAAATGGCAATATTTAGGGCGCAACCCTTGTCTATGATTTGTGTTCTGTGAAAATCTTCAGTGTTCATATTCTGCTCCTAGTTAGCCCTATGATAAATATCCACTGGAATCCCAAACAAGAAATCATATCAAATTAAAAGAATAATAATGTTTTAATTTAAAATTGTTAAAATCTTTCGTATAAATAATCACCCAACACCTTATCATCCCAACTTTTGTAAATAAACCCCATAATAATGAGTGAATGCTGTGAAACTATCGATTTTCTAGTTTGTTGGTAGGAAGAGAGTGATTCAAACGCTCCTTTCCACCAGGCTTTGATGAGGCATTGCCATACCATATCATTTCACACACAGCTATAACCATCCCTAAAACCACGTGAACATTTAGACCTTCCCTCCCAAAGAAAAAGAACCCCATTATCAAAACAAGTATTGTCTTCATGTGGCCTAGTACTTGAAAGGAGACAGCAGTGAATCTGCCAATGCAAATAAATTGACTGAGGTTGGTCCCAACTGCTATTGTGCATGACATAAATATAAATATCTGCAAAAGCCAACACAATATATGAAAAATACTCACTCTCTCAGAGATAACAAATCATCAAGGGTTTACACATTTAATTTAATGGCATTGTTATCCTTTTTAGTGTTCCAGCACTTACCAAAGAACCTGAATTAAAAGCAAATCTGTCAACTCTATTGTTTGTGAACCAATAGTCTAGAAAAGGGCCCAACAGAAGTAGTGATGCAGCCTGTGCAGGTGCTGTATGTCCCAAAAGGTTGAAAGAACTTAGTGAATACTTCCTCTGAAGGAAATGGACATACTGCACAAAGAATTGAAAATTCATTAAGAAAATTAGACTTAGACACCTTATTCCAATTTTTCTACAGAACAGGAGGGCTGATTGCTGACACATGATAACTAACATCATACCAGAACCTACCTAAAATGCATTCAATATAAGCATAATATTTAACACTTTTAAGACAGCGAAACTTCAAAATGTTATTCTTATTGCATACACACTCTTGGTAATTTTGTCATGCAGAAGCATGAATCTAGGCTTAATTATGATATTTTAAGTTTGAATTTTGAACAGAAGTAGTATGTCGCATATAGTGGAATGTCACTCTTACATATTGTTGCAGAGAAGTGCTCCACACTGCTACAAGGGCAGCAACGAAACCTCTTGTATTAACACTCACATCAGTAACTGTTCAAACACCAACACCCAAAAGAACGACACCTATGCTGAGTTTCGTATCTCTAGAGTACCGAATCTTGTCAAAAACAACTTCCAAAAGGCACGATACTGGGATCATACTCAACTTAGCAATCTGCAAATGGCTAAAAAGAAATTTTAACTTCTGAATGCATTAATGGACAAATAGAGAAATTCAACCCAACTCACTTGATAGAATCCAACTGAGTTCCACATTAGACTAATATTCATTCCAACAATGGAGAAGTTAGCAAAGATAACAAATTTTAGAAGCTCTGATAAAGGTAAATGAGAAGGCTGGATGTATCCCAGCATCTTTAGTATGGATGTCATCAAAGTTGTAGTGGCGAAATGAAGACCTGTTAATGTTGTAGCTGCAGGCAAAGACAAATCACATTTAAAAGAAGATGAGAAATTAAGACCAGAGCATCATAATATATTTACTGGGACAAGACTGTTAAAATCTATGGAAACATCGAAAAATATCTTTTAAAATCTTAAATTATCCACGAGTATTAGTTTTCCTATTTCCACATTATCTCTCAGGACTAATTACAATATTTCCTCGTCTTACCATGACATGTGCTCTTAATTGTTAGAATTAGGACTAGTATAAATAAGGGTTAATATTCTAGATTTTATGAACTTATCAAATAAATTTGTACATTGTAATACATCACGGTTAATATCAATTGGTGTTTCATTCTCTTTCATCTCTCTTCCTCCCATTATATCTAAACTTCCATAATTTCCAACAATGTAAGCCAAGAACAGGTATCATTCAAAATTGGAAAAAGAATTTACCAAAACGAAAGCTGTAGGTGGCCATTAAAGCTTTGTTTACAATGATAATTCCAACAGACGTAACAACATTGAACACCCATGCAGCTGCATCCACTGCTGCCTTCTTGTCAGCCTTGCTAGCCGGAGCCATGTTCTTCGTTTATGTTTCAAAATTTAACTAACTCTCTTCTAACTAGCCTCCATAGCTTTCCATTGATCCATTCAAATGACATGCACTGGTCAGTCCATTTAAATAAACTAAGCCTGGTAATTTGGAAAATGTGAAATTATCATATTTAAAGTAAGAATAAACTATGATTGAGCAACAGATATTTCTATGTAAAAAAGCAAACCATAAGTCATGTTATGGGGATCAAAAGGATCAGAAACCAATAATTGACAAGCGAAGGAATTGTTATGAATCTCATCAGCTTCAACACTAAGCGACAAATAATATTATTAATATTAATTGATAAAAAAAATTATGCATAACATCAGTATCGTTCCCTTTCTCCTATGCAAAAACAGTCTACCTTGACAGAAAGTTGACATGATGATAAAATGAGAATTACTAACTCCTTAAGCTGTTGAGGTGTAAAGATCGGTCAAAGATAGGGAACTTCCTCGTAAGTTCCTGGTCAAAGGAAGGCTACTTCCTTGCAACTTCCTGGTCAAAGGAAGGCTACTTCCTTGCAACTTCCTGGTCAAAGGAAGGGAGCTTCCTTGCAACTTCCTGGTCAAAGGAAGGGAGCTTCCTCTCAACTTCCTCTCAAGAAGGATTTGTTTGGCTATAAATACCTCATTTTGTAACCTCATTTGTATCCAATCCAAGTGTGAAGAAAGAGTAGAGAGAGTGTATTCATACGGGCTTGTGTGAATTGTAACATTCGGTTTATCCTCTTATTCTAGTTCATTCTCCTGGCTTGGTTCGCCCCCGCATGTAGGATTTAATCCGAACTCGGGTTAACAAATATTCGTGTCTTTTATTGATCTCACATTGGTGTATTATTATTATTCCATCTTATCCGACCTTATTTCCCAACAACCGGTATCGAGCCAGGAGGTTGGAGATAAGATGGAGGGAAAGATTCAAGTCGAACGGTTCAATGGTTCCGACTTTGGATTCTCGGCGAATGCAAATGGAGGCTTACCCGTACGGAAGGACCTCTACGCACCTCTTGGGGAAAAACCCGAGAAGATGAGCGATGATGAATGGAAGGTGCTCGATCGGAAGGCGATGAGTGCTATAATTCTTTCGCTCTCTCTGAACGTCGCCTACCATGTGAAGGGAGCAAAAATCACGAAGGAGGTCTTGCAGATACTCGCCGACATGTATGAAAAACCATCAGCAATAAACAAGGTGATGCCGATGAAAAAGCTGTTCAAATTGCAAATGGAGGAGCGAAAGTCGGTGGCCGATCATCTCAACGATTTCAACCAACTCACTACGCAGTTGGCATCGGTGGATATTTCGTTTGATGATGAGGTAAAAGCCCTAATCTTGCTCTCATCATTGCTTGACAGTTGGGACGTGGTCTGTTACTTCGGTGAGCACTTCTTCCGGCAAGGAGAAGATGAAGTTCGACAACATAAGAGATATGATGTTGAACGAGGAGACCCGCAGAAATCAGCGGGTGGGTCGTCCGGCTCAGCCTCTACATACAGAGTCCGGAGGGAGACCCGAAACACGAGGGAAAATCCGTGGGAGGTCAAAATCCAGGGGAAGGAATAAAGGCAAGAAAGAGATGGTGTGTTGGAACTGCGAGAAGCCTAGGCATATGAAAAGCGAATGCCGGCACCAAGGAAAGACAAAGAAGGTCGGACTGACCAATGCCGCGACGGAGGACACGGCGGATGCACTCTTGTTGAGTGTGAGAAGCTCGCTCGATGACCGGATCGTGGACTCGGGGGCCTCATTTCACTCATGCAGAAGCAGAGACATCATGGAGCCATACACCGCAGGTGATTTTGGCTTGGTATATCTTGCAGACAACAAATCCCTAAAAATTGTAGGGAAGGGAGATGTGCGGATCAAGTCCGCAAATGGGTCATGCTGGACCCTACGTGATGTGAGACACATTCCAGGACCGAAGAGGAATCTCATCTCGGCTTGGACAACTGGACAATGACGGCTTCCACACAATGTTTGGAGACTGAAAGTGGAAGGTCGACCGAGGAGCTATGACTTTGGCAAGAGGGCTGAAGTCGTGAACGCTTTACACGGCGAGTAGATCCAGCTCAAACATTCTCCCGGCAGGAGTTGTCTCACAATCGCACTTATGGCACGATCGCTTGGGCCACATGAGCGAAAAAGGAATGAAGGTACTAAAGTCGAGAGGACTTTTGCCCGAGTTGGAGTCGGTGGACGTGGGTCTCGCGAGCAATGCGTGCTTGGAAAGCGAAGCGAGTGAGCTTCATAACCACCGAAGAGCTCCAAAGACGAAAAACCGGAGCTAGTGCACACCGACTTATGGGGGCCAAGCACCGGTGACATCTCTTGGAGGATCGATGTACTACATGACGTTCGTCGATGATCGCACAAGAAAGGTATGGGTGTACTTTCCGAAAAGAAAATCCGAAGCCTTTGATACTTTCGGGAGATGGAGAGCACTCGTGGAGAAAGAGACAGTCCGGAAGTGAAATGTCTCGGATCCGACAACGGTGGCGAGTACAACAGTGAAGCCATCAAAGAATACTGCGCCGATCATGGGATCCGGATGCGTAAGACGGTCCCAGTGGACACCTCAACAAAATGGCATTGCGGAGAGGATGAACAGAACACCGAATGAGCGTGCGAGATGCATGCGATTGAAGAGTGGACTGCCCAAGATGTTTTGGGCGTAAGCGGCCAAGACGGCCGCTTTCTTGATCAACCGGGGCCTTCTGTCCCACCGAACAACAAAATTCCGTAAGAGGTCCGGAGTGGTAAGAAAGTTGATCTCTCTTCTTACGTACCTTTGGTTGTTTGGCTTACGTTTTGAATGACGACCGGACAAAGCCGGATGCTAAGTCCGTCAAATGTACATTCATTGGATATGGGACTCGACGAATTTGGGTATAGATTTTGGGATGATCAAAATCGGAAAATTATTCGCAATCGTAATGTGGTGTTCAATGAAGGCATAATGTACAAGGACCGAAGGAATACCCGGACGATGACAAGACCATGCGAGAGTATGTTGGTCTCGATATTTCAAATACCGGAATCATGAGACCAAGCAGATACAAGTGGGAGCTCGGATAGATGAGATCGAGCGTACGTAAGAAGAGGCGGAACCGGAATCGGATGAACCGATTGCCGAGAGCAAAGCACGCCTCGGCACCGGGCCGAGAACCAAGGATGAGAAGGGCCCCTGATAGGTACTCCCTTCTCTTTATTACCTACTTTTATCCGATTCCGGGAACCCGACCGTTATGCAGAGGCAGCTAAAGATGCCCACAAGAGCAAGTGGGAGCTTGCGATGGAAGACGAGATGAACTCGTTGAAGAAGAACCACACATGGGATTTGTGTGATCTCCCACAAGGAAAGAAGGCTCTTCAAAACAGATGGGTCTATCGGGTCAAGGAGGAATCGGATGGAACAAAACTAGGTACAAGGCCGGACTTGTAGTAAAGGGATTCCAACAGAGATACGGTATTGACTTTACCGATGTTTTTACACCCGTTGTTAAGTTAACCACTATACGTTTAGTGTTAAGCATCGTAGCGGCGTGAAAACTTGGAGTTGCAACAGTTAGATGTGAAGACGGCCTTTCCGCATGGGGATCTCGAGGAGGAAATTTACATGGTGCAACCGAGAGGGATATAGAGGAAATGATCAGCAGGTCCGTCGCCTAAAGAAGAGCTTGTACGGACCGAAACAGGCTCCTCGACAAGTGGTACCGAAAATTCGATAATTTCATGTTGGAGATAGGATACTCCGTGTGTAATGCCGATCATTGTTGCTATGTGAAGAAGTTCGGTAACTCTTTCATTATTTTATCGCTATATGTGGATGACATGCCGATAGCAGGATCGGATGTCAAGGAGATCGAGAGGCTCAAAGATCGCCTATCAAGGAGATTTGATATGAAGGATCTAGGAGAAGCGAGACAGACACTCGGGCATGAAAATCACGAGGGACGTAAATGTCGGTAAACTTTGGCTTTCTCAATTTGATTATATTGAGAAGGTGTTGTGCGCATTCAATATGAATATCGCAAAGTCGGTTCGAGTGCCATTGGGAAGCCAGCTCAAGTTGTCCAACAAGGATTCGCCCCAGGATGACTCGAAAAAGAAAAGATGAGAGTTACGCCGTATGCTTCGGCCATCGGGAGCCTAATGTACGCTATGGTCCGCACCCGCCGTACATAGCACATGCAGATGGGAGTAGTCAGTCGGCTTCATGAGCAATCCCGGAGTGATGCACTCGGGAGGCGGTAAAGTGGATCCTTAGGTACCCGAGGGGTACTAAGGACCGGGCATTAGTATTTGGCAGGGGTACCCTTACCCCGTCCGGGTATGTCGATGCCGATTTTGCAGGAAGTGATCTTGACAAGAGGAGGAGTACTACCGGGTACGTATTCACTTACGGCGGACGCGCCGTATCCCGGATCTCAAAGCTGCAGAAGATAGTCACATTGTCCACAACTGAAGCCGAGTACGTGGCGGTGACGGAGGCAGCCAAGGAACTCGTTTGGCTACAAAACTTCTTGAATGAACTTGGGAGACCTCAAGAGGATGTGGCTCTATACAGCCGATAGCCGCAGTGCAATCCATCCGGTAAAGAACCCCGCGTTTCACTCGCGAACGAAGCACATCGAGGTTAAGTATCATTTCATCCAAGCAACTTCTAGAGAAGAAGATGCTCGCAACTGAAAAAGGTTCTGGGAGATAGGAATCCTGCAGACATGTTGACCAAGGCGTAACTTTGGAAAAGTTGAAGCCGTGTGTAGCTTCGACCGGCCTTGATGATTAAAACAGAGCAGACTTAGCAGTAACCAAGAGCGAGAGATGAACGAGTTGACCAATCTTCAAGTGGGAGATTGTTGAGGTGTAAAGATCGGTCAAAGATAGGGAACTTCCTCGTAAGTTCCCGGTCAAAGGAAGGCTACTTCCTGCAACTTCCCGGTCAAAGGAAGGCTACTTCCTTGCAACTTCCTGGTCAAAGGAAGGGAGCTTCCTTGCAACTTCCTGGTCAAAGGAAGGGAGCTTCCTCTCAACTTCCTCTCAAGAAGGATTTGTTTGGCTATAAATACCTCATTTTGTAACCTCATTTGTATCCAATCCAAGTGTGAAGAAAGAGTAGAGAGAGTGTATTCATACGGGCTTGTGTGAATTGTAACATTCGGTTTATCCTCTTATTCTAGTTCATTCTCCTGGCTTGGTTCGCCCCCAGATGTAGGATTTAATCCGAACTGGGTTAACAAATATTCGTGTCTTTTATTGATCTCACATTGGTGTATTATTATTATTCCATCTTATCCGACCTTATTTCCCAACATAAGCTTCGAGTATCAAATCAAATTTATGAAATTAAAAAGTTATATGCAGCAGATACACAGAAGACTCAGAATCAGAAGACTTTGCACATCTTTACTTTAAAGTTCAAAATAACCCACACCATTCCCTCTCAGGACCTTCAGCTGACACCATACCTATTCTCCCACCTGGTAATCACTGCTATTCTCAGAGGAAAAAAAAAAACTTAGAGAATAGATTGACCTACAGAAAGCAACTATATTTATGTATTGACTAACTAAGAATTGGAAAACAAAAACAAAAAAAGTGAATAAGAAACTTCACCAAAATCACGCCACGTTTTCTTTAAAAGCAGGCCCACATGGTATGTCTTCAATTAATCCCATCGTGATAATTCTGACATTTTAACAATAAAATTCATATGTGCAGGTATAGGCACTAAACAAATAATTAAACCTATTCCAAATTAGGAACAGAATCAGCGAGAAATAAACGGAATGTAAAATGTTAAAAGCATCAGGACCCAAACTCATTTCTACTTACTAACTGTACATTAGACCCAGCTGAAGAATGATAAAGATCTTGCAACCAAATTAAGATGGCGTTACATCTCTGTTCTGACCATACATATTACCAACCCCTAAAGTAATTCACTCATTTTCTGGCAGAAAGCAGTATAACCAGTTTGAATGAAATGCCAATTCCAATTTAGCATTACAGGGTGACACTTGTAAAAAAACAAAACTCCTAAATTCACCAGAATGTTATATCATCAAAAACCAATTCAAAGAAATTGAACTCCAATCCATTACCAAGCGAATCCATAAGATTTGACAATGCTTGAACAATTCTACCTTCCATGGAAAAAGAAGTACAGAGTACCTAAAATTATAAACTTCTACTTTTCATATCCATAGTAAACAGATCCAAAAGGGGTCTTAGATCCAGGAGGGTGAGACTAAAATTTAGCAAATGATGATAATGTTTTTTAAAAGAGAGATCAAAATCATACATGGGTAAACTAGTATTTACAAGTTTCAATTTTTCTAGTCCCCTTCAAAAAAGAAAAAACTAAGAATGAATGAATTAAAATAAAATAAAGGGTAAAATTTCAGAAGGATTGAGAATGTGAGACAAAATGGATTGAGAAAGAAGAAACTGACCGTGAATAGTAGAGACATTGTGGGTAAAATGGAATTGGAGAATGGAGTTTGTAGATTGGAGTAGGAGTGACACTCCCTAAGCACCCAAGAACAAGAGCATAACAAGCATGTTATGTTATGTTGTTTCTGATTCTTCATTCTATGCATTTCTGGCCCAACATGCATGTACTTTCTCAGCTTTATTTTCATTTTGGAACAAACAGCACCAATGTAACTGTTTTCTTTTTCTCTCTTTCTTTCTTTTCTTAAATAATCACAATTATATTTCACTTTATTAACTTAACTTTAATAACCTTCTTACAGTGAGATATTTATTAATTATTTCATGAGATTATGTATGAACATTTAATTGCATTTATGAACCAGATTAAACTTGACAAGAATGACTAATTTTTTCCATCAGAAATTTAGGTCATTCGATTATAAAAAAAGAAAAAATAAATAAAAAAATAATATTAAATTAATAAATTAAAATTAAGTATTTATATGATTATAGAATTATCTATATATTTATTATTAAAAAATTTATGGATAAAATATTTTATAATAATATATATAATTATAAAACAATATTTTTTAAATATATAAATTTAAATTAATAAAATAATTTCACATTATATCAAATGTATAAAATATAATGAATTATTTGATTTTTGTAATTATTCTTATATTTATTTGATTAATATACAGATTAAAATTATAAAATATAATAATGTTTTTTATAGAGAAAATAAAGTTATAAATAATATTTTTTTCTCTCAGTAAAAAGTGAAATATGTAAATTAATAAAAAATATTTTTTTACCGTTTTTCTTGTTAAAGGGAATAAATGGCTTAAAAAATTTAATGATTAATATTTTTAATAAAAAATTTATTTATTTTTATTAATAAATATAGTGTTTTTGTTTTACAACTATAATTCACTATTCTTAGTTTTATCATTTTTAAATTAAAATATTTCTAATTTATATGAGAGAAATATATTAAGAAAAGTTAATAAAAAATTAATAAAAACATTCTTAAAATATAATAATAATAATAATAATAATAATAATAATAATTATTATTATTATTATTATTATTATTATCAACCAAGTACACTTTCTTAATTATTGTTAATTTAATAATTATGACTCAGTAACCTAACAATATTTAATAGTAATATTATTATTATTAAATATGAAATTTCATGGGGCTGTGATTTGTAATTTATTTTTATGTTATTTTTTATAAAAAATTATTTACATTCTTCAAACATGCAGAAACTAATAAATAAAATGATAAAATCATAAAAAAAATTGTATATTAAAAAATAGTAACAAAAGTATCTTTTGTATTAACTGTTATAAATAATGAAATTGATTTTTTTTATAAGTTAATAATATCCCTTAAAACTATTTAAATAATTTATATATTAAATATTAGGTTATTAAATTAATTACTTAATCAATTATTTATTGATAAATATTACCCCTTGAATTTTATTCTAGTTTTTTTATTACCATTTAGTTACAAATCATTATTATTTAAAAAAACATTTGTATTAATTATTTTATTATAAATTATTTACAATAAAAAATAATTTAATATATTAATAATATGTTTTAAAATTAAACTAAATTAATTAGTTTTATTAGTTTATTACATTGAAGTGTCTTGAGAATAATGTAGAGATAATCTTTGGTATTCAGTACATTACCAAATAATACAATGATATTATATGATTCCTCCTAATGTCTTACAATAAACCTTTAATTACAATCTCATTCTTTTTTATCATTGCCATTACACTAAAACTTGAAAAGAAACAAAAAATCTTTTCTTGAAAAGGTAAAACAAAAAAGAAACCTTCAATAAATAACACTGTATAAAAAATCAGATTAAATTGATTAAAGTTGGATATTTTCACCAAAGTGGTTCAAAGCAAGGGAGAAGCTTTTATTATCAATCCATGGAGGGGAATAATTTTTGTATTGGTGGGAACCTATGAAAACCGCAACACCCTCTTACTCCCACACTCATAAAACTCACTCGCAAGTTTTTCTCTTCCATTGGGCACAGGCACAAGCATGGCGAAGAAGAGAAAATCCATAACCACAAGCATGGACGAGGTGGACAGAACCATGTACGCTTCATTTTCAAATGCTGCCAATTCTCTTTCACAACTCTACGCTCTCTCCATGAACCGCCACAAACTCTCCTTCCAAGCCGGTGAACGCCACTCCCTTGTAACGATTTTCTCTTTTATCTTCTAACCCCTTTTCATTCCATCTATTTCCTGGACTATTCAAAAATAAAAAAAGCTAACTTTTTAAAATTCTTGTTCTTGTGTGAATTTGAGTTCTTACAAGACGGCCTTTCGATTGTTTTTGTCCTTGTCCTTGTGTTTAGGGTTTAAGCTATGTTATTTGTTTTAATTGGTGTGAGCTGTGTCTAATTTCAGGAAAAACTTTATCAGTGGATCCGGAGGCAACAAGAGGGTGGGTCAAGAATTGCAATTGTTGATATACTCGGCTACATTCAGGTTAGTTTCATGCTCTGGTTATTTTGTGTCTTGCATATCATTGTGAAGCAAACAAAATGAGTGAGGGAGAGGAATTCTAGTTAGTGACAAGAAGGTGCAGATGTATCATATCATGCAGCAAGGCTGATAGCTAGAGAAGCCTTTAACTAATTTTGGGTTTTTTCTTCACTGATGTAAATTTTTGAAGGACTTTAAACCAAGTATAACTGTATAATTAAATGGTCAATTTTTGCCCAAACCTGTTTTTAACCGAGCCAAACGGCGTTTTGTAAGCCTTTTAGCAACCGCACTTGATGGGACAAGACTTTGTTGCTGTAGTTTAAGCTTGCCCAAATCACACTCTTGAACAATACTGATGGAAAATAAAAAAGCACAAGGAAACAAACAATCTATAAAATATCATATTAGTCTTGTTGCCTTTGGTGGAGATTCTGTTTTTTCAAAAATATATTGTTCTCTGTTATTGACGTTTGCTTAATTGATCAGTTGCGTTTTGTTTATATAGGGTGGATTAACGCATGCCTTTACCATTTTCTAGTTTGCTTCTTTTCTGTCTTGTTACTGTTGCAGTCTTACCTTTTTCTCTTTCTTTTATTTGTCTCTGTTCTTTGTGGAATGTCTAATTATTTTTTGCCTCAATTAATTGGTGATTTGGTTAATGAAAACTGAACTTGATTAAGTGAGCGTTTTGTTTGCCTATATGCAAGTTATAACAGAGAATGTTGGAAAATTTTCTCAATGTGAGGCATGAATTGTTCAATCAAATTAAGCTTAATTACTGAAGGTCTGGAAAATTGGGTAAAATTTTAAGTGGGAGAAAGCCATCTTGATTTTTCTGATGGATGTTTCCCTTTTCTTTTATGTGATCTTTTCCCTTTTTAATTCATCATTTTCTAAAGTTATTGTAGAGGTGGATGTTTAGCGTAATTGCTACGTTAACTTTTTAGAAAACAAGTGTTTGGAATTTTATGTTTCACTTGTGGGTTTTGAGAAGTTACCGAATTACATTGGACGTGGTTTATTGTTAAAGAGAGGTAGAAATACATAGGACAGACAAATTTCCGCAAATTGAAATGGCAAGTATTATGATTTTGTGTCTTAGATATTGTGGCAGTTTAGTTGGTATTTATCTTGATTTTTGAAGTATATTACATAGTTGTAGAGGTAGCTGTGAAGGATAGAAAAGACAATGAAACATTATTTTCTTCCTTCCGTTTTAAAGATTTGAAAGATTGACAGTTTTTAAGAAATTGTCGTCTCAGAAACTTGTATGCACTTGAGGGTAGATATGTTGCAGTTCTGAAAAAAAAAAGGTTGATAACATGTTGGGCTACATTGGGATGCTCTTTTCAATGTGATATTGGTTTTTGTTGTTATTGATCACAAACTGCATGAATAAAATTTGATTTTTGTGCTAACAGAATGAGCTGGATTACTGTGGAGAGGAGCTATGTATGTCACCTAGAGCTCCACTGCAACACCAACAATCACAACCACTAGTGCATGCCACTGTCACTGGTTCAGGCTTTCCCGTAACTACAGGATTCCCTGACCAAACAATTATGGGGCAGGGACTCAGGACTGAGCAGTGTGATAGTCAATCAAAGAATTCTGTGTTTTCAAATCCTGTTCGTCAAATTGGTGAGGTAGAGGTAGGGAACTACTCAAGTGGTTTCTCCATGGGGAATGGAAGCCAGAACACTGAAGACAACTTTCTTCATCAGCAAAGCAGGGACTCTGCTGCATTCAGTTTCAATGATGCGGCCATGGACATGCATGCAGACTAGTCATGTCTGCTGTTTTATCTACTGAATGAGTTTGCTTCACCACCCCTCTACATTACCTGCAAAAAGAATTGAATAACTAACGGAAGGGCATATTTAAGTTTTGCTCGTTGAGTCCTACAACAAACAGCGGCAGGGTGGAACCTGTTTTATTAACTTGTTACAATTCATGCTTATACCATCCGAGTGATAGCTTAGATTTTAAATGTTTTTGTAAAGTTTGTCATTGAAATTGTTTAAAGGTACCTTGATTGTCTCTCAAAACAACCTTTTCAATGTAGGGATTGCTTCTATCTGAAGTTTCCTACGTAAACCTGTCCTCAGGGTCAGCCTGATGTTTTTAATGTCATGAGCAAACTGATAGAATTATGTCATATGGTTCTCTTTTTTTTTTTTGCAAAAGAATTAATAATTTCTTCCTAATTTATATTTTTTTAATAAATTATTTTCAATACAAATTAGAGTAAGATTATTTAATCTACATTGTGCATAGTAGATCGAAAATGAGATTTTAGTATGTAATTTTTTCCCTTTTTGAAATGCCAGGCTTGACTGTGTTATGCTTTCTGGGCCACAATTATCTGTCCCTTTTACAAATTCTATATGCTGCAATTCACAACTTCAGCCATCTTGTATCTTGTGTATATTCCTTTGTTTTTCACATCTATTTCGTTATTCCTTATAACATGTTCTCTGTTCTTTTCTTTGCATTATTGTCAAGTTGTCAAAAAGAGAGAATAAAGACACCTATTTAGCTGCAATTCATCCAACCTTTTTAGGATGAACTTAACAAAATTCCCAAGTGATGATGCATTATTGTATACCCTAGGTCAAAGTTCGATATTTTCTAAAAGACAGAAAAAGAGAAGGATCTACACTAGAGAAACACGATGTTAAATCATGAAATGAGAAAAGAAGGGAAGAAAGGTGTTTATAATTGGAGTCTTGAGAGGGATGATATGGAATTGCTTGTGCTGTTGTGATAATGAGATGGCATTGACAGAGAAGGCATCTTAACATCAGAAGAATACTTGAAGCTTAAGGATAAGATTGTGTCCATGTGTAGAACTATTGCCTACCTTATATACAGAGAAAGTTGTTTTCTTATTTTTTTTAAATGACAAAAATAATTTATCATTAAAAATTTAATGTGAAGATTTAACATGGTTCAACATTTTAAAAATATGAATATATATACATAGTTTTACTCGAAATTTTTGGACTGTATTTTTTAAAATAACATTATTTAAACTATTTTTTATATTTAAATATAAAGTTATATAAATAAAGTTACAATTAACAAACATATATAAATATCATATGTTTCTTGAAAATTGTTTTATGATTGGTTGACATTTTAGCTATAATATATTTATATTTATTAAAACATGCTATAAATATGTATTATAATTTTTAATTATATATTGTCTAATTTATTTGTAAATATGAAGTAACTTTAAATTATAAATAAAATAGCAATCACAAAAAGTCACAACATATCTTTTTATTTGACAATTTCTCATTATTAAACATTAGTATTTTTTAGAATAATGTTTTAATTTTTCTAATAAGAAAATATTTATATAGAATTAAATATGTTTAATAAATTTATAATAAGAAAAAAATATCCAAATTAAAAGTGTAAAATATTAATTTAACTTTTTGATTTAAATTTTATATTAAAAATAAAATCTAATTATATTTGATATGAGTATTTATTTAATGAAAAATTAAAAATGTTTGTTGTTGGTGAGAAGTTAAAATGGAGAAGAAAAATTAGAAAGAAGGGTATTTTAGTAAAAATGTATTTAAAAAGAGTTTGTGAACTTCCTTTTGGGCCTATTTACTTGTATAGGTCTACAACTATTTAGTTGACTTGATTAAACTACTGACATAGTATCACATAGCATAACATATTTTGTTTATATTGGTACCAATGTATTATATTTTCATGGATTTTTTAATAACATATTATTTGTACTAAAACATACAAGAAATATAAATAAGTTTTAAAAAGTTATTATATTGAATTAATTTTTCTCTGTTTAAGATTATTATATTTAATAAAATGTATGATTATTAATAACTTATCTATTTTATTCAAAATGTTTGTCAATCAACCTTTCCATTCTTCGTGGATATTAAAATTTATTACTATCTATATGTAATTGTTGATAAGTCTTCTTAATTTTAATATCACAATGTACTAAAATACGTAGAGATTTATAATTAGAAGACCAAAAGTCTTGAATGAGACGATACAGCAATTGTGAATTAGTATGTGATAAAAAAATTAATTAAGATAATACTGGGACCACCATAAATGGTGATTGAAATTAATATTAGATGATGGTAGGTAGAGCAGCCTACTGCCATTGACACTTTCAAATGAAGGCATTTAGAATTCATTTCAATCTCAACAAATATTCTGTGGCATACATGTCATCGTTAATTCATAAACAAATAAACAGTTTTCATTATTATTTTTGTTAAGTACTAAAAAAAATAAAGCATTTGTTCCCACATCCGAGGTGATTAGATTTTATGATGTCTTGCATTCTATTAAATCCCAAACCATGTGATATATTTTTCTTTATAACACGTGATAAAAAGAAAATATAAAGCTCCCATATTTCATATTTGATGATTACATTAATCTACAAACATAACGAAGAACATAAAATTTATGAGTATTATCTACTATTTGAAAGTAGCCTCTGAGATGAGCTTTTGACCCCTCAATGATTCATGCAACAGAGTGGTGGGATACAGTGTTGCTCTCACAATCATTACTTGGATGAGCAAAAAGAGCATTCACATCGGAACTTTCATCTTTCACGCTTCACGCTATCATATGAATAATTCTTTAGTACTGTAAATACTACTAGGCTTCTAGCGTGATTTTCTTTGTAAAGGTTGCAACTCTTGCCTTTTAAGTGTTTCTCCTATTCTGTACATTTTTTTTAAAGATAATTAATCTTATCTAATGTCAACTTTAATGATGTTCTTTTATATATATATATATATATATATATATATATATATATATATATATATATATATATTTATCCATCTTTATTAAAAAAATATAGTTAATGTTTATTTTTTTAAATGACAATTTTCCTTTAACTATTAAAAAAAAAAAACTAAATTTCCTTAGTAACTTTATCTTCTTAAACTCAACTTAGATAGATGACAAAAAAAATGTTTCCAAAAACTTAGAAAATGATAGGAAACCTTGCTTTCCAGTTTTTCCTATGGTAGGTGGTAATTAATGTGTAGTTCTAAATACAGTCATATTTAGGTAGTGGACTTCTACATTTCAACTATTATTTTTTTCATAGAAGAAAAATTAAATTAAAAAATTGTTTCGAACAAACTTTATTTTAGTTTATTTGTTATACATTTATTTCCTGTAAAAGAACCAAAAAACGTCAAGATTTTCTTATTTAGAAAATACTTATAGTTTATAAAAAACAATTCTTTAACATACCCTTTTCAATGTATATTTTATTATTGATTACAATTTATTACAAAAATACTAAATCATAAATGAACTTCATTAAATTTAAAAAAAGGTTATATGATTTAATGATTCTCCATAATATTTTAAATTTATATTAAAAACATAATATAAACATTTTTATTTCAAACTATCAACTAATTTTTTTTTCATAAAACAACATTTTATTGCATAATGAAATTATTTTTCATATGCATCACATATTTATTTTCTCTTTATGTAAATACTTATCAAGATTCCCTCCCCCTGTAATTTATCCAACAATTAATCATGCATGGTGACTGATTTTTGCCTTGTAACCTTTGATTCTGTTAGTTTTATTGTTGATTGAAACTGTTACCTATACTTCTCTTAAGATAATTGAATTGCTTTGACATGAGAAATAAAAAGAAAAATGTCCTTCATGATAGATACAAGTAATCTTACTCTGGACCTAATTAACATCTACCTTTCTAGATGAACATCATTTTTCTTTTTAATAGTATTAGCTTTTAAGCAATTATTATTTGGAATATAATATATATTTTTTCTCATTAAAAGAATTTTTTTAAATAATTTATTTTTTTAATAACTTTCAAAGAAGTGACATAATAATTATAAATTTAAATTTATATATTATTACATTTTTCAATTTATAAATACCATGATTTAGACTTTTATTTTAACAGTGATAAATCCTTACACTCTTTTAAGGAACCAGAAAAAGTCCAAGTGGCTTGCAAGTTCAATAAAAGTAAACACATGATAGGGTAAAAAAAGTGAGATCTTGCATTGAACACTGCCAAGTTTTATATTATAATTGATTATAAAATGACCTCTCATTAAACAATTTTTAAAACACTACAAACATTCTTTAATGCATACAAAGGTCAATTTACTCTCATGCACGAATCTCTGTTTCCTTCCTTCATTAAACAGGGAATGAATTCATGTCCACATTCCTGATTTCCCTCATATTTTATTTAATGTTAATACTATAAAGTAACAAGTTGGAGTGATTAGGGTGTTGACATCATGTTATGATAAATTAAATCCATGGTATAAACTCTGGTGATAACAACTTTTGGTGGCTTGTGTATTACATGAAAAACAGGAACCATATATTTTCTGGTGAGATAATAATCTCCCCGTGGAGTGAACACTCTTCCATGGGAGAGTGTGCTCGTGGTGAGATGATTCTGTTCACCAGTTCAAATTCTATTCATCCCAGCGTCATAGGTTTGTTTCTAAGCGACAATTTTGGACCCTTGCTTTTCATTTCAGAATGCCAAATTTGGACCTTTGCTTTCCAGAATATATTCCACTCCTCACAATTTAGGGTTACTTGATAGTTTGCTTGGTTTGGAAATTGGAGCAAATGTTTAACAATTAGAAAAATATCCTCCAAAGAGGAAACATTAACTCCTACCGCTGCTTCCAAAAGTGACACTCCTGCGTGTTTGTTTTAGATGTCAAGTCCTCAAATTGTACCCAAACTCAAATCCATTTTGCTCACTTGCATGGTAAAAACTATCACATTCCTAAGTGATTTTTCTCGCTGTAGATGTGACACATTACATTGTTTTTTAAACAGTTAATGTAAGTTCCTTTTATATTTGATTAATCTTAATCACACTCTATAAACAATTTCATTTCATCTGTTGTAATAATTGGTTCAACTTACTCTTGAGACATTAAATAACAAAAAGTGTCCACTTTACCCAATGGGGAATCTGACCAATAAGAACACAACACATTTTGAAAAAGATAAAACTTAATGTGTGAATTAATCATAAAAATGTCAGCATTCATTAATATGTGACTGGGGAGACAAATTGTATCCATCAAAGAAGAAGAATACATATATATATATATATATATATATATATATATATATATATATATATATATATATATATATATATATATATATTATCCCTCTTTTGTTGTCAAAAAGTTGAATGCACCAATTTTCATGTATCAATTTCCTCATGTCTACCATTTTAGTTGACGTATTATCTTCACTTGAGATTTACCGCACAAAAAGCAAAATGATTTAAAGCCAATTGAAATTACACTGGTTGGCTAGTAGTTATGTTTCTAGAATTTTCCAAACATCATTAGTTTATTCTTTACTGAGACTATTTTGTTTAACTACTTAGAAGACTTCCTTTCTGGATTTGTCGTCACGATTTTTTTTTATAAGAAAGAAAGCAGAAGAAACAAGCAATTAAAATTAACCATTCTTTAACTACCAAGGAAATAAATAACGACAGCTAAAAAATAAAAGAGGTGTGTTAGACAAATTAATTAATAATAATAAAAAAAAGCATAGCATGGCATTGTGCACATTGAAGAATGGGATCACGTCGCTATCATGCGCCGTGTGGGTCACTATCCTATCCTCCTTTTAAATAATTGAAACCAGAAGAAAAATATACAGAACCGGTTTTTTTTTTTTTTTCCATCTTATTCGTCGTTCAATTCAATTCCTCGCTGAGTTCTTCTTTCGGATGCTCCAAATCGTTGCCGTCGATCCACGCGTCGGCGACCATATGTTCTGATTCACCGGCACCGTTTTGGTAGGGTAAACTTGCTCCTTCTTCTTCGATCTAGAATTTCCAGTTTGTTTTCCGAAGAAGTGAGGGAAAACCGACACTTCGAAATCGCTTTAAGTTGTTGGATTTGAGGGTGTTCCGGACTCGGTGTTTCTGATTTTCTTTCTCATGCATAGTACTCAGAAGCTTTTTTTTTTTTCCTTACCTATTTTTCTGTTCTTGCAATTTAATTTGGCTTCTTGAAATTTTTTATCGTGTTCGAGAAACTGCTCATTAACGTGCTTTTGGAGTGGTTGCATTGAGGCAGAGATCTTCCTCTCTCGGTAGTGAATCAGCGGAAATTGTGTAATTTATATGTTATCACGTGCATTTTTATGAGGATGGTAAGAAAATATACATGACTGGTTATATAAGATGGTTGAGAGTATTAATAAAGTGAGTTCTGTTTCTATCTCGAGCCTTTTTCTGTACAATTTTTTGATGATTTTAGAAAACAACGTAACTCAATTAATTTGTCGCAATTTTAGCCACATGGATTTATTGTTTATTTACTTTGAACAACAGATTCACCGCGTTTTGAGCATCTAGAAACTTGAGGATGTCTTGAAGTGGTTTTAGTTCGCTTAGATTGTGTTTGTCTTAACACTTTAAGGCTTTTCAAATCTGTGTTTTTGCTATGAAATGTGCTTTTCTTTTCTTATCGACATTGAATTTGCTCAATGGAGCATATTATGCCTTTTAATCGTTGAAAGAGAAAGTGGAATCAGAAGTAGTGTTAAGAATGTTAAAAAATTTATAACTACGGAAAATCATTCTGATCTCTGGTTACTTTTGGTTGAAAAGGCTGGTAGGTTCTTCAGAGAGAAGGGAACCATACATAGAAATCATTTTATGGTGCGCCGATGAGCAGAACTGATGTTATTGGCAGTAGAAGGAGGAGGATTCTTCTCTGCTTCGGCTTCAGGGTATACTAAGGGCCTGAGCCTTCTCCTCTTGGGTCAGAGGGATGAGGATAAACCCATGAGAGTAGCGCCTTGGAACCAGTACCAGTTGGTAGACCAAGAAACTGATCGCGAGCTCCAGCTGGCTTCTACAAAGAATCGCCTCTCCCGCGGCTGTGCCTCCTTTGTTTGCTTTGGTCGCACTTCCGCAGGGCTTGATACTCCGTCTCCTCTTAAAGTGGGCCCTGCCCAACAGCATGATGTCTCGCCAGGGCATCTGGTTTCCAACAAGGGAAAGGATCCTTCTGCACATGTAGATGATGAAAATGATAACAGAAAGGTTACACTTAAAAGTAGCATAAAGAAGCCACAAATTATTAAACCCGTTCATGTTGTGGCTGCTAGTGAACAAGAAGCAGCAGGTGGACAGGGAATTTGTGCTCCTGGCGGCCAAGCAGAAAGAAGGAAAGTGCAGTGGACGGATAATTGTGGAAGTGAGCTTGTTGAAATTCGAGAATTTGAGCCCAGGTATTTGAATATTTTATTTTCTATACCAGCTATAATAAGTGGACGAATCTTTCTCTTTTGTTTGATGAATGCAAAATTTTAACTCTCTTGTTTGTCAGATTTTATCATTGGGAATACTTAATATTATGTGATTGACAGCAGTGAATCAGATATACTTTGATGGCCTTTATTTCCTTCCATCTTTATTATAAATGACATAAACATCTGATATTGTGTGATTGACAGCAGTGAATCAGATATACTTTGATGGCCTTTATTTCCTCCCATCTTTATTATAAATGACATAAACATCTGATATTGTGATAAATAATGTATGAAGCGTTTAATATTTTTGTCTTAAGGCTGAGTTGAATGAAATGGATTTTCATTTTGAAAATTGAAGTGTGAACTGAATCTGATTAGAGAAGTATATTTGGTTTCTCCAAGTTTCGAAGGTCTTTTATACTTATTTATTCTAAATGCTGTCAGTTCCAACTGGTATCTTGAAGACTAAACTGGTACTGGGCGTATTGTTGATTGAAAACGTGGGATGCCACTTGGACATACTTTGTGTTGAAAGACTGTCATTCGCGCCTTCCATTTTTTACTTTACCACCAACACCCTAAATAATCAAGGGTAAAAGATGGGAAATAAATTTGTTTAGTCAATCATATGTTTAGTTTTTAAAATATGACCACTAGAACAATTGAAAAATATTTTTCTTACTCAAATGATTAGGAAAAAGTCAGAATACATGGTTGAGTTAGAAGACAGGTTCTAACCTCCAGTTCTACGGAATCCTAGTAATGTCTAGTGCTTAGGATATGACCTTTATTGATGCTTTATTTAAGGTTTCAACTATCAACATGAGTTATAAGTCTGTTCTTTTCTTTCTCTGGTCAAGTTCTGTCTGGTAATTTACAGAATAATAGGTGTTAATGGAAATTTAGGCTCGTTTATGTTTTTATTCATTTCCTGTTTTTATTTTTTCTTTTCACTTAATCCATGTCCAACCGGTCACTTCATCTCTTCTTCAGACGAAAAATTTGTTGTTAATTAGGAATCCTCTAAAACTTATTGTGTAATGAGGTTTACTTAGTCTAAAACTAGAGCCATTTGTTTTAGCATTATTTTGCTTTTTTGTATTTGTAATTGATACTGGTGGTATGACTTAATTTTTCCTTGCAAATTTGGGGCCTATTTATTGATTTTTTTTTAAATGTATTTTTTCTTATAATTAGAATAAGTGTTAAAAAAAAGCTGTTTAATGCTTTTCTCATAAACTAAAAAATAATAGCTTTTGAAAAAATGTTCCAAAATGCTTTACACATGCCCTTTTTTTATAGCTTAAACAAATGGGTCCTTGAATTCTTTTATTTGAAGCTATTTTTTTGAGGTTTTTGATGTAGAAAGATGGCATTGTGGCAACAATTAGGGATGGCAAAACGTGTTAGGCCCGGTGGGCTGGCCCGCCATATTATGGTGGGGCGGGTTGGTTTTTCAGCCCACCAACCTGCTTTGGCCTGCCTCGCCAAACCCACCAACCCGTCGGGCCAACCCGCGGTCCGCCTAATTAATAAAAAATAAATTTTTATTGTAATAGAATTAATTATAAAGATAATATATAAAGTTAAAAAGTTTAAAAAGAGAATTAAAAAAGTTTGACTCTTATAAAAAATATTCTCCTTACTTAAACACAACTTTCTCTCTCCTGTTCTCCTTGTTCATCCTAAGCACTGATTATTTTTATCCTTATAACTTGAATTAAAGGTGTAAGAATTACTCAACCAAGAATAATATGAAGTTTTATCAAATATAAAAGATATAGGTATTTGAATTTTTCAATATAAAAAATATAAATTTTATAAGTTTTAACGTTTTATATATATATATATTTGTTATTATTTATTATTATGTAAATTTTATTATTGTTTAAATTATAATTTCTTAAAACAATATATTGATTTATATTATTAAATTGAATTATTGACAAACAAATAATAATCTTATTATTAAATTTATTGAAATTTTTTATTTTAAAAAATAAAATATTTTTTTCTAAATTATGGTGGGCCAAGGTTTACAGACCGTCATGACTATAACGGACCAGCCCGCCCCGTCCCGTTTTTGGCAGGCCAAAGGCGGGACATGCCAAAACGGGGCGGCCTGGCCCATTTTGCCATCCCTAGCAACAATCGACATGCTTTTTGTTTGAAGCTTTTTGGAATCTATATTTGGAAAGGAATGATAAAGATTCACGGAGTTTTTCATTCTTGCACTTGCATTCCTTGGTGTTTGGTTAATGGTTGCTGTAAAGTGTTCTCTCTATATGAAGTGGATTTGTAACATGGAAAGACTAGTTATGTTGATTTGATTATCCCCACTTTGTTTGGTTTTTCTTTTTGACACTTTATAAAAGGACGTCTCACCCTCAATCATTGTACTTAATTCCATTATGATCAAATTATTCATTTGTCCACAGGAAGAAGTATATACAAGAGATTCCTGAATTTACTCTTATTTGTTGGGTGTGCAACCACTTAATTTCTGCTATTTTCATTTTTTACACCTTATTGATCTGTTGTGTGCTTGATCCTATCAATCATCATCACTAAACACAGCTGTTGCTTTTCTTCTTGTTTGGAAGTTGAAACTTGCTACGAGTATATGCACATAATGTATACAAGGTTCTAAACCATATGATTATGTAGTTATTTTATTAACATATTAAGCTGTATGACTTTTGTGATCTTCAATGATTTTATTTGTATTGTATAAAGATTTCCACCAATTACATTAAAAAATTCTTTTTTGCCATATAAAAAATGAAAACAAAATGGAAGAAACCTTTTACTTGAAGTAAACAGATATTTTACTCTCTTGTTGATCGATGGCCATCTTGTGTACTACTGGTTTGGCATAAACTGTAAGTAGTTCACAAGTTGGTTGGGGAGATTAACTAGGAAACAGCATGAAAATGGAGCATTTTGTGGGATTTTGATAGAATGGGCATGGATGTTGGAGGAATAAAAAATAGAGTCATAGAGTCACCTTGATAGCATATGCTTGCTTATGATCTTTTTCAATGGTAATATACTATTTCTGTCTTAAAGAGAAGCAATTCATAGTTGAGTTTTGATGTCAGATTCAGCTTGTTTTTCTGCTTGATCGTATGGAGCCTATGACAGTTTTTACTTGGGTTGGGGGATTTAGTTCCTCTAAAATGAGGGGGTGTACTTTAGAGGACAAAGTACACTTATAACAGCTGATTAAAAAATTAATGTGAGTTGAGATTTAGCAATTAAACCATTTGAGTACACTTTAAACAAGTTGTGGATATTCTCATACAGTATCTAATCTTGGACGCTAATTCATGGCTTACGCAGAAAAGGACCTGCAGTTGAGTTTATTGCCCTGCATGCGTTTATTCGAATAATGTGTTTGTGTTTGATCAATTGCTCTGGATCAGTATTGATCAATTTAATTTACTACTAAAGTTCACTTTGTATGTGACTGTTTTTTGGGGGGTAAATTATCTTTTTGTACTCAGCTTCACAGAATCCTTTTTTCCATGCATCTTTTTACACATACGCGCAACTTTCTAAGGTTTTTTTTCCATGTTGATACCACATCTTAGAAATCAATTTTTATCTTTCTCTCTCCTATGAACACTCTTCATTGGCTCGTTTTCAACTCAATCACATTTAAAATTCAATATTGTAACTTCTATATATGGAAGCTTTGTGGCTGAACAATTGTCCTATTATGGTAAAGAGGTATTTCTAGCTGTGCTCTGATCTGTGCCTTCAACATTATTGTTGTTACCTGTCTGGTGATGGAATCTTCCATAACCCAGAAAATAGTTTCCTCTGAATTTCTAATGCTATTGCCTGGTAAACACATCTTATAATTGTTTTCATTACCATTCTAGGCCCAGTAGAATACAATTCGTTTTGATAGGACAAAGGTCTTGTTTTTTGCTCTTGTCATCTTTTGGCTCATTTGTTTCAGTTCTGCAATCCGTAGTAGGTTAGAGTTTTGAAAGTCTATGCCCTTCAGTGACTAATGGTCCTATCCCGTGCGTCTGTTTCTGGACCTGGTGGTGGATGATATCACATTTTTGGTAGACTGGACATGGCAAAGAATGCATCTTGATCTTTTGAAATGTTTTCAGGAGATGATTGGTAATTCACGCGGGACATTTTAAAGGAACAAATTTTGGTTGTTGGGGATGAGCAGGTTTAGTTAATTCAATCGAGTGATGAAAACATTGAATTCTCACTTGTGATGTTGACATGGGGAAAGTTAGCGGATTTGGACATGTGGTTTTTGCATATGTCACATCAGCAAATTTTTGCATTATTATTACTTTTGCTTGTGTCAGGATCCATAAAAAAGTAGAATACGAATACGATTGTAGGAACTCAATTTAATGAGCAAGGATCAAGACTGTAGGGACCATGTGAAGCATGTTGTAGTGATGGGAAACCTTCAGATTATGTTTCTATTTCATCGAATATTTGCTGTTTATATCTTTAATAAGTACATTATAAACGAGACCATGCTACAATTAGTTTGTGAATTACCTGTCTTCCCCGTAGGGATGACACTCGCACGGAGTTAGGGTGGGAAGTACCTCCCCATCGTGTCTTCTATTATTTCCCTACTCCTATATCCACACTGTTCTCCTGTCCCAATCCTTGATTCCCTCTTTGGGTTAAATTTTCCCATCCCATCCCTGACCCTGATTCCTTGAACTCCTTGTGGGACCTTGAAATTGTAAATAATAATAATGAGTATTCAGCAAATTCAGGTCCCCTTTCAACATTCCAAATTGTAAAAGAAACATTTATATATTATTTATTTATTTATAGACATACACATATAGAGAGAGAACAATTCTCATTTTAAAGATGCGAGGATAGTGAATTATGATTATATACATTTATGGGCAGTGAAGATTTAAAATTAGTGATCACATTGTTATTTAAAAAAGTCATGTACATATTTATCTTATAATTTTGACTTTTCAAATAAAATCTAGGAGTCATATTTATTTATTATTTTCATTTCTTATAATTGTATTTAGCTCAATATGAGTGATTTTTTCATGCTTAATACCTGTAGATCCCTCTGGGTCGGAAGTATGATCCCAAATGTCTTAATTTTATGTATTAGGCTATACTACCTTTATGTTTTCTTATGACATGAGTTGATTGTGATGAAAGTTTTTAACCTTTTTCCTTGTAATATATGTATTTTTTAGTATTTTATTACCTTCTTGTAATTGATTCAATACGATGCAATTTGTTACACAACTGCAGTGAAGTGGATGGATCAGATGATGAATTTGATAGTGGAAATGACAGAACTTGTTCCTGTGCGATTATGTAAATTGGAGTTTCATTAAGTTGATAGGTTCATCGGGCTCATTCACTGCTAACACAACCCATCACTCTGTTTGAGGCAAAAGCGGCAAAGGTTTCAGTTCCGTGGAGATATATATATTCACCAACACCTTGCCTGAGTGATGTGTTTGTTATTGCTTGCTGCGGCTTTAAATTTTGCTCCTTTGCTCCGCATCAATTTGTATAATTCTTGTCATGTGTGAATTCTTTCCCTTTGATTCATCAATCATTTTTATGCTACTTTATATGTTCCTATTTTTATATGAATTAACCAACTTTTCTTTCTATGATCTGGCATTTTCTTCAAGAAAGATAATATTCAAATGTTAGATCTTGTAAAAAATCATTGAGGCAACTTAGTAACAAACTTATGATGAGAAGGGGATTGTTAAGGTTTATCTGTCGAGAGGATAAAGGAAAGCTCATACTGGTTCAATTGGTTTATAGGTCGTTGAAGATGGACTGGGATTTTGCCACGGATGAAGCAGTTTTCTTCCATTTGGGCTCGGATTTGGACTACCTTGAGTCCAATTTTTCTTTACCGAAATTTCTGAAGGACTCTTTCAGCTCCAATTTGAATATGGTTTAATTTGTTGTCATAATTATAGAATTAAATATGCACGGAATTGAAACTAAAATATATTTTACTGAATGTGTTTCAAAATAATTTTAAGATAATATATTATTATGTTATTCAAATATTATTTTTTAAATTTCATAGTATCATTGGTTATTAGTGCATAATTGTTGAAAAAGGTTGAAATCTTGAAAACATTTATGAAGTCGAATTTAAACAAGTCTCAGTACCATCCAAACCGAATTTATTAATAAAACACGTTAAGTCTAATTTTGAAACTAAAATATATACAAGTTAACACTAGACAAGGTTTGGTTGGTAATAAGCAAACAAGTCGTTAACATTACCTCGTGAGGATGATTAAAGACATGTCATTGTTTTACTTTAGTGCCATGGTGGTAACATAATTTTCGATACTATTGTTTAACTTAATGAAGTGCACTTAACTATTTTATAATTATTTTATTAATTTGGTATGAGTCTCTTTTTAAAATAAACAATTATTTCAATTAATAATCTTTCCAAGCTTATTTGTATATGTTACTTAATTAAACATTATTTTTAATCACTTATTATGAATTGTAAACAAATATAGCCAGTAATCGATGAAATGGGCAACCAATTATACCTGAGTGTGAATAATTAACAAGATTGATACAAAGATAACTTGACCAAAAAGTAAAACAAAGGTAATCGGTAATAATTCTAATATGATTGAGGAAACGAATCCACTTAAATATGATCATGATGTTTAAAGTCATATCATACAATCAAACCATCAATAAACTGGTGGCCTATTGAAACCAAGATAGCTGCATATATATTTATCATCAAATATGGTATTCCATAAAATTTAAGATTTACATTTAATTTAATCTTTTTCTATTTTAATAAAATTATTGGAATATAAAGAGAAATTAAAGAGAGAGAGAGTTCTGCTGCGTATTCTCATAAGTCAAACACTGGCCGTGATCCAATGGTTGATGTTTACCGACTCGAGAGGTATAGAGAATGAACACGAGGTTAATGTCATGTTCCACAAACTAGAGCCACCTTTCAGTGGATACTTGGTCAATCCTTGTCCACACACTCGCTCTCTCGTTTTGATAAGACGACATGTCCAACTCTAAGGTCCAAACAAAAACCAATTGCTGAAAAAGTTAAAGGCATAAAAAAATAAATTAACAAAAAATAAAATCCAAGGATTGAGTATCACCAATCCAAAAAAGAAAATGTCTGTGGCATCTTCATTCCCATGCATCAAACTCCCAGCTTGTTCCTCCTCTCCATCATGCACATCTTCATCAAATTCATCGTTTAGATTTTCTTCTTCCAAACCTTATGCTGCTGTCACTGTAAGGAATTCTCAGACTGAAGGGCCTCTGAGAAGACCAGTGGCTCCTCCTGTGAGAGAACCATCTAGTAGTGTCCCTCAGCCCCTGAAGCCTTCACCTCCTTCTCAGCCTCCACCCCAGAAGGTTGCTCCTGTTGTTGGGGATGATAAGAGTGTCATTACATTAGAGTTTCAGAGGCAAAAGGCTAAGGAGCTGCAGGAGTACTTCAAAAAGAAGAAGCTTGAAGAAGCAGATCAGGGTCCTTTCTTTGGATTCATTGGCAAAAACGAGATTAGCAATGGAAGGTAATTTATTTAATTTTTTTCTTTTAGGACCTTTTGAAGTCCGAGTTTTCTTATGTGGGTTTGTGCTAATTGCAGTTTTTTTAATGTCCGTAGAACTTGTTAATTGTGAGCGGCTAAATATTTGGTTGAATGTTGGGGGTGACAAGGCTATATATGAAATCTCATAATTCAAAAGCATAGCATCTTTCACTGTGATGAGAATCTTAGATATGTAGTTATATACGATGGAGAAGGAAAACCATGATGATAATAAGAAGACTTCACTTTATCTGCTGTTTGTAAACAATTTAGAACTCCAGGTCCCCTTTTTTGTCTTTTCTTTCGTTAATTGGAATGGCAAACATTTTAATGTGTGTTCGATTCAATTTATTTTAAAATAATTGCTTTTTATTGTTGACGTTGTGGAAGCTTTTGAGAAACAAGCAATTAAATAAGGTCACTCTGTTATAGTAGAATTTGTTACTGATATCACCTAACGAAAATAAGTTAGGGGAACAGATTGCAAAACTTCAGTAGTTTGAGAAGCAATTAGAGCAACCAGTGGAGGACTAGACTTTAATGTGAACTAAAATTTCGGACTATTTTCACTTGGGTTCATACAGAAGTATGATTTACCCATATTTGTTGCTATTTTCGTTGTTGTCTCTTCTTGCACGAGGAATACCTTAACCTGATCAAATTGTCTGGGTCCATGTAAAGATTGCCCTTTTTCTTCCAGGGGAGTGGTACACAGGTAAGAGGCCCAAACAGATAGAGGAAGGGAAAAGGGGACTTGGTGGAGGATTGAACCTCCTACATCAATGGCACACCCATATCTTATAAAACTTGTCCAAATTTTGCACATTTTAGACAGTGTTTCAGGAACAACTATTCATGTGTCAGACAACCCAATACGTTTTTATTTTTTTGCAAAGTTTCGCTCTTACGATGATTAGTGTTAAGCATAGGGAAACCGTGTACTAAGTTTTGTGTTAGTATAAAATGGTGAGTACTGAGCTGAGCGTAGTCCTTAGGGATTATGTCCAAATATCACTTCTCAAGTTCAAGAACTATATGTACTTATGCTTGGGATGAAGGAAACTCAAAACATAAAACAGAATTAAAGCTTTCTAGGTTTTTCTTTAAGGAATTGAAATAACCACTAAGAAGGAAAAACAGAGATTAAAATACTAGGGATCTGATTTCTCTTGATTATGAATCCAGACACTCCTTAGACAAAGCATCCTTTGTTAGGCATTGAATTTCTTATCTTCCAATTTCCTTGTTGAAGATCAGATTCCCTTAATTAGTTATAACTCATAACCCTGATTCCTTTGGTGCAACAACTTTTCCATTGTGGCTTGGCCCTTGTGACCTTGTCATGAGACAATTGATGCATCAGCTACAAACCTAAACTCCACTAACAAGTTGAATTCTGTAGGTCAAATTAGCAAAGTAAGGTCATAAATGGTGATCGAGCATCCAAAAGCATTATGCATAGCAATTACAACTCAAACAAAGGAATATTCATAGAATAACTCAAGAACATTAAGTTAAAATGTCATGAAAGCCGAATTAAACCATGACCTTGTAAAGAGAGGTTTAACTAAAGATGAATAAGACCCTAAAAACTCCATCAGATGAAAAGGGATGATGAAACTAGGGATCACAAAATTGTGTTTCGCTTCCCCTTGGTATTTCTTTAGGTTATCTAAACGACTAAAAACACATTAAATTCCTAGCATTAACAATCTTATTATGCTAAAAAATACTGACAAGAAGAACTAAAAAAATTCAAAGATACCACCCTAACGCACTTACTAACAAGAAAGAAAGCTAAGCTTAATAGCCACTTAAAAAAATTATCATGTTATATGACCAAAGTTTCTAATTTATCAATTAGATGCTAGTTGCCAAGGTTTAGTAGGGAATGTAGCTCGTCTTCATATACATATATGCTTCAATTTTTGAATTATAAATTGTATTCTAAATCATTTGAAAAGCAAATCATCTAGCATACCGGTCAGAATAACATGTTAATTATCTCAAAATCTTAAGCTGATAGGCAAACGCCATGATTTTCACTATTTAATATATTGAATGCCTCCACCCCCAACTGCACGAGTCTTTCGGGCTTGAAACACGGAAAAAAAATTGTCAAATTACCTTGTGTTGAGATTCAACTTGTTGGGCATTAACAGGTCAAATTTGCTTTTTATGTGAACAAAAAGTAAACTGATAGGGGTTGGGTAATGTGGGGTGCTTAAGTCTCATATTGGGTAGTATGGGATGCTTGGTGGAGTATTGAAGTGTTCAGTTCTTCTCTTTAATAGCTAGTTTTAAGGGTGGGGTTTGCAGGTGCTTGGGGATATCCAAGTTGGTTGTTTTCTGCCAACGAAGAAATAAAGTTCTTACTCTCTTTTGGTCAATGATGTAATTTTATTATATGTGAAGAGTTTCATTGTTATGGACTTTTATTGTTTAAGATTTTACATGTCAACTAGTCAAGTAGAGTACTATTTATTCCTTATGAAAGGAGATAAAGATTTGCAGAATTATTTTCTCCTTCAGTGCTAATCCAGCAGTTAATTACCTGATACTCGAAGCTTAAGATCCTCTTGAAGTCATGTTTTCAGTAACTTCCCTGCTTGTGCTTAATAATATGTATTCATTTTGAGATGATAATACCTCAGCTCTGATATGAAACATGTTCATGCTTATGCTTGTTTGGTCTGCTCTGCCTATTCATTTGACTTCTCATTCTGGAATTTGGTTTCAACAGATGGGCAATGTTTGGTTTTGCTGTTGGATTGCTAACAGAGTATGCAACAGGGTCAGACTTTGTTGATCAAATAAAGATCCTTCTCTCCAATTTTGGGATAGTAGATTTGGAGTGAATACCATAAGATTATTTACTGTCAATAGTTTCATGTAACTTATCCTAGCCTAAGCAATGTTCATCAATTTGTTTCATCGTCACATATAGCAAGCACTTACTTCTTTCTCACATTTATGAAATAACGATAATATAATGATTTTCCTTTTTCTTTATGCTCATTCTTGCCATAGATATGGTAAATTAAGTAAGTACTATGACATGTTGACTCTTAAGTTTTAAATTTTCAGATCCATGTGTTTGGAGGAATATTTCTTAGAAGAGGTTAGTTAATCATATAGATCTTAATATTTTGAGAGGTTACTCTTTAACTCTCCAAAAGGGCAATAATCAATAATAATAATGATAATATATTGCATTTAGCATAAGAAGCATAATTTAAAGCATTACCTATCTCTATAGGAACTGCATTATTCATTCCCCTGTTTCTTCACAGTTCGAATCTCGTAAAATGCCCGAATTAGTCATACATCCAAAGAGTGAATTACACCTTGTATTAGGAGAATAAAATGTTAGTTTCTTGGATCATCATAGCTCATTACTTGTCAGTATTTTTAGTATAAAGAAGAACACTGTGCATCTTTTACATTTTATTCATATAAATTATTAATACAATAAACTACTTTAACGGTATATTATTCTTTAATGCAATAAAAAATACATTCTTCATGCCAATTCTTTGTTAGTATAATGAATTATATTCGGTAATAGAAAGATGTAACGTAGAGTCTAACTCATTTAAGACTTTGCAGAAAAACTGTTTTGTAAAAGTTAAAACATTGCAAAATACGTTTTTTCTTCTTAACAACATTTATTTTGTCGTTGAAAAATTTGAATCGTCATCTTAAAATAATTTTTAAACGATAATAGAGGGTCGAAGAACAGTAAAACAACGTACATAACACAGTATCCACTTGTCAGTCTGGTCATAAAATATTTATGTCTTGTTTGAATAAGGAATGGCATGAAAAGAAAAAAGTGTTTTTTGGATAAATAAAAAATATAATAAATTAAATAAAAAAATCATATGAAAAATATTTTGTAACAATTAAACATATAATTTTGCTAATTTTTTTTTTTTTAGATAATTAAGTTGAAATGAGAGTAGTAAAAGAAAATTACTACTTGATAGCATAAAGATGCGATGAGATGGTGTGTTGGGAGGATATACGAACCTTGGTGGGTGTCCGTATTCTGAGAAGGTTGCCGGCTGTGGGACCCAACAAAGAATAAAAGATCTAACATTTCTGCCATACACAGACACGTGCGCCCAACACTCACTCACGCTATTCCATGCCATTATTATTGCCATTGCTTACTGTCACACTCCATATGTCTCTCTCCCTTTCAATTTTCACCCTTTCGTTTCCTCGTTCAAAACTCTTCTACTCTCTCTCTCTCTCTCTCTCTCTCTCTCTCTCTCTATCTATATGTATATATATATATATATATATATATATATATATATATATATATATATATCGCCTATTCTAAAAACTGCGCAGTCATTTTCTCTCTCTTCGGAAAACCCAAAGAAGAAAAGCCCAATTGGTTTTGCCTGTGAGTGAGAGTGAGTACCCGCAGCAACATTCCAAATGTGCCGTCCGAGGTCGGCATCTACCATTATTCTTATAACTCTCTTTTTCTTTTTTTTGGAGCTGCACTCGTAGAAGCTGAGGGAACACCCGTTATGGGCTGTGTTCAGGCTAAGCAATTGGATTTGGAAGGTCCAGACTACAGGAGTTTAGAGAGGTTGAAGTTGGATAATGGGTATGTCCCAAGTAATGACTTTGTTGCTCATAGGAGATCCACTGGTCAAAGACATGACCCTACGAAGGAAGATCATAGGCTGCATCAGCATCAGAGAGAACAACCCACAAAGAATAAAGTTGAGCCTGGTGTTGCCAATGATGGTGCAGGGCATTATGAGGACAAGGTGGTTGGAAGAGAGGGTAGGAGAGTCACGCGTCGTGATGATAAGAAATTGCCAAACAAGTGTTGCTTTGAGGATGAGATGATAGAAGGGTGGCCAAGGTGGTTGGTTGATAATGTTCCTGCACAAGTGTTGGCTGGCTTGGTTCCCAGAAGTGCTGAATCCTACAAAATGATTGATAAGGTCTTTCTTTCTTGGTTCTTTAGTGTTCGGCAATTTATAATTTTCTCTGTTTGAATCTAATTAGTGTTCCCGGTATCTTCACCTTCACCGACAATAGGTGATTTAGATTTGGCGATTTATGCAGAAGTTGTTGCAGAATGGTATTGATTTCTATCTGATTACAGAAGTTGTTATCCAGAATTATATTCAATTACTACTTAAGTTTTATTGTTTTCAAATTATTGACAATCTACTATGCAAGTTTTGTTCATGTATAGTTTGTTAATCAAAACTGAAGTGCTGTCCTAACTGATAATGGCAGGATGGAGCAAACTAATTCACTTACATTTTGCAGGTAGGACAAGGAACCTACAGCAATGTTTATAAAGCTCTGGATCGAGACACTGGAGAAATTGTCGCCCTGAAGAAGGTTCGCTTCAATACATCAGAGCCTGAAAGTATAAAGTTTATGGCAAGAGAAATTATGATATTACAGAGACTGGATCATCCCAATGTAGTCAATCTTAAAGGATTAGCCATTTCAAGAATGCACTACAGTATATATCTAGTTTTTGACTTCATGCAAACAGATTTGGCACGAGTTATTGCTCGTCCTGAACAGAGACTATCTGAACCACAGGTTAAAAGATTCTCTTTGATGCCTTTGGTTGTTTTAACATTTGGACCCCTTTATTCTCTTTAATGATCTTAAGAAGTTAATGTAGGTCAAGTGCTATATGCATCAATTACTTTCAGGTCTGCAGCATTGCCATGATAGGGGAATTCTCCATCGAGATATAAAGGGGTCAAACCTTTTGATTGATAAAAATGGGATGCTCAAGATTGCAGATTTTGGACTTGCCAATTTTTACGGTCCAGATCATCATCAGCCTCTTACAAGCCGGGTTGTGACACTATGGTACAGAGCTCCTGAGTTGTTGTTAGGTGACACAGACTATGGAGTTGGTGTTGATCTGTGGAGTGCTGGATGTCTCCTGACAGAAATGTTTAAAGGATTTCCAATTATGCCTGGCAGAAATGAGGTGAAGATAATGGCTTCCTTTTATCTTCAATTATCTTTGTCCATTTTTGAAATTCCTTTATTTTTGTGCTGTCTTCTATTTCTGCTTCGTATAATTTTGTGTGGATTTGTCTGCATTTCTTACTGACTTCAATTTTCTAGATCATCTAATCATGAACTTTCCCTGCCTCTAGGTTGAGCAAATTCATAAAATTTTCAGGCTATGTGGCACACCATCAGAGGAGTATTGGAGAAAATTGAAACTTTCTACAACTTTTAGACCTCCAAAGTCTTATCGACCCAGCCTTATAGAAACTTTCGGGGATCTCCCTCCATCTTCTTTAGGTCTTTTATGCACTTTGCTTGCTTTGGATCCTGCATTCCGTGGCAGTGCATCTAAAGCTCTTAAAAATCAGGTTAGTAAAGAGTAAAGACAATAATGGCTATTCATGACTCAAGTAATTCTGACTCCAAACCATTAAACTGCAATGCGCAATACTTTTCTAAGAAGATTGAACCTTTTTACAGCTGCAATTTGTTGGCTATGAATTTTCAATTTCGCCTACCAATTTGCAATTCCAGTTGCCAATTAGTAGAATGTATATCTTTGTATGTGCATTAGTGTGTTAATGGTTTAACAACTTTGTGCATTTTGATTTGACTAATAATCTTCATAATGAAAAGTATATTGGATAGATTTAATGTTCTCGTGATGATTCAGTAGTGGCTCATTATCTTGTAGAACTAGTAGATTTAGAAAAACGCACACAAACATGTGCGATATTATTAAGTTCGGCATGCAATTCCCAGTGAACAGCTAGGAAATAATCAACTGCCTAAATTATTCCAAATTTCTCACGTACGAGTGTCTTTTATGTGCAGTTTTTCTTCACAAGCCCATTGCCATGTGATCTCTCTGGTCTGCCTGTAATCTTCAGAGAGGGTGATGAGAATGTTCAAGCCAATGAACAGATCAAGTAAGTCTTTTTAAGCTATAAAGATTTTGACAATGGCTTCAGTCAACTTCTTACACATTCATATCCTTTTATTTTACTTGAGTCACATGGATATGTGACAGTGATAAATGGTATATCTCTTATTTTCTTAGTGAGAAGTGTGACATATGGGTAATTCTGTTCTCAGAATTTAGCAGACAATTGTTTCATTTAAGCAGTATAAAATGCAGTTAGTTACCCAAAGGACCATCTTGTGACAAACTATTGAATGTAATTTTTTCTTCTCCTGTATCATTAGAGTCATTTGCAATCTCTGTTGCCTTAAAGTAGTTGTAATTGAATTTGCTAGAAGTTGAGTGCAAGACAATGCCAAATGCTTGTAAATGTATATAAAATCCTTTTGATGATAGATTTCAGGCAACAATTCTGATGAGAGCAACTTCATATGCATGTTTTGTTGCATACATAAGTTTACATATTGGTATTTGTAAATTTTATTCAACATGTGGCATTGAACTATTAATCCAGATACATTTGTTCTAATGTGGCGATTATATAAAAAATATCGTCTGAAAGATTTAAATTCTTAATTTCAGTACTGGCAAAGATATCTTATTGCTTTGCTAATACTTACATTACAGGTATATGAACTCTAAAATCAGGCGTTCTCGTACATATTTGGAGCGTCGAAAGAATTCAGCATCTAAGAGGCCAATAGAGCATACTGTATCTTCTAAAGAGGTATTAAACCTTGTGCTTTAGGACATCCTGTGAGTGATTAATGAAAATTTGAGATTTCCCTCTCCACTCTCATTCTCGATGGAGTTAGATTCAAATTTTGTTTTGCCCACCTTTGCCCCCCTAAATTTCCTTCTATCTGGTTTCCCCATAGCTGTGGTTGTGTTGAATTGTTTCTCATTAAGCCACACAAAGTGTTTGCTTGGAAACGTTTTGAGGTTAACATATCTCTCTAGTCCACCCTTGTTACTGTTGGAATATTGCTCTCAGTAGACCATATGTTAAAATAAAGTTGACGCTGTGTCTCCAGATACACAACACCAAAAAGAAAGATAAATGCTCAATAATTTAAAACTACAGATGTTGACTCTATATCCTTCATATTTGTAGCTTGATCTTTAGCCATACTTTTCTTGTTATCATTTTGGTTATGTAGTGCTACTATTGCTGCTAATTTGATGTATTGGTTTCAGGAATTGGTGAGGAATGCTAAACCTGAAACTCATGCTCCAACTAAAGAAACGGAAAGCACAAGCAGTACCTCATCTAGTGTAAACCCAGTAGGGACTAAGGACCAATCACCCTTTTCTCTATCTCCATTTGGGGAATTAGATCGAAAGCTATCTCCAAAAACCCATCACCATGTTAATGTTGGTGAAGAAAACATCAAGAACCTTCCTCCATTACCCAAGTCAAAACCATATGCTACCAAGAAAGATGACAGCAGATACAGACCAGACCAGTTTTTCAGGTCAGCTTCCACCAGAGAATTTAGATACTTAAAATGGGAGGAACGTTTACTCGTGGATTTTGATGATTAGGCTATCCAAGAATATGTAAACCCAAAATTGTTGTTTTTATTTTAGTACTTGGTGTATTCTGAAAAGCTTTACACATTCTTTTCCCTATTGGTGTCAACCCTTTCTCCTAACATTTTGATTCTTCCGTTCAATAAGCATCAGCCCAAGTTGCATGCTTGTCCAAATCTCTTTGATTAGATTGTAAATGAACTTTACTATTGTACTATACATTTCCTAGGCACAACTTTATGAGCCTGGTTCAATTCCATGACCTGAGCATCAGAATAATTGATACAATGTTTGATACTGTATACAGTTATATCTATTTCTCACTCACTTTTGTATACACACACATCTCAAAATTACTCTTCCAGAATCGAATGGCACATGAATATTTTTGTACGATATAGTGCTGGCCCCTTTAAGTTATGAAAAGTATTTTTTTTATGGCTTGTAAAGGAAAAAGATGAAAGTGAAAACAAGCATAATTGTATAAAGTGTCAACTATAGTGTCAATTATTTGATATTTAAATAATAAAATTGTGAAAAAAAAAACAATAATTATGCTATACACATTCTAGTTCAGGTGGGACGCTACACAGTAAGATGCTTGCAAGCATGAATTATTAAAACTGCAAGTGATGTGTATCTAGCATTATTGTCGTAGAAAATAAACAACCATCTACGGAAAAATAAAAAATATAAACAACTTACATTTATTATCAAGGGAAGAAAATTGCACTAAATAGTTCAATCTTTTGCTCCTGCTTTTTTATACAATTTGTGAAGGAAGAAACTTTCACGCAATTACTCACAAAATTGTCAACTCGGAAGAATGAAGTAATAATTAAAGTAAGTATTCTCTAGTGACATACAATTGGCTTTGGAACTTGCAATTGATTGTTTTACACTGTTGTATCAATGATTAAAGTATTTGCTTATTCATATCATTATCAAGCCTAGGAAATTTTAGTTTTCCACATCATACCTGACGATGTGTGAGTTAGGGTGTCACAGTCCATGATAGCCTAGTCTAAATCTCTATAATCCTTCCTACTTGTTTGTTTAATTCTTTTGTCGTTTTCTGTTTCAGAATCAATTGAAAGAGTTCAGTCATTGAATTTGGATTCCAGGATTTTAAGATATACAGAGCAAAGAGAGTACTACGAATAAGGAACTGTTGAGTGTTAATCACTGGTTTTAAAATTAGATTGCAGAATACTGAGTTTGGAGGGTTAAAGTTGCTAATTCGAAATAAAGAGATGATTATATTAGAAAGATAGAATTACTCACACATAGCAAATAACTGTTACATATTGGGACTCATACACATACAAATTTGGACAGAAACTATGAAACTCTTTTTTAATTACAGGGTTTCTTTGAACCTTGTGTGGTGTGTTGCACATTGAAACTCCAGCGAACAACTACAAATATGAAGATTATAACAGGGGCAAGCTTATCTTCGTTTCTTAGGCGTGTTTGGCTAGAATGAAAAGAAAAAAAAAAAAAAAAGATTCTTGAGAAAATTAAATTAAGCAGATTTAGGCTAGACCTGTCTTCATCTTGAAAAAAGTCATCAACAGATATTGAAGCCACTTGTGACAAGGAATTAATAAACATGAATATTTCTTGCAAAAGTGAATGATAAACGTAAGTTGACTCTTACACCTTGAAGCAGGGAATGTTTTAAGTTACTTTATTAGCTGTATTGGATAGGCCTCAAATATGTAGTTTCTAGAATAAAAGATAAAGCAAAGGTTTTTTGTTAAAATTGTAAAGTAGGAAACCATATTAAGATTTCTACTATTTCAGATCAGTGGATAAGAAGTTAAGAACCCAGATCACACATCCAAAAGAAAAGAAAAAAAAGAGTTTACTACTAATCACAATTTTTAGAAACATTTTGAATCCTTGCTTGTTTTATGCAAAGCATGCTAGTTTGCTCTCCCTCATACCAAAAGACCAGCCAAGAAAAAGCATATGTATATATTCCCACCCAGCTAGTTCTCTCTCATTTTTTATGCATAACATATTACCTCACAAATACACCCCTGCAATATTTTTCTTCATATAAGTCCTTACCTTCAAAGTTGATATTACTGAATACATGCTAGCCCCGTAGCAAGCAACTCCTATGGTTGGTCACAGTTCACACACCATAGCGAATGTCACTGAACTTGTTCTTGATCCACTTGAAGCTGTTTCTGACACTTGTTTTAAGCTTTCCTTCAACTGTCAACACATTATAGGCCTTGATTCTCTTCTTCCTCTTGAGCTCTGGATCATTTGATGCACTAAACCCACTTCCCTTCTGGGTTGGCCCATTAAAATTATATGAGTTTGACCGTTCACTGAAACCAAATTCAGTGTAAGAGCAGGAGTATTCTGGGAAAGACTTGCTTTTCTCCATGATCTAATCCACCAAGTTTCTGAAATAAACCTTCTCTTTGATCTCTCAATGCATGAAACAGGAAATATTTGTATTACATAGGCAAAAATGGACAAGCTGGTAGAGGGTTTTTAGAGGGAAGAGCTACATCATGATCCTGTGTGGTGGCACCCCATGTGTGGTGTTGGATAGTGCCCTTTTGGGCTTTGAGAATCATGAGGGTCATTGGTAGTGTGGGAAGTGGGGTACACTTGTAGAAATAGGAGATGCCACCATCTACACTAGTGATGACACAATATGAATTCTCATGGCAACCCTTTATAGTGGGGGGTCCCAAGTTGGTTGTTTTATTTAGTTTTTGATACTGAGATAAGGCACTAGGCTATGCTTTGAACAAATGCTGAATTTCCATTTGCATGCTATTATGCATTCACATTTATATTGTTTGGTCGTGCCAAACATCTAGTGTCTCAACCATTTCTCAATGAAAATAAGATGGGAGTCATCTCTCTCTTTATGTCAAACTCAGTGGCTTAGTGCTCTGTGGTCCCTGGACTTTCATGCAGATCAAAGATCGAAAAGATTATCTTCACCCGTTTGCTTTAGGTGAAAATTATCTAATTCGATTATGATCTGCTACGTATGATTGACCAATTTAGTATCGTTATTTTTTGCACAAATGGGACAAAACAATCTCTGCTCCACATTTTCTGATCAGTTTTTTGATGAATTGAATATCATAAATCCGTTTCATTCCAAACTATCCACTTAATCTTATCCAACCTAATAATTTTTTAAACACAAATAATTGAGGAAGTCGCAAGGTTGTGCCATCATATATCAAGTTGCATGCTCAAACCTCTACTTTCATTAATGAAATTCAATTTAATAAGTTAAAAAATACAGAGAAATCAGAATCTCGGTATGATTTGATTAGTGTAGATTTGCAGTGATTGCTGCGGTTTTCAGTTCGAAGACTCTGATACATGGTAGACCCACATGTATTATGGTATGAGTACAGAATCAACTGGCCTATAAAAGCTTTGGTTCTCCGTATTCCTATAGGCTCCACAATGTATTTCTAGTTTCTAATGAATCACTTGGTCGATTTGGTCTATTCAGCAATCAGCATCTTCATGAATCTTCTCAAGTTGAAGAAAAAAAGATTGCATAAACGAAATGATAATAGCTACAAAGAAATAAAATTAAGTCAAACATAGTCTGAATTCCTTGAGAATAGGCATCTTGTCAATTTGCTGTTTTGAATCCAAAAGTAGAAAACCTACCAAGCCTCTACCGAAAGAGATGCTAGGACCTTGCTTATTTCGGAATACCATAATGGTTCAATTGATGGATCATTTGAGCAACCTATGCATGAAGGTTCATGCCCCCCTCTTGTTTCTTTTACTTTTCAGCCTATGTTAATGAATATTCTAAATGTTCTGATTTTACAGTTCATATACTGGGGATGATGAAATCCAATATTTTACATATATGATCTTTGTTTAAAAACTTACTCAACCATTATTCTCCTTTAATGTTAAAGGACGTGTAGGTGTGGATGTTGTAACTGTTGAAATTATATATGTACTGGCGATGCCAATTATTATTGTGGACCACTTACAATTCATGGATCCAAGTGAAGACAATAAGAACACTCCTCCGAAGTACGAATATTTTCCATGCTGAAAGCAAATTAACATGCAACTCATCATTAACCTGGTTTTGCATTGACTAAAGTTGGGTGAGTGCGTCCTCTCATCAACCTAAAGTTTATTACAGCAAGCAAAGCCAGCATTATAATGTTGATACAAGAAGCATCCCTCCCTTGGCATTTCAGCATGCAGAACTTGTGATTTCTTTTACACAAATCTCTCCAATATTTAATGACTCATAACAATGATTGATCCACATTCCATTACTCAATTACCTATTCTGATCCAATAATGATATGCAATTATTTCATTTTATTTAGGTTAAATTCAACTAGACTTTCCCCTTTTAGTCCTAGGCATGCAGATAAAGACTTCACATGACATGACACAAACTGTTCTTCATATGGAGTGGAGTAAATATGTTGCAAACTGCAATCATTTTTGCCCAGCGACTTTATCTCTATCATTTTTTCTTTTACACTGTTATGATCATTACATTAGGGGAAAACTATACATCAAATTAACAGTATGTGATCATACAGAACATGCTTGTGAAAGTAATTTGTACAAACAAACATCTTGGTGTGAACGATGATTTCTTACAAAACAGGCATTTTTAATTGAAAGTAGAAGAGTAAAACATAATATTAGCTGTTGAAATTGTAATCATATCTTCAAAATTACTAAGAAAAAGAAAACTTACTTACCTCTTTAGATGTAGTTGGTATTAATTTTTTATTGGAATTTTTCACCTTCATAATTTATTCTACTAACTTTTAGTTCCAAAGAGAAAATGTGATCAATATTTTTTTAATAGCTGAAATATGATGAGTAGATGTGTGTGTGAAAATGGTAGCCGTACACTTAGGGATGTCTCCTTCTTAGCCCCCCAATCTCCATACAGTATTATTAAGCACCCACCTTCTTGTTTCTTTCTCTCTCTTCCATTTCAATCACTCTCCTTTATTCATTGTTCACTCGCATTAATCACTTTTAACCTAATTCCGAAATAATGGTTTATTACCTAAGCTTGTTCATAACCGTTAGCCATTTGATTTTATATACCACCACACCCTGTTGTTTAATTTAAATAAATCCAGCTTTTCAAAATAAATAATATTCATACTCGTAGCAACATGTTTTAATTGGGAAATTTAGATCATTATACGATAAATACTCACATGTGCAATTATAAGAATTAACATCTGCTATAAAATCACCTAACTGTTTCATTTAGAATGCAATTATAAGATAAAAATAATATGCACAATCAATCATACTTAATTCACTAAAATAAACATACCCAGATACATAGTTATTTTTAATATCAAGATAAATGTGCAAAATAATTTTAACGGAAAACGGTAATATTACATATTTTGAATCTCATCATATAATTTGTAATCGACAAATCGAGAATTTTTTTTTCAATTACTCATTAGTTTCTATACCTATATAATTTTATATTTTTGTTGTTATTTTTTAAAACTATGTGTGTGTGTTTTTAATTCCTTTATATGTTTACCTTCCAAAATTGTATAGGCACTACAATAGATTAAGAAATGTAGCGTGAAAACTAAAACATGTTAAAAATTATGTTGGTTGTTGAAAATAAATAGTTTTTAAGTATTTAATTAAAACATAAAAAAATATGCAAGTATAAAAAATAACTAAATAAATAATTAAATTTTCAGGGAGCATTTATTTGTAATTTTATTTTCTGTTTTCATTTTATATTTCACCTATAATTACAAAAATATGACGTTTTTTTTAATATATATTTCCTAATTCCAAACATTATACAGAAAATAATAATAAAAAACAATGTGGTATTTTTATAATTAAAAAGTGAAAACAAAAAAATAAAAGAGGAACTGAACATTCTCTTATTTTGTCCACCATATGCTACATAAATTTCTTGCCGTGAGCATAATAAGAAAATTGGGTAAATGATGAAGAGAGAAAAAGAATTAAAGAGATAAGATGAAAAAAAGGTGGGTAGAGAAGCAATTGTGATGAGTGGTTTGGAAGGGATACTTGGCTATAAGAGTGTCCTGATATGGTTGAACTTTGGAGTATCCTCACTGCCATGGAATTTGCTTGGCTGAAATCTATTTCCAGACTGTGGACTGTGTGTGATTCTCTTCTTCCAATTCTATTCACATTGCTACTAATTAATGCTTGTCATAATCAACCCCCTTGTTGGACTATGATAGGATACAAATCATTCACACATATATTCACTCACACCCTCTCTTTTATGATCTTCATCCCTTTTCCTCTATTCATTTTCTTCATCCACCATTTTCTTTTATCTTATTTCGTCAGTCATAGATCTGTCACGTTTCATTTTTCCTTAGTTTCTCTTTATTCTGGGCCTTTCGTCCCCTGTTAAAGGAACAAAAAGAATTGAGAGAATCCAAATCAGCAAAAGTACAAATAACATGAACCAGGCCCTATATACACATTTCTTTCATTTGGGCCGTATGATCCTGCTAATTCAAAAAGATAAATGAGGAAGATTTGGTCTGAACGGATTATACTGCAGCACAGCCAAAAGAAACAACCGATCCACAAGTGTTTTGTTGTCATTGTCCTCATTAAGCAATATTCTACTAATGAATCTCCCATCTTTGTTTTATTATGGGAATTGAAGCTTTTGTACTTATTTATTTTGAGTATATTAGCCACTAATGGTATCCTCTTATCAAATATATATATATAGAGAGAGAGAGACTCATCTACAACTTGGTAAAGCCTATTTGAAATAAATTAAAAAGAGCTTAATCGATAAGATGTAGTCTACTACTGACTATTTATTTTTACCACATATCTAATTTTAAACTTCAGTTAATATATTTAACAAAAATTTAAACAAGACATCAATTTTTTTGACAGAAGTCAAACTTTTTTAATCATCCTTCAAAAAACCCCTCGAAACAAGAAACAAGGGTTTACGTATTATTCATGGTCATAACATATACAACACGGTTACATTTCTATGAACTCTCGGGCCACATTTTCCACCACAGAAGTCAAGAAGGACTTGTTATTAACATTCCTAACGGAGCAGTTGGCACGAATCTCCCCTTGATTTTCCGTCAACACACTAAGCTGACCCATCTTGAGCATGGCAAACACAAACTTCTCAAAGAAGAGACTCTGGTTCACGGCAAAGCTGGTGACGATGCCTTTGGTCCTCTTATCGGTGTACAGGTCTTGGTCGGAGGTGAAGAGGCCCTGTCGGTTCATGAGGTCCACGTAGTACTTGTTGTCGAAGGTGTTGGGGGATCGAATGTCCAACACTGTGGTGTTGGTGGTTGTGTTGGTGGGGCATGTGAGTCTGAGGTTTTTACCAAAGGTTTTGTCCATGACAGGGTCCTGTGTAGGGTAGAGTCTGTTGGTGAAAGAGTTGCAGTGGCTGATGCCTATGGTGTGGCCACCAGAGAGGGATACCACATCGGTGGGGTCGAGGTTTTTGGTGGCAAGGGAGTTTAGGATGGTGGTGGTGTTGCTTGAGGGTGGTGGAAGGTTATCCAATGTCACTTGTCTCGAGGCAAAGGTTAACCCATCTCTCCTTCCCAAGGGAATCTTGTAGTCTGGTCCTCCTGACTGTCATTGATGATAAAGAAAGAAAAAGATACATGATCAATGCACAAAAAAGGAGAAATAAACCTGTTGCTTTATGAAAGAAAGTGTGAAACAGAAGAAACTGATGATCGATTATGTGTATCCCAAACACAATACGTATTATTGAAGATGGTTGAACAATGTCTCAAAACTTTTTTCTAAATTAATCTATACGAAGGAAGTAAAATTTGATTAAAAATTGTTTCCACTAATATTCCAATATTCAGCCTTGAGTTTAATACATTAACCACTTATATATCTTATTGATTTTCTTTTATGTATTATAATGTAAAAGAAGAAGCAATTATACATTACTCTATTGAATAAAACATGGTTTACTTTTAAGTATACAAGTGACACAACCTTGTAGATATTTATAGAGAAGAGAGAAGAAAAAGTATATTTAAAGAATAGCAGAAATATTTTTAAATAGAAGTAAGATATATTATTTTGTTGTATATGTTTTAATGATAAAAGGTATAATGGTATTTTTAAATACTTGCTCTCTCTTTTTCTTTTTTTTTTTTATGTAGCTTTTCTAGTATTTATCAAGTTGGAAGGAAAGGATTATAGAATGGGACCATGATTTTTTTTCCTACCTCATTAAATATGGGAAATATTCTTTTATAAACGTGGATTCTTTTCTTATGGTGTTTGTCATGTCTTTCTCTCTTATTCAACATGTTATGAATATATATATATATATATATATATATATATATATATATATATATATATATATACATATATATATATATTGAAATGTGTTCTCACGTGTTTCGATTTCATGTTGAATTTATTATTTATAATCATAAAATTATTAATTTTGAAAAGGAAAAAAACGGTTTTGGTTTTTATATTTTTAATTAAAATTAGGTATAGATCTTAAACTTTCATATCAATAAAAATAATTTTCAACCTTTGAAAATATATATAATTTTCGTTGCTCCTCTATATTTTCTTTAATAGTGCTAAGTCCAATATTAATTGAAAGATTGATTTAATCAATTTGAAAATATAATAATGATTTTAAAAGTTATATTTATCATATTTTCTGATAAATTAATGTGTGGACTCTTAATAATATCCCAAATAAAAGAACTTACAAGGAAAACAGCATCGCGTGCTGCGAGGGCAGTGATGTCTGAACATGAGACGACTCTTCCACAGCTCTTCTCTAACAGACCACGAAGCTTTTCGATGATCTTAAAGGCCTCAGCTCTCAAAGTCAAGTTTGGTGGTGCATCTTTCTCACTTGGCCCACTTGCTGATCCATCCAATAAAACTGACCCATCACAACCCTACATGTTTCAGTTTTTTCATCTAATCACAGTTAATAACCAACCATACTCATCAATGCATTTCTCAGCATATGTTTTCTGTACAGAGATGAATGAATGAATGTACATGCAAATGAATGAATGAATATTTTCTAAAACATAAAAATGTGATTATTTTGGCCTAATGATAAGAGCTATTAAATCTGATTTACATTATCAGTGATTAATTTGTCAAATTCATACTTCAAAAAAATGTTTACTGATGCTACTGTGCACAAGTAGGAAAAATCTTACAAGTGCTTGTGTTTGTGTATGTTATTCACTATTGTTCGTTCTGTAAACTACCTACATATATGTTAATTAAATTATAAGCATATGTAATATAAAGTTTCGGTAGTAGAAAACATGTGTTAACAACCATAAGATGGTGTGCATGAGCTCCAAGCTTGGCTGTTTGATTATAATTACCTGAACAAAGCAGTCATGGAAGTGAAGGCGAAGCAAGCCAGCAGCTTGAGCAATGTCTTTCTTGAAGACCTTTTTGAGCTCAGTTCTAACAATAGATTCAAGCTTAGGGCAACGTTTGTCATAGAAGGTATATGATAGACCCTTGGCAGTAGGAGGCCTAGCTTGTGCCTCACACACTTTGATGATGGAAATGGAAAGAAAGATAGAGATGAGGAGAAAGCTGAAAGTAGCAATCTTGCAAGAAATGGAAGCCATGATCAAAGGTGGAAAAGTAATGACTTCAGATGTAGCAAGGCAACTCTAGTATTTAAGATAAGTAGTGACTCTGAACAATGGGCCACTGTGTGCATATGTTTATACTTTTATTAGGGTGTTAATATATAAATTGATTTTGGCAAATTAACAGTATAATTATGGCGAAATTGTTAGAGAATTCTAAGCAGCCGTGTGGTTGGTTCAAGGACGTCTCTCAGAGGAAAGAAATAATGACAATGACAATGGGCAAGGGCAAGTGGTTAACGTAGCCTTAAAACTGATGTGAATGGGTCACTGCCATTGAACAGAAGCTATCGTGAATATCACGTGGGGAGTAGTACGAGGGTTAGGTCACTGCTTTTAGGGCAAGTGCCAAGTGGTCTTCATGCAAGGGATTTTCATCATTTGCCTTTATCAGTGGAACTGCATGAATCTCATCCATTTAATTTAATTTGTTGCATAATAAACTGATATCTAATATTAATTGTAACTTGAAAGTTCTCTTCTTAACTGCCATTTTTTTAATTTGAACAATACTATTATTGAATAAGCATATGTGGCACCTGTTTTTCAAAAACATGGAGAATAGCTTCAATTCAATTTTGAGGGCCCGTTAACCCTTTTTGTCAATGTCTGCTAAAGCAAGAGATAAGAACCAGTTTTTCTTGTACGATGATGCATGAAATTTCAAATTAATTCATGCAAATTAGTTGTGAAAAGACCGCTTTTTCTTTTTTTACTTTTAAAGGTAGAAATATTAAAAAGGCATACCATACCACTCATTAGTGTAGGCTAATTCCCACGGTTTAGGGTTTAGTTTCTTCTTTGCCCCTACTCTCTGTATTCACTATATTAAGAATATATTTTCTTAATCAAAAATACTTTTTTTTTTTTTGCATTCTTGTATGTTGTTCATTGAAAAGTAATATTGAAAAGTTATTTTTTTATTAATAATAAAAAAAAAGACTTAGCCAGAAAAATCTAAGAAATTATAATTAATATTTAAATTTCTTTTGTTAGTACTATGTGTAATTCTAAGATCACATAAATTAATTTATCATTAAGAAATAATTTATATTTAAAAATTAATTTAAAAAAATATATTTTAATTTATATTTATTACCAGTAATAATTTAACATAAATTAAATTAATTTACTAATGTATTCATAAATGAAAATTAAACAATATATTACTTTTAAAAAATATTTTTTTGTACTTTTCCAAATAATTTGTATTTTAAAAGGTTTTTTAAATTTAAAAAATGAAAATTGACCAAAAAGTTCTACCTTTATTTTTAAAATATTAATTTTAACTTTAACATAAAACAAATTTGAAATAAAAAAAAATTGAGTCAAACGTAATTTTAAGTAGTTTTTTTTGTTTGAATGTGTGGAGTTTATCTTTTGTTTTTAAAATAGATTTAATTAAACTATTTATGTAAAATATGCTTTCAGATATTTGTTCTTTAAATTTTTTCAAAATTTAGATTTGATCTTCTAAAAAAAACAAACACGAGTCAAAATAAATAATAAAAAGAAGTTGGTCAAAATTAAAATTTATGTTAAGAATAAACATGTAATCATTTTGTGAAATCCAATTTTATCCTTATTTTTTATTTTATTATTTCTTTAAATTAATAACTATTTCTTACTTTCAAAATTTATTAATACTAATTTATTCTTGGTAGTATAGAAAAAACAGACTCTTGCATTCGTTATAATCCACATTTTTATTTTATTCTTAAAAAGTCTATTTACTTTGTTTTTTTTTAACAAACTAAATTAATGTTTTTTGGATTAAGCATGTGTTGTGAAAACATTTGTGTGTTCTCTACTGCTCTCTTGTAAAATAGAAAGTAAGTATTCGAAATGAGCGTATTAATAGTAATAAAAATATATTCCATGCATTAAATAAACATTTTTTTATTTATTATCTAAAGCATATTGGATCATTTCTCATTAATATTTACTTTGGAAAATAATTTGGATAAGTATTAGTGACATATGAGATCATATAAAATAGAAAATATGGATATTAATTAGGTGTTTAATAAGAAATTCAAACATGACAGCAAAATTTTCTCGACACGATATCCTTCCACTAAACTTCTGGCACGAACCAACAAAGTGGTGGATTTTTCAAAATATTGGTTTTCATCTTTTTCCAAATCCACTTTATCCTTTTCGCTTCTTGTTCCTTTTACAAGGCGAATTTACTAGGAATGAACCAAGTCATTTCCTTGTGAGAAATTACTTTTGTACAATATTAGAACCTTATAAGTAAAAAACAAAAAGAGTATTCAAATAAATTATGTGATAATTAATGTTGATTATATCAACTTAGTTGGAATTATTGCGTTTTTTTCTCTGATTTTGATATCATAAAATTTTAGTAAAAGTTTTAATATTTTATATAAATTATTTCAGCAATAACTTTTTTTTTTATATAGTCACAGACACGACAAAGACTCAACTATGACCAAAGGCCACGGCAATAGGGTGACTTTCCAAGGCTCTTTGTCTATAAGTTAGTTCATATAAAGTTGGATGCACCTTCAACATTATCTCTTATTTAGTTTGATTTTCCACACACTACTCATGATATAAAATTTTATTAAGTATTTATGTATTAAGGGTATCAACACTACTACAAATAAAGCTTTCAACGTCGGTTCTGGAAGGCTTTCAACGTCGGTTTAATAACCGACGTTGTATCAGGCGACGTTAAAAGTCGTAACTTTAAACGTCGATTAAAGTCTTTACTTTAGATAGCGGTTATAAGGGAACCGCTATTTCAACGTCGGTTTATTAGAACCGACGTTGAAAGTATGATTTTTTAAATTAATAATTTTTATTTATTTACAACCCCTTTACCCCTTTTATTTATCTAGAAGTCTCCCCTCTCTTCATATTATATTTTTATTAATTTTTAAGAGAATTATCATTGGCGGGATTCGAACCCAAGTACTTTAAAGTTGGAGGCTGATACTCGAACCACTAAACTACTTGAATTTTTTGATAATAACTTACAAATAAATTATATTTATATACAAATAAATATATATCCGTGTAAATATCACTACTAGAAAAATGTCAAATAGTAACTTTGAATCTCAACCCCAGCCTCAACCTCGACGAACTCGAGGCCGAACCCCAACTCTGGCGACATCGAACCCCAATGTCAAGCCAAACCCAATTGTCATGCCTGTGAAACCCAACGCAAACCCAGCGGAGCTCGAACCCTAACGCATACCCTAGTGACGTCGAACTCTAACCTCGAGCCAACCCCCACTTTAATTCGGTCGCAATTAGCGATTGATTGATTGCTCAAGGATGTGTAAAAGATGATATATTCAATGTATGTTAAAAAAGTTCAAGCCAAACTGGTTTTATAGAAGATTTTCAAAACTGCTGGTTTAATTAATCTGTTAAAAGATTCTTTTAATCTGTTAAAAGTGCAGTTTTAATCTGTTAAAACTTCTTTTAATCCATTAATACGTTCTTGATTCTTTAACAGATTTGTTTTAACTTATACGACAACGTTTATATCAATTAAAACACTTTACAAAAAATCTTCTAAGTTGATTTAATCGATTGTTTCAGCGATTCAATCGATTGAAATACTTGCAAAACTTTCTCGTGACACTTTTCAAGTAATTTTAACTGATAAAAATAAGTTTTAATCGATTAAAGCAGCTGTCTGAAATTGTTTTAATCGATTGAAACGAGATTTAATCGATTAAAATAGTTCTGATCAGTCATAACTGCATTCTGATCGATCATAATTGAAACAATATAATAACGGTTCCAGGTTAACCGCTATCTAAAATGTATCTCGCTTGCAGCGATACCTCTTCGCTCGAGCTAAACGCCCCTGCACAAAATTAGCATTCTCGGGTTGTATTTCGCTTGAGCGACACTACCCTCGCTCGAGCGAAATTAGATTCTGATCGATCATAACTTGAAATGATCGATCATAATTGAGAGAATATAATAGCGGTTCCATTATAACCGCTATCTAAAGTGTATATTAGATAGCGGTTATAAGGGAACCGCTATCTAAAGTGCATATTAGATAGCGGTTATAAGGGAACCGCTATCTAAAGTGTATATTAGATAGCGGTTTCCTTATAACCGCTATCTAATATACACTTTAGATAGTGGTTCCCTTATAACCGCTATCAATAAGTAAAAAATAAAATAAAAAAAGACTTTCAACGTCGGTTCATATGGGAACCGACATAGAAAGAACTTTCTACGTCGGTTGACTAAGAACCGACGTAGAATGTGTTTAATATTCAATTTCAACGTCTGTTCATCTGAGAACCGACGTGGAAAGTACTTTCTACGTCGTCTCAGCTATAACCGACGTTAAATAACGACGTAGAAAGTATATTTTGTAGTAGTGCAAATCAATACATTATTGAAAAAGACTCGGCATAATTCAGTAAAAATTCAACTTCAAAATTCTTTTTGTAAGCAAAAATTTATATTTTAATATGTAAAAAACTAATCAATCAATAATGAATAAAAAACCAATAAATACTGGATAGAACTTTATTTTTTCACGCAAAGAAGTTAGAAAAAGTCTCAAATCCAAAATATAAATAAATAAATAAGTCTTTCTTTCCCAATCTATTATTTAATATTCAACCACTAATTATTTATTAATATATGGTGAAAAAAATTGTAACACTATTTTAAAAAATTGCAAACCGTCGTCTCACTACTGCACAAAAGGCTTTTTACGTCGGTTAAAATGGGTTTTCTACGTCGGTTAAAGCGGCGACATAGATACAGGGGTCATAGAAAGTAAGTCTTTCTACGTCGGTTCTTAAGAACCGACGTAGAAAGTAAGACTTTCTACGGTTAGTCAGGGAACCGACGTAGAAAGTCTTACTTTCTATGTTGGTTAACACTGATAACCGACATAGAAAGTCTTACTTTCTAACTTTCTATAACCTCAGTATCTATATCGGTTAACAGTAACCGTGATTGTA